TACCATCTATTAATTAAATTATAATCTAGTAATATAAGTCTATAATTTCAAATAAATATTGAATCCTTATCCTTAAGAGCTATTTTACATTCAGAATAACTATTACAGCAGTAATTTTATTTTATTAGATAATAATCTTCTTAATGATTCAGAGACTTAAAATAAAGCCTATTTAAAATGTTTGAATATATACCAACAATAGTTCACACAAATCCTAACTAAAAAATATCACTTTATTTACTGATCGAGGGCAGGAACTTACAACAATAAAGACCAATTATAATTAGGCTAATTTTAATGATAAAATATTAATGATATAACCAAAAAAAGGAGTCAAGATTAGAGAGTGAATAGAGTGATAATATAAATAACTGAATGGGATTCGCATTGTAAAAGAAAAAATCACACTTTAATAAAAAATCAGAGAAGAACATTGAAAACCTTCTAATCTACTGTTATTGGTTAGCTTTGACTTTTATTATAATATTTTGAAAGTAGATATAAATATTAATTTTATTAAAAATAAATGGCTCAAGATTAGAGATCTCCTTTTGAATTGAGAATATGGCATTTCTACACAGAGGAAGAGAAGTCAATAACACTCCTCAATGCATATAAGCAAAGAGTATTGTTCTCAGAAGATATAAAATCTTTTCTTTTAAAGGATAGATTAAATACTTGGTCTTATTGGGGATTTCCAGCTGCTTGCTATGCATTATTTCACTATACTGGAGCATTATAACCATATATTGCAACAAAATACTCAGTAGGTGCCTAAAGATTGATTCCTGCAGCAATATCTGGTTTACTTTGGTTGGGCTGGGTCCATTTCAATCCAATTTACACAACTTTGCAAAGGTATGAAAATATTTGATTGTTAAATAGTGAAAAATTGAATTTGCTGAATTTGATAGAGAGAAGAGTAGGTCTTAATATGAAGGCACTCAATGAGTAAGTACCTCGTACTTGGACAGCATAAGAGATTCACAGATAAATGAGAGAAGCCTATAATAACAGACATGGATTCTTCACAAATATACTATATCCAAGTGAGGAAAGAGCTTCTCCTTTATAGGACATTTCATCATATCCATTCAAGATGAGAAGAGATAAAATTGTTAAATGATAAATTCCAAAATATCATTTAGAATAAAATCATATATATTTCATTATATCTAATATAATACAGGTTCTTTGCAAGGAGAGTAGATGACAAAAAAGCAAGTATCGATAATATATAAGTAATAAATAACATGATTGTTATAATGGATTGTCATGCATATTCATTTTTTAATTTAAGTTTCTATTCAGTTTATGACAATAAGTTGAATTCTTTTTGATTATTTCTCAGCGTTTGTAATTTTCTTGCTTTCTCTCTTTCTTGGATAATTAATTGTTTTCTATTATGCTAAAGAAATAAATAAATATAATTACTTCATTATATTGAGCCCACATCTTTTCATCTTCTTTTTCTTATTATCTTTTTTGTTCATTGAATTCTCTCTATTTAGCTTAATCATTTCTGATATCTTATCTCTATTGATCTGACATACCCTTATAATGATACGGTATTACTCTATGAGGAGCTAGAGCACTTTAACAAGTAGCAGTACTAAAAAATAACTATTAGATTTACTTTTCTGTCCAAACATCATTATTCATGATTTCTTCCATATGTTATTTCTTTTCAAGTTGAGCCTATCTAGCCATATATTCTTCCCGATCTTATTTTTCTTTTGCCAATTGATTATTAATTTGCTAATTAGCAATTTCCATTTCTACTCTTCTCCTTTACTGTTCTTATTCCAACTCTTTCAAACTTTGATTTATTTACAATGTTTGTTGATCATACTATTATTATATCTGTTTGTTTAATTGCTTTTTTTGTTGATTCTCTTGAGTTTGTTATTGTACCCAGTCCTTCATTTACAGTTACTACAATTTTCTTCTATCTCCAGCAGCTAATAGCCTATAAACATAGCCAAATTACTTAAGTCTTCCCCATCCAACATTTTTAAATTGGAAACCCCAACTTAATTTTTCATCTATCCATGATTGTAGGTTGGATTTTGATAATGACTCATTAAATTTAATATACTTTATATTTTAATATTCAAACGTTATATACTCCAATTACAATAGCATGGTCTCTTTCATATGGTTCTAAAGTGAGTTATTCTTAAGGTGTTAATCCTTCATCCTAAAATATTCAATCACAAACAAACCTTTAAACGCTACACTTCATGCTAAAATACAACTTCAGCACGGTTAGTTGAATCAATACAATTGGCTTTGATAGATATCATAAAATGTCCTCCTTTTTTAAGGAAGTATTATGAATTTAATCCTACAATTCTAGCTTAATCAGGTTAAGCAACATCTGCAAATACTACATCTACCATTCCAACAAGCATCCTATATTCTAATGGTTTTCTTGCATCAGCAATGATTGGTACTATGTTTGTTCTTTTCTTTGCCATATTTACTAGATCTCTTCCTGATCTATGAGAAAATTCCACTGCATATACAACTCCTAAAATAAAATGATGTTTTATAATACCTTCTGTTCCTACTACATCAGATACATGAGAAACTGTTGTTCCTGATGCAGCTCCCAAATACAATACTTTAGCACCAGGCTTAATGAAAATATCGCTAACACCACCAATAATACCCGCAGCAATCTTTGATCTAAATGGGTTCCAAACTCTGTATTCTACTTTTTCTCCAGTTTGTTTATCTTCAACAGAAATTCTCTTTTCATTATATACTGATTCTCCTGGCACCATATTCTTTGTAACTAAAGCTTCTTGCTATCCTTTAGCTACAAAAACTCCAGCTAATCTTGGATGTGGAACCACAAAAGCTTTTGGAGCTCCTCCCATTCGACCTCCTCTACCTCCTCTGGCACCTCCTCTACCTCTTGGTGCTCCTCTACCTCGGTCTCCTCCTCGACCGCCTCCTCTTCCTTCACCTCTTCCACCTCTGAAGTCCTTGCCCATAAATTATATTTTTAATATATTTAATTATTTTTCTTCATCCTCAAATTCATTCTTTCTAACTAATAAATAATACTAATTTTTTCTTCTCTAACTATTTATTAACTTTCATCCCTTTCTTAAAATAACATTCTTTAAAATCTCTACTTTCTTCTATATCAATTTAATAATTTTTCTTTTATTCAACATTAACTAATAATCTTATAAATTATTTTATAATTATCAAGAATTCATTATTCAATCTAATTTTTACTATTAATATTCACATTTTTGACATAATTTTTCAATTGAAATTTTGAAACTCTCTTTTTCAATAATCTAAACCAAATTTGTTTCATATAATTAATTTTTTTTTTTATTTTAAAAGAAACAAAATATTAATTTCACAATAATTAACTTATATCAATTCTATCTTGAACAAATTTATAAATATAAAGTTTCTTCAATTTATTATATTCATACGAAATAAATATATATCTAATGAAAAGAAGCTTTAAATTCTTTCATTTTAAAAAAAAATTTTAAATATTGTTTATATTAAAATTATTTCATTCAATATTTAATTAATTGTGATTTTCCATCTATAAAGTATCGATTATATAGTGTTTTTAATTATTTCTTTCCCTTGTCTCAAAAAACTAAGATTTGCCATTATGTCTAAATGTGTCATTATAATTTCGAAAATCATCACTAAAATTTTTTTTTTATCTTATAAACTTTAATGGTTTCTATGAACCATCAATATTACTTTTCTTACAAGTTTAATTGACATAATCATATATGATAACATCCTCTTAAAAATCTACTTTCTTGTTAATAGCATGATGAGCAGAGATAATTTGTTCATTTTCAATAGCTTCATACTCCTCTGTTGTTGTTTTCTTATTTTAATATTAACCTTTAGCATTAAATAGATCTTACTAGATTGACCTTTTAAAAAAGAATTTTTCGTCAATCTCAGGTAATTTTATATAATCCATTTTTTCGACTGCCATATTAAATTTAGGGCTATTCTAATTCTTTTAATCAGAATGCTCTTAAGATACTTAAATTGGTGGAAATATTATTTTCCTTTAATTTTGGGGAGAACCTCCTTTAAACTCATATTGATGTGAAGGAGAGTGAGAATTAAATAATTTTTCTGAAATCTATTTTTTTAGAAGAAATTTTTTCTTAGGTAAATGCTCTTAATGTTCCGTATTCATAATGCTAGTAAAAACAAGAAATTTTATTAACTTTAAATTGAAAAATATATTTATAAAAAATAATCCATCAAAACATAATGATTATAAATAAAAACTTAATTATAACTTTAAATATCTTATTTTTTATAATTTTTATAGACCTCTTTTGAAAGAATATATTAATATCTCAAACTAATAAATTCAGATTAAATAAATAAACAATTTTAGAATAATGAATTATTTATTTATGGAATTGTTAAATACATCTTAAATTTAATATATTGATTATTAATATTATGGGCTTGTGTTAATCATAGAGAGGTTCTAGAAAATCTTTTGCATCAAAAAAATTACACACTTGTAGTGATACCAATATTCAAAATAAAATAAAAGGTAAAGATACTCCTATTCGACCAAAAACTTAGCCAACTTTGAACACAAGTGCAAAAGACCATTTTTCGACATGCAAAATTCCTTGTGCAATAAGAACTAGTAAGAGGATGATTAAAGAAGCATTAGCAAAAACTTATTCTGTTTTAAATAAAGATTTTGGGCAACCAAGTAAGCTCATCAAATTATTTAAGATCATAATAATTTTGGTTTAATATAACACAATATCACTGGATAAGTTAGAACTGCCAGAACAATATTAAAAGAAGATGATTTCATTGATGACATGGAATTATATATTAATAATATTAGAGAGAACAATCTAGTAGTTCTATTTATATTTATATTAGACTTCACCTCATTTTAATAATGTAATTGAACTTTTTGAAGATTGTAAATGCTACTATGTGATATAATAATATTGTAGTGGAGGTATGCTATCTAATTTATGTGGGAAAATCGAGGAAGATAACGCCATTTATATAATATCATAAATTTTAGATGCTCTTGGAGAAATTCACAATTAAGGCAATTATCACGGAGGTTTAAGTATTCAAAGTTTTTCCCTCTAAGATTAATCAAATAACTACTACGTCAAACTAATAGATATTTTTCCTGTATTTTATGTTAAAGAATAATTCGAGATTAAACGAATGTAGCAAAACGATTTAAAAGCGGTAGGATTAATTCTTTTTTAATTAATTACAAATAAATAGATAAATAAATTAACAACTGAATCGATTTTAAAGAAATCAAAGGATTTACCTAAATAATCACTTTGGTTTTAATTAGTGATGCAATTTCAGGATTCAAAAAATTTACAAATTTATGAAAATTTGTAGAACAATTTCTTATATTAAAATATCATCAAGAAATATTCATCATTATATGCAGAATAAATTTTAAAAAAATTATTCGTCAAAAAATCTTCATATCTTTAACAATAAATATTACTAGTGATGAATAAGATTTTTTTTTCTGAAAGAATAAAATAAATTGAAAGAATATTTTTCCAGAATGATACTAATTAAAATGGTACCTTATCAAAAGATGAATTATAAAAAGCTTTAGGAATTGAAGAAGACATAGAAGAGTTATTTCATTAAATTGACATAGATGGAAATGGAAAGATAGATATGAATGAATTCATTTTTCACTCATGTGATAGAGCCGCTTTAATTAATGAATTTAATTTAAATGTAGCATTTAATGAGCTGTAAAGAAAAGGATTTGTTATTCCTTCATATTTTTCTAAATATTAAAAGGTTGATGAAAACCAAATAGAAAATGATATTAAAAATAAATTTAGTTCATAAAAAGTAATTATTTGTAATATATTAAGTTAAACAAGCAAGATTTCCATAAACTAATGTTTGAGCTTCTCTGAATATTTTTTATATTAATAAGGATTAAAATAAAATATTTACTTAAATAAATCATTTATTTTAAAATAAAAAAATCCTTATTATTTAAAAAGGAAGAAATGATCTCGTATCTTTTTTTACTGTAATAAATAAATATCAAGATCAATTTAATTATTAATTAGTTTAGGCAAACGTTTCTAAAGGTTGATCACTTATAAGAATAAATGAAAATTCTTCAAATTATTCACTAATTCTGATTGGAGTTAATGGATAATCGTTAATAATCAATTAAAGTGAATAATTAGTAGAATCTACTCTTAAACCTACTTTATCATCAATTTATAAGAGATAATTAATGAATTAACCTTAAGATTCATTTCCTCTTTTTAAATTTCCTTCAGGGAATGTTATAAAATAAGTTTTTGTTTTCTTTTCTAAATATTATAAATCACCATCTACTATAATACCTAATTTAAAGGGAATTTCATCCTCAATTCTATTAAGTTCAAATTCATAACATCCCTTAAGTTTTTCAGTTAAATAAACAAAAAAATTGTAATTTTATTTTTATTACAAGTTTTCAACAAAGAGTTTTTAAGCTTATTATTATTATTTTATTTATTTAAATTGTTCTAATTATCTTATTTTCTAATTTAAAGATTCTAAAATTTTAGAAAATTAAGATTCATTATTTTAAATAATATTTTACTACTACTCTATTTTAATTTATTATTATTAAATCTACTTTTAGTAATCTTCTAGCATTAATTTCTATTTTTCATTTTCATTCAATAAAGTCTTAATATCTTCAATAACCTTTTCTTGCCTTTTCTCTTCTGATTAAATTCTCTCATCAATTAAATCCAACCTTAGTTTTTGTTACTTTAATTCTAAATCTTTTTTTATTTTTTCCTTCCCGTTTTTGTCCATTTCAATTAATTGTAGAAGTATTTGTATTTTATGTTGAATTATTTTCTTACCTTTTGGTGATTCTAGCTTTACAGACAATTAAGATTTTGTTTCTGTTGACTCTAAGTATACTTAACTCTTATCATCAAAAATTAATTAAATATTTTATGTTATCCTATTGAATACATCATCTAAATCTGCTAAATCTTCAGTTAGCTCGATAATTGATGTCTCTGAAATACTTCCTTCATATTAAATTAACTTTTTATAATCGGTAACTTATATGCTTAATACTTTTTGATAAGTTTGATTTTGTTTATCATTTAAATATATTTATTGAGAAATTTTATCTGCTTCTGGTTAAAATGGTAACCATTCTCCATTTTCACAATAAATGAATTCACCTTCTGTTTCTTTACAAACAATCATCTCTTATTGATTACGAAATAAAACTTTGGCTCCAATCCCAGGGCCAAATCCAAAATCTTCGTTTTATTAAGCAAAACAAATTTAGTAAGCAGGTAATTGATTTTTTTGGAAACCTATAATAAATATAATATTTCATACTGTTAAAAATAATCCATTAGATTTCAATATTTTGATCTTGAAAGTAATGGGATTTATGCTTAATTTCTTCTACTTGCATTTATATTTCTATTATTTTTTTTTATTTTTTCTTAAATCACAAATCATAAATTATAAAAAAAATTGGATGTACTACACAAAATTAAATTAGAAATATATTGATTAATATGCCTTTCTTTAAAGATAATGAATTTGAAAATTTTAAAGATCGATATTTTCTTCTCTTCCCTTTAATTATAGAAATTTTGAAAATCAATTTTTAATTTGTTTTTATTTAAAAAATATTGAAAATTACTTATTTCTAATCATATTTCGTTTCTATATAAATATATTCTCCTATCTTTCATATCATAAACTATATTTTAAATAAAGATGGTTAGAACACTTTGAGTTAGTGATAAATTTAATCCATGAATAAGTTCGAATAATTAGTTTTCACACTAATTCGCTTATATTTGATTTAGAATATAAAACTAAAACAAATTTTTAGAATTTGTAAAAATAATTATCTAATTATTTTCTATCATAATAATAATGATAATAATAATTAATGATAATGATAATAATTAGAATAATAATATAAATAAAAATAATAAAGAATGAAAAATTAACAACAACCTCAACCATAGAAAGAATAAGTTTTATAATAACTTCGAAATATTTAATAACAAATAGAGGAGTTAAAGGACAATTAAATTAGTGCATCTGAAAATTTAATAAATGATTTACTTAATGTAAACTAAAAAATTGATGCAATCGAATCCTTAATGAACAGTTTATCTCCTAATTAAATTTAGTCATAAATTGAATCGAAATATAAAAGACCAGAATAACCAAAAGCCTTTTAAATTAATAAACCCATCATTAATGAATTGCATTTAGATTAAGAATAGAAGAATTAATTTTTTGCATTGAATAATTTAAAAGGGAAATAATATAGCGACTAAATCAGTTAAGCTTATTAATAACCATAAGAGGTTAATCAAACAAATATGGTTCTTTTAAAATAACAAAAAGATTATAATATTGGATCAAATCAAAATAAAATAACATCAAAATAAAATAAATAATAATTTAATGATAATTATTAAATTAACACATGTTTATCTTGTTAGAATTAAAATATCGGTTTAATTTAAACTCCATGTAATCATTTTTTTCATCCAAATTGTTTATAAAAATAATATGACTAATAATAAATGGATTATCATAAGACATAAGCATTTTATTGTTTATGTAAGTGTAAATTGCTTTCAAGTTTTTTTCTAAGAAATTTAAAAATTGATAGAGAAAGTTTGTTTAAAAAGTAATTGCGTATTATTCAGCTAAAATATTAAAATTTATTCCAATAATGTAAAAAGTGTTAATTAATATGGATTTATGATATCTATTAAAAATCTACTGGATATTGTATTAATTGTGGATTCTCATTTAATAATTGAATTTTATTTAATTTATGATTAAATTATAATATCTTCTACTCTTTATTTTATGAATCAGGAGGGATAAGTTTTTCAACCCCTAAAAGTTATATTTAAAAGAAAAAAAGAAATTTTAAAAATTTTTAATATTATTCTTAAAAATAATATCAAAAAATTGATGACAATCTTTCAATTTTCTTGCAATATATATATAAGTAATGATTAAAATATTTAATGATAGTAAATCATTTAAAAACAGATAAGAAGACTTATAAAATCATGAAATAATTTATTTTTTCATTCTCCAAAATCAAATCCAACCATTCTAATAGGAACAATCTCATATTAATCTATTAAAGCTTTTTTATATAAATTTAGATGCTTTTTTATTTAAGCAACTTATTTCTTTTTTTCTATCTTCAAAATAATAATTTTTTTTTAGTGTTATTAAATATTATTTTCATAGTACTGAAACTTTTTTATATAAAATCATTATCAACTTTAATGAATAAATATTATTTGTATTAGTAAATACTTTAAAAAGTTTATAAATGTATATAACTAATTGATAAATCACAGAATACTAAAATCAAAGATATATTTATATAATAGTTCATTTTAAAATGCTTTTGTACTTTATAAATCAAAAATCTTTATTTCTAAAGAGACTTTTGATTCATAATTTTTGTTTTATGTTTAATTTGTTAAATTAGTATTGAAACTTTAAGAGTAAACTTCTAAGAGATCATGTGTTAATTATTAAATGCTTAAAATATTAATCTACATTCATTATTAATATTTTACTAAAATTTGATATAAATGCATAGATTTTCTTTGAATTTTGAGGATAAAAAATTAGAAGATTAATTTTAAAATGAAAAACTCTAAAAAATAAGAAAGCCTGTTTATTATGCAACATTTATATTTTTTGTTTTAAATGGAATGAAAGCAATATTAGAGTTTATTAGAGGAACAAGATTTTAATCAGAAATTAATGTAGGGTTTATAACAGTGCAAGCAATAATGGCAATAATGGTGTTAAAGAATTAATAATATATAAAGTAGGCATTAGTCGTTACTAACATAATGTCTGGATTTTTACAAATGAATTTTAATGAAGAAGCTACTGCGAAATAAGAGTTTTATTCTTTCGGAAATAGTTATGCCTTATTTTAAGCTATTGGATATTTTATTTCAGATTTCAGGGATGGAGTAATACAAGCCTTAAGTCATCTAACAACTAAGATAATTATAACAAGTATTCACTCATATAAGGTTGATCCTCTCTGTACAAGTTTAGCTATTACAAGTACAATTTTTATAGTACTTACAATATATGTAAGTGATTTCAATTATAGAAAATAATTTTTATCTAACATATCTGATAATGTTTGGGATAAGTAACTCCCATTTCTAATTAAAAAACCTTATATAAAATTCACTCATAAAAATACATATTTCAACATTACTAGTTGCAATCAAATTCAAAAATTTGCTGGCTATAAAACTGATTATTGTTATGGATGTAATGCAAGAGAATTTTTAAGTGAAACTAAAATAAATAATGTATCTCTTTTGAATAAACTTCTCAGTGATTCTGTTCTATTTAATACTGATATAGAGGCCCATTTAAAATGTTCTAGATTCAACATAAGAGTTTGTATGTATGGCTTTGAAAAGATGAATCGAATAGTGATATTAGAGAAGGTAATGACAAAAGAAAAGGTTAAATAATTTTCTTATGAATTTCGAAAGGATTTAGTTTAGACATTGAAGTAGGGTTCAACCAAATTTTAATTTTTGTTATTCTATAATTGGGGAATATAATCATGTTTACTGATCAACAATATGTAGATTAAATAAGTATCTTTATTAGATATAATTTCTAAATTAAATAAGACTTATAGAAGATATTTATCTCCTTTAAGAATTATTACTTCAAAAAAGTCTAAACTCTAAATAAGAACTTACTCGAATTTGATAAAAATCTACTTTTTCCAAATATATCACTTATTGATTCTTACTCAACCAAGATCTTAAGATAAAATTGATGCATTTGTCAAAGAAAATGAAGAGTATATTGAATTTCATTTATAATTAAAGGCTATGAGAGAATTTTGTGTTCTTTACTCCAAAAACATATTTACACAATAAATAGAGAGAGTTATTTTATGGGAGAGATTGAAGAATGATTTAAGAATATAATTTAGTAAATAAATTTCATTTAAGTGAAATAATTTTATTCATGGTTAAGCGTCTCATAATAAAGTTGATTATTCAAGTTGGTTCTACAGTGGCTAAGTCTTTTGTTAAAAGCCTATTAAAAGAGTTCAAAATGTCGGATAATTATCATTCAAATTAGAACAAGAATCAAAAGGAGAAAATCTATTAACAGAGTTTCTGGATTAAAGAAATGTAGGCTGCATGATTGACCCATAAATATGACAAAAGAGAATGAATTCAAGATATTGTAATTAGATTCAGAAAAAGCAAATCTAAAGAAATTATGAGAATATTTAAGGAAGAAAAATTATTTATATGCTTATTAGAGATAGTTCCATCGAAATTCAGGAAAGGAATTTAAATAATGTTAAATTTGAGTTAATGAAAGAATTTGAAGATTTTAATGAGTAGGAAATATTAGAGAAGATAAAGAAGGAAGGGGAAAGGTAGAAAGAAGAGGTAAGATTGTAAGAGAAATAGATAGAGTAGAAAGAAAATTGAATACTTAAATACTTATAATAAGGATTGAAATTGATATATAAATTTAATTATGTTATAGAGATTGTCTAAAGTTATAAGAAGACCAATGTTCTGGCATGGTACACATCATCACGATAGTAATGATGCTACAAAGAGATTATTTGACACAGTTTCAAGTACAGTGAAAGGAATTCAGTAAATAAACTATGTGGTGGAACATGATCCAAAACTTACAGCTGAAGAGAAGTCTAAAATGAAGCAATTCTTGATTTATAGATATGATCCAGCAGTAGGAATAAATACATAGATTTTAGGATGAGAATGACTTTCCAAAATATGTGAGTTACTATGTGGACTTGAAGAAGATACCCCCTATGTATTTGGATGCATTATTGTACATCAAAGACAATTATGATTCCTCTCTCTCCCTTCGTCGTTCTTGCAGAGAAGGTATCTGTGGTTCATGTTCAATGAATTGCAATGGTCTTCATAAATTGGCATGCATTCATGCAATTGATACTGATTTAACATAGCCAGCATACATCACACCTTTAGGTCACATGTTCGTCGTAAAAGACCTTGTAGTTGATATGACTAATTTCTACACTTAATATAAGACTATCGACCCATATTTAAAAAGAAAGACACCAAAAGTATTTGAATCAAATTTTATCATAATAGGAAGGAAACAAAGAATATATTTAATCAGTTGATGATAGAAAATTATTAGATGGTCTTTATGAATGTGTGTTATGTGCATGTTGTTCTACATCTTGTCCCTCATATTGGTGGCATCCAGATAGATATCTCGGTCCAGCTGTGCTTATGTAAGCATATAGATGGATTGTTGATTCTAGAGATGAATATACAGATGAAAGATTAGAAAAATTAGGTATTTCTTACATTCTTACATATAGCTGAGGATGTTAAGGTTGAAGATTGTTAAAATATTGGTATGTGCTCTTTTACATGCCCTAAAGGACTTGATCCATAAAAATCTATGAATCATTTAATGAAATTGATTGAAGAATATAAAGAAAGAAAGATTGCTTCTGCCACATTATGACATTATCATAACATAAAATAATAATATCATAGAAAACTTCTTGACTAAGTGTTTCTTATATCATTAATATATGATCTGCATTTTGGACAACGAAAATTTAATATTAACCAAGTCTTTATACAATGCAAGTGGAAATGGTGCTATTAGTTACAAGGCAGAATCAATAATTCTTCATTTCTACAATAAACTTGTAAACAAATTCCACATTCCTAATCTCCTTATACATTTTCATTCTAATAGACCACCATTTTTTACTTTATTAATTCATTTAATATTTATTTATTCTGATAGTTCTATTTCTTTTCCTTCAATTTGTTCCATAATACCATTAATAGAAAGAATGGCAAAGATATCAATAACACAATGCATAAAATATACCCTTCCCAATACTAAAATAAGGAGATTATTAAAAATATCATCTGAAAAATTATTAAACTTTTATAACAAGCATCTACTGGCTCCATCATCGTTGATTAATAAATCACCCAAATTATTAGTAATTAATTTATTAAACCATTAAAAATTTACACTCCCCGAATTTTTCTATTTATTTATGGAACTTCAGATTTTATTTGTTCTGTAAGTATTAGTTCTCTTCTTTCTGTTTCTTCTAAACTCAAAAAAATATTGGAATCTTCATTTTATGTCACTACAAATTCAAAAGCTTGATTTCTTTCCGGTTCTGGTTGACTATGACCTACTTCGAATATTATTGCTTAATTTAAATTTTCTGCTATTTCAATTACAATTCCCTATAATGCTTATTTACTTTACAATGTCGTTTAAATATTGAAACAATTTATTGTAATATAAAAATGCTACAATTGAATGCAGCTATAATATTTCCAACCAATACATTACATTGTTTGGTTAACAATTTAACTTCATATTTAAAAGTNATAGAAAATTATTAGATGGTCTTTATGAATGTGTGTTATGTGCATGTTGTTCTACATCTTGTCCCTCATATTGGTGGCATCCAGATAGATATCTCGGTCCAGCTGTGCTTATGTAAGCATATAGATGGATTGTTGATTCTAGAGATGAATATACAGATGAAAGATTAGAAAAATTAGGTATTTCTTACATTCTTACATATAGCTGAGGATGTTAAGGTTGAAGATTGTTAAAATATTGGTATGTGCTCTTTTACATGCCCTAAAGGACTTGATCCATAAAAATCTATGAATCATTTAATGAAATTGATTGAAGAATATAAAGAAAGAAAGATTGCTTCTGCCACATTATGACATTATCATAACATAAAATAATAATATCATAGAAAACTTCTTGACTAAGTGTTTCTTATATCATTAATATATGATCTGCATTTTGGACAACGAAAATTTAATATTAACCAAGTCTTTATACAATGCAAGTGGAAATGGTGCTATTAGTTACAAGGCAGAATCAATAATTCTTCATTTCTACAATAAACTTGTAAACAAATTCCACATTCCTAATCTCCTTATACATTTTCATTCTAATAGACCACCATTTTTTACTTTATTAATTCATTTAATATTTATTTATTCTGATAGTTCTATTTCTTTTCCTTCAATTTGTTCCATAATACCATTAATAGAAAGAATGGCAAAGATATCAATAACACAATGCATAAAATATACCCTTCCCAATACTAAAATAAGGAGATTATTAAAAATATCATCTGAAAAATTATTAAACTTTTATAACAAGCATCTACTGGCTCCATCATCGTTGATTAATAAATCACCCAAATTATTAGTAATTAATTTATTAAACCATTAAAAATTTACACTCCCCGAATTTTTCTATTTATTTATGGAACTTCAGATTTTATTTGTTCTGTAAGTATTAGTTCTCTTCTTTCTGTTTCTTCTAAACTCAAAAAAATATTGGAATCTTCATTTTATGTCACTACAAATTCAAAAGCTTGATTTCTTTCCGGTTCTGGTTGACTATGACCTACTTCGAATATTATTGCTTAATTTAAATTTTCTGCTATTTCAATTACAATTCCCTATAATGCTTATTTACTTTACAATGTCGTTTAAATATTGAAACAATTTATTGTAATATAAAAATGCTACAATTGAATGCAGCTATAATATTTCCAACCAATACATTACATTGTTTGGTTAACAATTTAACTTCATATTTAAAAGTAAAGCTATCCCAAATTTTAATATACTATAAAACCTATAAAGATAAATGAATCTTTTTGCCTTTTGTAAACACTTGTAAAACATAAAAGTAAATCTCTTATTTATTAACATATTCTAATTATATTATTAATCTATTAAGATAATTAATTAATATTGATAAATTCTAAGAACGTAGGTTTTGTACATTCAAATATATAAAGAAGTATAATTAAGATCACATTAATTATTTTATTGAATATAAATCACTATTATAATTATTGTTATTATTATTATTCTGGCTCTTCTTCAGGTGGAATCTACTCAATAAATGGGCAAATCTCTTGCCAAATTCTTATCATTCCATTAGAACCTAAATATTCATATTTTTATTTACTTGCTGTAATTAATAATCTACCGATTATAAAAACTCCTCTAATTTCTTCTTTAGTTAAATCATATGTCTTAATTAACAATCCTTTATCGGTATTCCAAATACTCAATCTGCCATCAGAACCACCAGTTATAAGATGTTTACAATATAATAAGCTACATAAAATGGATCCTGTGTGTCCATCTTTAAGTGTTCTAAAGTAAAAATACTTGAATGATTTACTTTAATTTAGTTCCTTGTTCCACATTCATCACATCCCCTATTTTATCCATTCCTCCAACAAACAATTGATTATTACTAATCATGTACAAATGTTAAACTTTAACTGTAGTTACTGTTCTAAGAGTTTTCAATAATATTTTTGGACCAGTTTTTTCCTAGAAATATAGAATATATCAATAATACTCTTTTATATGTTTTAACTCTGCCATCTGGGAATCCTGCTGCAAATACATCTTTATTGTAAGTAACTAATGCTATAACAAAAGTTCTATCTACTGGTTCAATATGTTCTAATGCACTTGAAACAAAATTAACCAAATGAATCTTTCTATCTTCAGATGCTGTCACTATACTGCCATCTACATAAACAATAGAATAAACTCCTTTTTCATGATGTTTGAATTTGATATCCATTTACCAAATTCCATCATGTTATTTCCATCCCATTACTGTTCCTTCTTTATTTCCTGCCAATAACATTCCATTATAAACATAAATACTTAATATCTCAGCTTCGTGATAAAATACTTTATTTATTCCAAACGTTTAAGCATTCCAAATAATTACTTATTTATCTTCTCCTGCTGTTACAAATTCATCTTTATTTAGGAAGACTATTTGATTAATTTTACCCTCATGTTTACTCATTTCTAAACTTGGAAATTTACCTACTATTTAAGAATCAGTATAGAGTGAAGTAGATTTCAATGTTTCTACATGTGGTATTAGTGTTCCAATAAGCCAATGATAAGCTTATTTTCTACTGATAGGAATTTATTAAGGAAAATTTAATACTTAAAATCCATGAGAGGAAATAAAGTATATTTTAGGTTATTTTGATCTGATTAATTCAGTATTTTAAAGATAAGCTCCTAATCTCCATAAACCTTATTATTAAGTTTAATTGATTTCCATATAAAAATAAGTATCTTCTCTTTCGAATTTAATATATTTAGTTGAATCTTTAATAATTTCTCCATTTTCTTTAATTAAATAAATACTAAAATTTTCTTTGGAGATTTTTGAATCAACTAACAAATATTATCTATCAATAGGTTTCAATTTATGCGGAAATTCTGAATCTTACAAAAAGTTACTAATATTAGGGAATAATCTATCTTATAAAGACCAAACAACCATTTTACCTTCATTGGTAAATGTAAGTAATCTTTTTTCATAACTGACACAATCTCCTGAATATAAAATAACAGGAGATTGAAAATATTTTTGATTAGTAATTTTGAGTTCATTAACAGTTTCTGGTGAATGAATAAAAGTAATATGACTACCTTAAGCAATAAGAACACCATCTTCATTTTATAAAACACAATTAACTTATTGATCAGAATGTAAACTGATATTGGGACCTCTTTCAAGTGAATCTATACTTAATGTATGTAGAACACCATCAAGACCTCCAAAAATTAAGTATCTTTGATCTAAAGAGATAATTTATAGAATAGGTTATCCACCAGTTAGATAGCCTTTGATTAAGACTTATTTTATAAGTGTTCCACTCAAAGGTTTATCTAATGATTTTTCAATTTTGAATATAAAAATTGATTTGTTATTATCAGATAAGAGAGCAATTTAATCATTAGTGATAGAAACCATTTTATTAATTGGCTCAATAGTTTATGTTGTAGATTCAACTTCAATGATAGCATCAATAGATAAGATAAATTATCTTAGATCTACTTTGACTAGAATCAATTATCCATCAAGTGTTCCCAAAGCTAATCCTTCAGCTCCAACTTTACACATAGAATTAGTTTTTCTATTTATGTTTAATGTAGATTAAATGATAAACTATTGAGTTTCATCATCTTTTTTTAACCAAACAATTGATCCTGTATTATCAGAGATCATAACATTATCATCATCCCATATTATAATAGTATTGACATGATCAGAAAATACATTATTTATAGTACTATCAATTAAATAACTATCTAGATTCCAAATGCTAACACTACCATTTTGATTAGCAGCTACAATAAGATTCGGAGATTAAAATGCACATTAAGCAACTTAAAAGTCTTTTTATGATTTTGTTAGATTTGGATAAGTCTTTAATTGTGCTGTATTTATTATTTAATTAACAACATCAAATGCTTCATATGGCTCTTTTAATGATCCCAAAATCCAGAAGTAAGGAAACAGGGTACCTTATTCTTAAGGCAATTGAGGCAATGGATATTTTTAGATTTTATTAGGAGTGAGAACATACATTTCTTCTATAGTGTCCATCTTTAATTTTGGAAGACAGGCTACTAATTATAATATATCTCTCTTATTTTATAGATTCAAAAATGTTATGAGTTAAATTCCATCTCTTGGATTTTAATACTACTCTATTTCTTAATCTTATTAAATGACTCGTTTATCTAAAAAATTATAAAGAGAATAGAAATACCTTCTAAAATTATATAAAAATTTAAGAAGCTTTCATTAGGCTTATTTACAAGTAAGACTACTAATTGAGACTGTTAAGGTTTACGAATAATATGGTAGTAATTAATTGAATTTGTTGATAAAGGATGTAAATCATTAATTTCTTTGATTTCATCATAATATTCAATATGTTAAATAAAAATTCTACCTTTAGTTACTAATATATAATAATAAATGTAGAAATACTTTTATTTTGTAGTAATGCTTTACAAATACCATTCTCATTAGAACGATAACTATATAATTTATTATTAGATTCATCATGAACTTTGATATAGACATTTGGCACAGGAAATTTGCCTACTAAATCTATGAATTAAAATTATATAAGATTGATTTGTTATGATAAAGCAGACGGAGGTTACAAATATTTAGGCTTCTTAATTTTTAAATCACTTGATGGTTTAATTGCATGTTTTTTATCTAAAGCATCTTATACAGGATCATATCCTTCTTCTTAAGTTTTTGCTTTAGCTAATTCATATTTAAATTCACACACTCCAGCTTTAGTCGTTATTTAATCCTTCTAGACTTAATATCCTATTTTTTTAACAAATATTTTAAATTAATCTGGTTCAACTACAATTTCATATTTTCCACTTCCTGCTGGAGATTCTTTTAAAATAGCATCTTTGCCCCCTCTTAATGGTACTATTTCTACTTTACATTCTGTTACTGATGCCGAATCACAAAGAACACTTACTACTATACAAGAATGTGTTTGTTTTTATAATTCAATTATTTAATCTAAAGGCTAATCTTCTGCATTCAATTAGAATAAATTAATATGCTATTGCTATATAATTTAATCTTACTTAAGTTTTACTTAAAAAATCATTAGTTTCTTCTATAATGACTTCGTAAACATCTAAAGGTACATTTTTCAAACATATTCTACCATCTTGATTTGTTCTCTCAATCTTATAAGTAGGATTCTCCTCTGCCTCTTTTAAACTTCTTTAAGATTGTCCTGATATATTAGAATATGCTGATTTAGGTCTTGTTTATGCACTTTATGGACGCAACATTCTATTTGACCTAGATGTCACTTCAATATATATTTAGTATTCTTACACATTATGCTTTAAGATCTTTATTGAATAGGTCGATATGGTTAGATTTTTACATCAATATTCTTTAATTTCTAATCAGAATCTGCAAATTTCAAATCTATATTGAATGAAACCTTCTTAAAATATTAAGGCAATTTATTTATGATCACTTAAGTCTAAGGCCAGGCCTTAGTATTAAGTTTAGATCCAATAACTGCCTATTTTATTTATCCTTTCTATTTTGACATCACTTAAACCTCAAAACATCCTATTCATGTTACATTTATAAACATATACCTAATCTACGCTATAAAAACATCGTATCTATACTATGATCTAAATGATCATATATTAATGGTTTCAGAATCACTTTCACTATTGGAAATCTCTACAAAATCTCATTCTTAAGGGCTTATGCATATTATAAGTATCTTCCTTCATCATGTTTTGTTGACCCCAAATGTTCATGACAATTCGTACTGCAATTAATTTACTCTCATACCAATATTCAATCGTTACTATCACATCTTCTTCAGAAATATCTTTAAACTCTCTAAATTCTCTAAAACCTTGATGTTACTCACTCTTATTATGAATCTCTTCATTCTTCTCCCACAACTCTTAAAATGTTCGTAACTTCTTAATTTTCACATTCGTATACGACAGCCCAGCATCTGAGTGCTCGTACTTTATCATCCGACTACGCTTTATAACATTTACATATTTACTCATTAGGAAATATTCCTAAAGAAATCCACGGTTTCTCATGTAAGTCCTTATCAAAATGATTGTCACACAGTCTATTCACTAAATCCTTATTACCTTGACATCACCATTAATGATTAGTTCTATGTATACTTCTTTGATCTCTTCGTTGGTTAAGAAAGTTGTGATAATCTGTCTGATTCATAGTATCTCTACATTAATTTGTATTTATATATATTAATAGATAATAATAAGTTTCAGAATGAATGGCGTTTATAATGGGGATTTTATAGTTCTTCTTAATCGTCTTGTTCTTCATCATCTTCATCTTCATAATCCATATCTTAAACATTTTCGAATCCTCCCATTTTCTAAATTTATTCCATTTATTCCTCTGTTAATCCATATTATTTAGCTAGAATTCTTATATTAAAATATACCTATAGCATCTTTTTATAATTTTTCAAGTAACTTAGGATCTAAATTATCAATATCAATTTAATCATCGTAATCTCCATCAATTTCTTATCCATCATATTCTCTCAATGATTATTCTGCTTATTCTCCAACTTAATCTACACCTTCTGGATCTTATTATGATATTCTTTCTGACTCCTCTACATCCTGCTCTCCAATAGGATTCATATAATCAAATTATTCTTATTACTCTTATTCTTCTTAAGGTTATTATTGACTTTTGGCTGCTTCAACTTCCATTAATAAAGGTCTTTGATATACTCTAACAAAGATTTCCTTCATCATATTATTAAAATCTTCTTCTTCTTATCTTCTCTTTTAATATTGTTCAATAAATTTTTATTATTATCTTTCATATTATATTTGATTATGATCTTAGATAGCCCAAGATTAATGTACTCTTGGTCTAAATAACTATTTTTTATCTTCTCTTTATTTTTATTCCTCATCATTCTATTAATCAAGAGCAAGTTGATTTTATTTCATTGTAAATATGTAATCAACATAAGAATTAAATTTATCAGTTGATCTTGGTTAAATCTTGGGTTTCTTTGACATTGCTTTTTTGGCTTTTTTCAATGGATCCTCTTTTATAATTGATTTTTCATCCAAATAATCTCTTTAAACTTTCTTTTTACTTTCATGAAATTTAGGACCATTAGGAGTAGTTGTTTTAATTTTTTTTTTCTTTTTTTCCAATTACTTTTAGAATTAATCATGTAATTTATTAAAATTAGGAATAGATTTAGCTCTTACTTTTCTTGGGGATTCATGAAGAGATTTTAATAATTATTCTTATTATTTATCTAATTCTTTTATTTTCATTTTATCAATCCATTCTTACATACGAGGTGGTAATTTTGAATTTTCTTATAACCAAAACTTTCTAATTTTTTTTCTATTATCACTTTTAATTTTTTATTCTTATATATTTCTTTCATATAATTTTAAAGAGCAATACCAAGGAATAGGATTGGCTCTAAATTTAAATGGTTATTCTTCATCTTCTGGTAATTTGATAGGTTTTTCTCTTTTTCTATCTTCAAAATTAAAAGGTTTCTACATAGTCTAAGTCTTCTCTTTACATCTCTCTTTTAATTCTCTTCTTCTTATCTCTTCCCTTTCCAATAATTCATTATAATAATTCTTATCCTTTACTTTATAAGGAATAGCTTTTGCTTTAAATGGTCTAAATTTATAAGCTTCTTCAATTTCTTCTTATTTTTATCTAACTTATTCCATAACCCATTTTTCTCTAATACTAGGTTGTTTATTCACTTCTCTCTTTTCTTATCCTGTTTTCTTCGGTACAGTAAATTACATCTTTTCCACATTTATCTCTTAAAATGGTTTCCTAGGAAGTGATCGTTTTCTAACTTTCTTTTTTTCAGGTTCTGGAGGTGGAGGAATTTCTTATTTTGCAGTCATCTAATAAAAATAATCATCAGATGACTCTGATTATATAGAATCTTCCTTTTAATAGGATTATTGCTCTTCTTCTTAATCATTTGGAAGATTATCAAAAAAATACATAAATTAATTCCATGATATCTATTCATCAGGATTGTTCAAATATCCAACCTCTATTTATTATAAGACACTTTCTAATAATAAATTTAAACCTAAATTGACAATATGTACTGCATATTCAAACAATTCACAATTTTAACGAATTGCTTTAATTGCATTATCTATTGTAACCAAACCATTATCACTTACTTAATCAAAAGACTCTTTCATTCTTGAGATATCTTCTAATAATAAAATTCGAGGTGTATTTTCAAATAGATTAACTTATTTATGAATTGGATCAAATAAATGTACATACTCTCTAAAACCTTTCTCTGGTTTAACTTTCTAATACTTCTATAAAAATTAAATGAATTCATCTTAATTTAAATGAAATCTTTCCTTCACTGGAAAAGAATCTAATGCCAATGAGAGAGATTATCTATCAAATTAAAATAATGTCATTATTAAAGGATTGTCATACATAAAATTTTTGATCTAAATGTGATGTACCTATCCTTTACGATGTGGATCTATTTGAGTAAAAAAGAAATCGAACATATCTAAATCATTTGGATCCCTTATCACCCATTTTTGAAGAGCTTCTGTCTGTTAATCCAATAACTTTAAAAGTTTGAATTCTTATTCTCTCTATAAGCGTTCTCTTTATTAAAATGAATAAAATTATACCTTTTTCTACGTAAATACATTTTGAATTAGAATATGTAATGTCTTCTTTACAACACCTCCTCATTATATTTACTTTCATATGGTTTCTTTTCTTCAAGAATCATGCAATCTATTGATTCTTCACTTTCTTCTGTCTAAACTTTTGGTCTTCTTCCCTAGACCCTTCTTAAAATTTCACAGATCTTATCTCTTGAACGTTGCTATTTATATCAACCTATTATATACTATTTTGGCATTTATAGTGTTATCCTTTATACTGCGTTGTAAATCATACTCTGTTTTCAGTTCTCCTACTTTCTACTACAATTAACCGACAAATAGTTAATCTGTCATTTTATTTTTATTTATGCAAAAACTCAACACCTACGAAGCAACTCCTTGGGTTGCTGCATATCAATGTTGCATTGTTATTTATACCTTCATTAGTTTCGGACTTATACTGGTTTCGGTTTTCAATTAATCAATACTAATGGATTCTGTATTTTAAATTCCCATTATATCAAGGCACCCCAATTTTATTCAGATTGGGATAATAACTTTATCGTAGATTTAAAAATCTAAGTCTCTTGTGATGATGGCTATGAGAATTTATTAAATTTCACATGGCCTGGAACTGAACTTGGATGTGATTGTACCTAAACTAATGGAACAGATAAATACAAATATACTAAGTAAAAAAAAATAAAAATATAGTTATTATTATATGGAATGTAGTGAGTTTATGTTAGCTGAGAATTGTCAACCAGTAGAACCAATTTATGAATAGTAATTCAAGCATTGGCCATTTATAAATTAAACTACAGTTAAAGGTGCAGAATTAAGATTTATTTTTAAGGTTATAAGTTGTGTGGAAAACAAAGTAAAGAGACTGCAATTGAAGCGTTTTAAATTGGTGAGGCTAGTGAAGGATACAAAAAATGCGGCAAGGTTTTTCAAGTACCATCTGATGAATTATGTCCAATAAATGAATTTACTTTATCTCCAGATCCAACTGGTATAGAAATTTAAGGAACTGGATAGTATTTATAAATTCAGAGAGTTGAAGAAGATGAAATTCCATTAATTGGATTTACAATAGGATTTAGTAATTATTTAGTATAAGTAATAATAGATTCAATTTGTTATTCAATTTCAGAAATTTATGAGTTTTAATATTTAGACAAGATGATTCATTATCATTGTTATGATAATGATGAAAGATATGTGCGCTTAACAAATGATATGTCTTATAATGATTTACTAATGGTAAATGATATATAGGAAGAGTATAAGAAATTATATAAGAATTAAGTAATTGAAGGGAGAAGTAAAATATGAAAATAAAAGTAGATGTGAATCTGTTTTATAAATAACTAACTTAATTTCATTACAATTCATCAGAATTGTGTTAAGGGGAGGATTTAGAATATATACATAATTTAAATATGTATATAAAAGATAATGTGATGGATGTACAATTGGCAGCATAAGTAATAGTAGGAATTCAGGCAGGAGTGTTTGGATTCTTAGTTCCTTTAGTTTCAGCAATATCTTTGGTTGGTTGCAATTTCAAATATACAAGTTTAAATAGAAAAGGTTCGCATTATAAAGATTTATTTGGATTTTGGTTAGGCGTCAAAATGATTGGTGAGATCCTGTGCACAATTATTTTGGCAGCTGATATGGGATACTAATAATAAATGATGGACCACTTTTATAATTTTATCAAAGCGGATTGTTCTGATAAGTTTTCTTTAGAAGAAATGAGTGATTTCTACAACAAGTATGAAATCAAGGTTTATAATTATGTTCTTCTTAATTTCATTCTTTGCATAATTACATGTGTATTTGACTTTTATTTCACTTATCTTATGTGTAGAGATAAACATCAAGATGGAACCTAATTTAAGAAGAGCGGAAATTCTCATCAAAAGATTTTCACATCTACTCATCCTGATGAATTATTAAATAAAACAAAAATTCAACCTTAATCAGAAATTAAGCAATAATTGAATCAATAACATAAATAATTTGAAGATGTCGAAATACCAGGTGATGATATGCCTAAACCACATTAACCTGAGAATTGAACATTATTCTTATAATTTTATCAAGTATCATATTTTTCTAGACACATTTCACTTGTTACATTACTTGGCAATTATTTACGCAATCGATTTAATCTATCAGCAACTCTATCTTATATATTACTTCCCTATTATTACAATTATTAACGAATCATAGAATCTTAAATAATTAAATTTTTATTACCCTTCTTTTCTACCTCATCATCCCAATTCTTAATCAAATCTACAGAAACATTTTATTCATTTTATTATTAATATATCTTTTCAGTCATTGTTAATTTCTTAGAACGAACTTCTCTCATTATTTTATGTGATATTTTCTTATTTTCTCTATTATTATTCTCCTATACTTTTTAATCATCCTCCTTTATAGGTGTTTACATTTTTATTTTTTATGATTTTTCTGGACGCTTAAGAGGATCATATTTCACTTATCCTTCTTTTATGATTGGTTTGATTTACATTTCTTTCTCTTTCTTCTCTCTTGCTCTTATTTCATCTTTTAACATTATTTCAAATGCCTCTTTCTCTGCAATTGTATTTGAAATCTTTTCCATAAAATAGTACTTTCCAGGATTGCCTAAGGTATCAAAGAATTCAACACACATCGCATACATATTTAGTAAATCCAATATTTATTACATTGATTCAATTTTCGTGCTAAACTGAATTTAAGAATGCACTTTACTTTTCTTTCTTTCTCTAATAATTAAATGAAAAATTTCTTTCCTATTCCGAATTTATTATCATCTTCATCAGATGAATCGCAATGCATTTAATTTTTGAATAATAAATATTTATTTAAACATATACTTATATTCTAAATTATGTATTAACAACTATTATGTATTCATATTTAATTTGTTTGAGTTTTTTTAAAGAAATATTCCAATAAATATTCTAATTTCTATGAATTCTATAGAAATTTGTAGTAAAATCAGTGAGATTAATAAACCATGATTATAAACATGTTTAAAAAGACTATGAATATTGTCTAGAATGGTTTAATTTAAATTATTCTACTTTAAATATGAGTAATTGTTGGTTCTGTAAGTTTTTCTATTTGTATTGTATTATTAAGGGAATAAATTTGATTGAAGCATTTGTTACTAGGTTTAGATGTAAAAAAGGTTATTATCTAATACTGAAATACTTATTCAATCATATTACTTAGTATAATTAAGGCAATTAGATGTAATGAATGAGGATCTGATTGAATTGAAATGGATTAGTAAAGATTATGTTTGTTAGAAAGTAATTATAATAGAATGGAATAAAAATTAAGAAATTTTGGGTGTCTAATATTGTAATCAACAGATTAGAGATTGTGAATTGTGAATAAGATGAGAAATCACATTGATTAGAGTGGATTTGACTATGATTAGATAGATAAATCATAGAAGACATTAAAGGGAAGGTAAGAATAATCTGTATTTGAAGTTTGGGAAGGTAATTTTAGATTAGGTGGAAATTTATGCCATTTGAAGGAATTGCACATTGATTTAAGAGAATGTGTTATTGATTGTAATTATAATTAATAGGAATTTGGATTGTTTTTATAGCTCAAGAACTTTGAAATGCAATCAATGGAAATGATTAAGAAGAATAGGGATAATTAAATATATAAATGGAATGAAAATAAAGATATTTATTTTTTTAATTTAAAATGTCTGTGGACAACAGCTTCGACAATTTAGAGCATCTGATGTTTCCCTCCTATGATGATATGTAAAACGGAGAAAAGATAGAGGGGTAATACGTTCTAGATCCTATTTCCTAAGAATAGGAAGATAAGCCAATACTATAAAATCCAGCTAATAATGGGAAAACTTATGAATAATTGTTTGAAATAGTTTAACGACTAAATGATATTAACTGGGTGGAACCATCATCAAAAATCACTCCTATCAAATATCTGACTCCAATTACCTACTGGTTTATTATATGCTCACAATACTTTCAAAACGATGCTGATCCTAAAAACATCAAGTATTCAATCACCATTACACTTTAGAATCAATTAGGAATGCCAAAGAATTCAAGAAGAACCTGCTCGTCCATACACTTACTTTGATGATTGGTTCATTATGGAAATGAGAAACATAGTAAACTATAATCTAAGATAGATGGTTAAAAGAATTATCACCCAAAAATGATTTGGAATTATTGTAGACTCTGCTTGAACAATAATTACTAAATACCCAACATTTAGTAAATACTCAAATTGATACACTACAAATACAAAAGCCTATTTTGAATATCCAAAATCCTCCTGATTATATTCTAAAAGATCTTGTCGGCCTCACTGAAATTGAAAATTAGTATCTTACTTACCTTGAAAGTTAACAAAAGTAATCTATTTTCCCAATTCCTCTCTAGGTATTACGATGAATAAATCATTAATCAGACTAAATCTTCTAATTTAGCAGGAACTGCTAGAAAATTATAAAATGTATATAATAATTGTTAGATCTGCAATTAAGGTGTTAGATCTGAAGATCCTCTTATTTCTTGTCAGAAATGCCAAATTGTTGTTCATTAAAAATGTTATGGTTTAGAAAATGCACTTAACAATTGGATTTGTGATGTTTGTTTAAATTTTGGCAATAAAGGAAAGTTTTTGAAATGTCCTCTCTGTCCTAAATTAGGAGGAGCTATGAGATCAACTTAAATGTATATGAAAGATTCTATATTTGAATTAATCAACCCTACTTTTCATACATATGCTATCAATTAAAAAGTTGATAGGCAAAGTAATTAATTGATTGATGTATTTTAGAACCTCCTCCAGATGGTGAAGAAAGTTATAATTTTATGATACTTTAATATCAACTTGATAGTATGATTGGTGAACCTCCTAAAGCTGAAAAGATTTGGACTCATGTTTCTTGTTCTCTTTGGTTAGATGTAGATTTAATGAAGGTTGACAAAAGAAAATTCAATACTTTATGTAGTATTTGTAAACAAAAGAAAAATGGAGCATGTGTATCTTGCTCAAAATAAAAATGTACCATATCCTTCCATCCTGAATGTGCTAGGAGATCATAAATCTATATGGAATCAGATAGTATTTATTGTTTTAAACATTAACCATTAAAAATTAAAAGAATTTTTGAAGATTAACATAATTAATGGAAGGAAGAGATTTACTCTTTTTTTAAATAATATGAAAAATTAGAATAATAGTTAGCCAACAGACCTAAAAACAATGATGCTGAATTTCAAAAATTCGAACTTAAAGCTTAGTAAGAAGAAATAGAGGCTGATATAAAATAAGAAAATGAATTTTTGTTTTAAAAAATTGCTGAAATTCTAGATAAGGATGAAAAATTCATAATTACTTTCGAACAAAATTAAGTCATTGATATTTAATTACCATACAAAAGACAATCTATATATGATATTGAAGAAAATGATAGAATTTGGAAATAGCTGGCTAATGAAAAATACTCTTCTGAATAAGTCTATATACTATATTAGAGAGCAATGAGAATGAGAAAAAAAAAAAAGTAAGGAAATGCAATTATATAATTGTAAATGTCTTCAATATAAGAATTACCTAATAGAAAAAGACATTCTATCTATTCCAGACCAAAGTTCTTTAAATATCATAAAAAATAAAAATAAAATGGATAGTCAAATAATATTTCTCTAAAAATTAAAATACCAAAAGAGGCAATAAATATTTAATAATAATATTGTATTTGCAAATAATAAAATGATGAAGAAATGATGTGTATTAAATTTTTTAATTATTTTAGAGTGTGAAATTTGTTCAGAATGGTACCATCTAAAATGTTTAGGATTTTTAAGCACTGTCGAAGATGCACAGAATTTATTTTTTTATTGTTTTAGATGCGAATAGAAATTAAATCGAGAATAAGCTAAATATATAAAAAGATATAAATAATATTTTGCAGATTCAACATTTCGAGATCTAAAATTGAAGATTGGAATGTCCCCTCATGAATTAAGAGCTCACGAAAAAAAGAACTATAAATAGTTGTCTAAATGAATTAGATCATAAATAATTACATAAAATTTATATAATAGATTTTATTTATTTTATTTTTTTTTGATTTTTAAATAATTTATTAGAATTGGTAATTAATAAATTAGATAAATAAATTCATTAAATATTTCAATCTCTTGACTTGTTTCTAATAAATTCAAGTAATGTTTTAGAATAGCATTGAAATGAAAGAAATTCTTCATAGTTTGACTATGAATATGATATATAATTACTTCTAGTGCTGTATTCGATAGATGTACAACTCCAGGTGGAGTTTCATAATTAATTTTGAGTTCATAGAAACCAACAGCATATTAAATGGCAGGTAAGATATCTTGTAAGGCAAATCCAAAAGTAGTCTATACGAATTGTCCGAAAATAATGTTAAATTAATTTTCCTCTAAATGATAATTGAATAGTAATACTATTTAATAGAAACATCGATGTTTAAGACATTATTTCAAGCATATCTAGATCATAAACATTTAGTTAAAAAGAAATGATCAAGTACATGAATGATGCAACAATAGTTCTTGGCATATACTACAAAGTTTATATATCCATTAATGTACAATCTACCAATTAACATAGCTTTCTAAATACTTTTAATTAAAATAGAATTACATTAATAAGATTCTTCATTTGGTTTTCTAAATTATATATTTAAACCATAATTTTCAGCGTAAATATCCCATTAATCTGTAAACCAGTTGATCCAATAAGTATAAGAAGGAGGATTTACATGCCATTTCAAAGTCTGAAATAAATAAATAAAAATGATTACAAACAGAATGTTCAATTCCATATTTAATATTTCATCTTTTGTGTAGCCATAATTGGCAGCTTTTTCAAATTATTTTATTCCTATAGGGATGACTTCTTCTACTTTATTTGCTATTAATAGACTGGTTAAACCAATTAATTATAAATTTTATTTATTAGCTAATTTTTTGGATAGAAATTAATCTAAGTAAAATATTGATAGATGGAAAGTCTATCTTTTTAATCTAAATTCCATCGCTACTTCCATCATCCAATCGAGAAGAATAGCTCTCATAAGTTAATTAATTTCATTCTATTCAGTTAAATAGTATGGATCTGTTAGATACTCTCTTTCTTATTGAATTAAAGGATCAGGTTCTGTTTTGATTCTTTCCTCTAAATTTATATTATTAATAACTATTTCATTTTCATCACAAGTTAAATCAAATTCTTTAGGATTTGAATTTGCTTAAGTAGAACCTAAAAATTTAGATTCTTTTTAATCTATTGAAGAGGATCTTGATTTAGAAATTGAATTTTTAGATAGTAATTATATATCTGCAGATACACATCTTTAAGAGCTTTTTCTGAAATGAGTATGATTATCTTTTAATTAATCTTTCACTTCATTTAATAAGTTTTTATATTCTTAAGAACAACGACATATATCTTCGAATACTCCATATTCTAATTTATAATTATTTTAAATTTATGATGTTTAAGCTATAGAAAGTATTTTCTAAGTTAATTTGTCATTACAATCTCCTTAATTCAAATACATACTATCTTTGATACGTGTTCTACTATTTGTATTGCTAAGTAGAACTGTATTAGGAAAACTAATTTATCTAACTTTTTAAGATGGCTTGTTTATATTATTAAATGAATTTTCTTTATTCTGTTTATTGTGATTTCTAAATTCTTACAGCAATTAATGAAAGGTAATTGAAATATCTCTGCTATCTGTTGGTCTTGATGTGGTTTAAGGTTGATTAATTTTATTTGGTTTTGATTTCTCTAAAGGTTTGTATTGTCTTTCAGTGTGTCTATCTTTTGAGCTTTTAATCAATTAAGTGATTTATTTAATCATTTAGGGTTCAATAGGTTTTGCTTAGTATTTTGGAGATCTACTTTGAGTAAGACATTTAGGATGACTAACTTGCTTATTATATTATACATACTTAAATCCAATAATCTAAAGTTGCTTCTTTTACATATATTGTTATATTAATTCAAATTTAATTTATGAAATGCTATTAATAAATAAATGGAACCAAATTTAGTTTTTGAACTCTTTACTATAAATGTATAAATAAATATAAAAAAATATATATTCTAAATAAGAATAGATTCATTAATATATTAAATTTTATGCATTAAAAGTAAATTATAAAATAACAATATATTGATGATTGATAAATAGAATATCTAAAATATAACTCTAAATAATTTAGGATTAAAAAATAAGATAAAATATAATAAGAGACATAATATATTGGGATTACATGAAAATATAATATATATATGTAGAATTCACAATGGTAAAAAGGATTTTTCATTTAGAATCATTCTTTTGATTTGTTATTTGAATAATTAAAATGCAGCATGCATACCTGATTTACCACCTGGGAAAAGGGATACTGTTAAATATATCAATGTTGAAATCTTAATTAAATAGAAGATGTTACTTGAATAGATAATAATGCTAGAGTATAAAAGTATCCAATATAAAACATTCCTGTATAGAGACAAGCCATTAATGATCCTAAATAGAGTAATGTAGCAGCAGATGAAGATAGTTTATTGAAAAGTGTTTTTAATTGAATAATTTGAAGCATGGATATCAAAATAACAAATGAGCCAGCTGAGAATAACAAACAAAATGGTTTAGGATTAAGTATAAGAAAAGAAGCAAATGGAATAGAAATAATAATGAGGATTAATCCTACTATGAATATAATAGCGAATGTAACCCAATTTTTAGATGCATCAGTTTATCTATATATAATAGTAATATTTACTTAGGTTGAAAAGTAGATACAAGTGATCCTAATAAAGACTCTTCTTCAGCAAAAAACTACATGATAAATAATCCTAATCTAATTTAATTTTTAAATAAAAGATGAGTGAAAAGTAGAGTGTAAAGTAATACATCTAAGGGAAATTAGATTTTCTTGAATTTATGATTGCTGAGAAATAAGCAAATGTAAAAAGGTAAGAGGCCTAAAGAAACGAGTTAAATAGTTTGGGTATATTTGAATTTATATTATAGTGAGATAAGTGAAAGAAGAATTATAAGCAATGTAAGAGCCTCATTCATATGTTGGTGATGTTGTTAAATAGATGGGAAAAGATAAAGTATTAGTTAAAGTGAATCCAGAAGGAAAATATGTAGTTACATTAGATAAGAGTATAAAGATCGAGGATTGTAAACCTAATACTAGAGTTGCTTTGAAAAGTGACTCATATGTTTTGCATAAGATTTTACCAACAAAAGTAGACCCATTAGTTTCATTGATGAAAGTAGAGAAAGTGCCTGATTCAACATACGATATGATTGGAGGTTTAGATTAATAAGTAAAGGAAGTAAAGGAAGTTATTGAGTTACCAATTAAACATCCTGAAATATTTGAAAGTTTAGGAATAGCATAACCAAAAGGTGTTTTATTATATGGACCACCTGGTACTGGTAAAACATTATTAGCTAGAGCAATAGCACATCATACAGTATGATAAAGATATGATTAAATATAGGATTGTACATTTATTAGAGTAAGTGGGTCTGAATTAGTATAAAAATATATTGGAGAAGGTGCTAGAATGGTTAGAGAATTATTCGTTATGGCACGTTAACATTCTCCATGTTTAATCTTTATTGATGAAGTAGATTCAATTGGAGGTGCTAGAATGGAAGGAGAAAGAGGTGGAGATTCAGAAGTTTAAAGAACTATGTTAGAATTATTAAATTAAGTAATTTCTTATTATTTATATAGCTTGATGGTTTTGAATCTACTTAAACTATTAAAATTATAATGGCTACTAATAGAATTGATATTTTAGATTCAGCATTATTAAGACCTGGAAGAATTGATAGAAAAGTTGAATTTCCTAATCCAGGAGTTGATGCTAGATTAGAAATTCTTAAAATTCATTCCAAAAAAATGAATCTTATGAGAGGAATTGATCTAAGAAAAATTGCTGAAGTTATGCCAGGTGCATCTGGAGCTGAATCTAAAGCTGTTTGTACAGAAGCTGGTATGTTTGCACTTAGAGAACGAAGAATTCATGTTACTTAAGAAGATTTTGAAATGTCTGTTGCTAAAGTCATGAAAAAAGATATTGAAAAAAATATGGCTATCAATAAAATGCTTAAATGAATTATGTATAAATTATTATATTTAATGATTTAACCAAATTATTAAACTTAATCTTAAAATGAATTTAAAATTTAATCCATTTTTATTTCATCTACTTTACTTCATTAAATGATTGATTGCTTAAGTAGGGTAAACTTAATACTAAATACCTATTTCAAATTTTCACATTTACCATATTTTTTGATCATTGTAATTAAATTGATAATATTTAATTATGTATCCTATTTTATTTCTCTAGCTTAAAACATTAAATTAAATTATGTTTTTATTGTTATCTTCTCTAACTTTAAAAAATTATTTACTTTAAGAATAGTTTCATCTTAAAATGTTGGTAAGTTTATATATGAGTTAGATAACTTCTCATTCTCACATTTTTGGAAAAGATTTTTACAATTTTTTTTGAGAAAAAATATATAAATAAGCTATTTATAATTCCTAAATTCTATATTGCCTGATAATTTGTTTCTTGATTAATTAAAATTCCTTAAAATAAAATTAGTAAATGATTTTCTTTTTGTTGTAGGTTCAGTTGGTTAATTCATTGAAAAAATTATAAAATTTATTTAAAATATTAATATTTTATAATGAAAGAAACAACACATCTTTTCTCGAAATATTAATTAGAATACATACAAAAAATAGGTGAAGGAGCATTTGGAAAAGTATACAAAGCATTTGATTAAACAACAAATAAAATTGTAGCTGTCAAAGTATTTGTTAAATTTTACTAAAGGTTCTAAATACAGATGAAGAATAGGAATTGCTTTAATCTTTGAATCATAAAAATATTGTGAAACATATTAGAGGGTATTGATTCCAGTTTTCATTACATAGATCAACCTAGCTCTTAGTAATGGAATATATGGAAGGAGGTTCATTAAATAATTATATGGTTTCAAATCCAAATTTGAATGAAGAGTAATGCATCTAATTCATAAAATCTATTCTTGCAGGTTTGAGTTATCTGCATTAACATAATGTTATTCATCGAGATATTAAACCTGGTTTTTTTTTATTATTATAAAACTTTAGATAATATCTTACTAACCAAAGATTTAATACCAAAGATTGCTGATTTTGGTCTCAGTATCTAATTTGAAAGCTTTGATTTCTCCACTTGCAAGTGTGGTACTTATTTATATATGGCTCCTGAAATTTTATAAAACAAATTATATTCTAAGGTATAAGACTTATATAAATTAGCCAGTTGATATTTGGGCTACTGGAATTATTATGTATCAATTACTTTAGGGAATTCATCCTTTCTATATATAAGATTCAACAAAGCAATAATACCTTTAAAATGTATTAGAAAAACCTTTATATTTTAAAAAACAAATCTCTTTATAGGCCAAAGATTTACTTATTCGTCTATTAAAATTAGATACTACTGATCGTTATACAGCTAGTCAAGCTTTGTAACATCCTTGGCTTACTAAATAAGATAGTATGCCTTTAAGTCTTTTTGAATAATTTAAATTATTTGATTGCAAAAACAAATTTATGAATGTATTTAGATTATTTAGACTTAGATAATTAAATTGCTGATATTTATTCAAGAATTAAAAATTCCTAAATTCTCTTATGGATACATTTNATTAAAATTCCTTAAAATAAAATTAGTAAATGATTTTCTTTTTGTTGTAGGTTCAGTTGGTTAATTCATTGAAAAAATTATAAAATTTATTTAAAATATTAATATTTTATAATGAAAGAAACAACACATCTTTTCTCGAAATATTAATTAGAATACATACAAAAAATAGGTGAAGGAGCATTTGGAAAAGTATACAAAGCATTTGATTAAACAACAAATAAAATTGTAGCTGTCAAAGTATTTGTTAAATTTTACTAAAGGTTCTAAATACAGATGAAGAATAGGAATTGCTTTAATCTTTGAATCATAAAAATATTGTGAAACATATTAGAGGGTATTGATTCCAGTTTTCATTACATAGATCAACCTAGCTCTTAGTAATGGAATATATGGAAGGAGGTTCATTAAATAATTATATGGTTTCAAATCCAAATTTGAATGAAGAGTAATGCATCTAATTCATAAAATCTATTCTTGCAGGTTTGAGTTATCTGCATTAACATAATGTTATTCATCGAGATATTAAACCTGGTTTTTTTTTATTATTATAAAACTTTAGATAATATCTTACTAACCAAAGATTTAATACCAAAGATTGCTGATTTTGGTCTCAGTATCTAATTTGAAAGCTTTGATTTCTCCACTTGCAAGTGTGGTACTTATTTATATATGGCTCCTGAAATTTTATAAAACAAATTATATTCTAAGGTATAAGACTTATATAAATTAGCCAGTTGATATTTGGGCTACTGGAATTATTATGTATCAATTACTTTAGGGAATTCATCCTTTCTATATATAAGATTCAACAAAGCAATAATACCTTTAAAATGTATTAGAAAAACCTTTATATTTTAAAAAACAAATCTCTTTATAGGCCAAAGATTTACTTATTCGTCTATTAAAATTAGATACTACTGATCGTTATACAGCTAGTCAAGCTTTGTAACATCCTTGGCTTACTAAATAAGATAGTATGCCTTTAAGTCTTTTTGAATAATTTAAATTATTTGATTGCAAAAACAAATTTATGAATGTATTTAGATTATTTAGACTTAGATAATTAAATTGCTGATATTTATTCAAGAATTAAAAATTCCTAAATTCTCTTATGGATACATTTTAGGTTAACAAGGTTTCCATATTAAATAAGTCCAATATATTATTGGATAAATATAGTCTCCTCTCAAAATTGAATCTCCTTCTATTTCAAGCTCAAATACTTTAAAAAAAATAGTTAAAATTGATTATTCTGAGGAAAATACACCTTAGAGTCTTCAAAATGTTACATTCTATTAAAAAAATAAAAAATTGCAAGTAAATCTTAAAATTATATATAGAAATTATCAAATTTTTATGAATAAGCTTATAAATCTAATGAAAGCTCTCTCGTTTAATTAAGTCCTTAAAAACCTAAGAGAAGTACCATGAACTTTTCATAAGCTTCTCGAGAATATGCAGAAATTATGTTAGGATATCCTGCATTAAAAGATAAACGAAAAATTTCATAAATAAAATTAGAGCCATTAGATAGAAGAGCAAAAAGAACAACTTCTGTAATGGTAATTTCAAATAAACAATGAAAATTCTAATTAATATTAGTTAATAATAGAATGTTAATAATAATGAATATACAACTAGTAATTCTATTTAATTTAGTTTATATTCTTTTAATTAAATTTTTATTATTATTCTCTAATTTATGTAAATTTCATTCATATTAGAATAATTAATATGAAAATTCAAATTTTGATAAGAAATTCATTATGTATTTTACATAAGAATATTTATAATATGTTGGTTCTTAAAAAAAAATTTTAATAATATGAAGATTTAAATTTAATTCAAATCACATTTTTCTTTTTCCACATCCTGATCTTTATCCTGATTTTTATCCAGATCTACATCCTGATCTGCTTGATCTAGTTTTATATTTTTTATTTGTTTTATGTTCACCATCTTCATTAACTTTATCTTAATTTTCTTCATCACATTCTTCATCATCTTCATTCGATTTTTATTTTGCTTTTTTAGAATGATTTCCACTTTATTTTTTATGATCATCTTCCTTTTCATCATCTGAACATTTTTCCTTTTCTTCATGTAAATCTTCTTTTTCATCATGTTATTTTTTTTTTTAATGATGTTTTTCTTCGTTAATTTTCATTTTCTAAACACTTTTTTAAATATTTTCCATTTCTTCATCTTGATCCTTATTTTTATTATGATGATTCTTATGTGATTTTTTTGATTTTTCTGATTTTTCCTTTTTTTCTTTTTAAATATGTTCTCTAATTTCTTCTTCCTTATCTTAAAATTCTTTCTTTTCATCTGAAGATAATTTATTCCATTATTAAATTATTTTTTCTTATTATTCAAGACTCTTTTTTTTCTGATTTGATTAGAATAATTATTCATTTAAATAAGCATTAAAACCACTGCATTTTTATTCATCATTCATGACATTAAGTTAATATTTCAATAGTTCAGAGGATTCCATAAAATAATTTAAATAAATAATATTTTTGAATTTAATAGCTATTAATCTGTTAAATTCTCCAATCAAAATAAAGAAAATTATGAAAAAAAAAAACAATAAAAGTTCATTATTTGAATTAAAATGATCTTCTACATTACATCAATTTTTCTAATGTAGATTCTTTATAATCAGAGTCTTATTCTGTAGTTAAAGAATTTTCTGATCGATCATTACTCTTTTTATAACCTTTTTACCAATTTGAAATATTTTCTTTATTTTTTTGAGAATCTAATTCTTTTAATTTTTATTCATATTCGTTTAAGTATTACTATTTTTTTTTTAAATCCTCTTCTCTTTATTAAAGTAATTATGAGTTTTCTTTTAATCTTTTTTCTCTCAAACGAATAGAAATTCTAGGTAAATTCAATAGATCATCTACACTTGGTCTCTAATCTTAATTCACACTCAAACACCAACTTATTACACGTTTCATCTCAGCTGTATATTATTATGGAATATTCTCATATTATGCTTATTTGATTTTCATAGCTAATGCTAAATAATTTTAGGCTTAAAATGGTGGTTATAATGAACACATTTCATACAATAAACAACCACAAGCCCAAATATCAGATTTCTCATTATATTTATGATCTTCTATTAATTCTGGACTCATATAATATGGAGTCCCTACTTAAGTATGAGCAAACTCACTATTTATATTTAACATTCTTGCCAAACCAAAATCTCCTAACTTTACAGTTTTATCTAAAAATATATTTGCTGGCTTTATGTCTCTATGTAATATTTTATTTTGTCTTTTATGTATTTCACATAAAGCCTAAACTATTTAAGAGAATATTTTCCAAACTGACTCTTCTGGTAAATATTCTTTATCCTTTCTTAATTTCTTTAAAAATTAAGCCAAATCACCTCCTTCACAATGTTCCATTATTATATATAGCTTTTATGTCTATTTATCAACAATGCGATCATAGTATTTTATTATATTTGGATGTTTGAGTTCTCTTAAAATATTAACTTCGTTTACCTATTTTGAAATTTAAATTTAAAATTACTAATTGTTATTTCTCTTTCTCACTCATCCTACCATATTCCATCTCTTTAGCAACAAATATCTTTTAATCTGTTTTCCTTAGAACTTTATATACTTTTGCAAATGATCCTTTTCCTATATTGTCCAAAAATTAATATGCTTCCATTTTTATTATTTATGATAAATTTTTTATACGAATAATTAATACAATATTTAAGTTTCCAAAAACTTATCCTCTAAATTACGATTAGATTATTCTAAATTCATTATTTATTTTAGATAATTCAATTTGATAAAATCAAAAAGATTTTAATTATAATTTCAACTTTCTAAGATTAATTTTAAATATATATATATAAATATTTTTGAGAATGATTTATTAATCAAATAACATTAATCTTATCTTTGAAAAGTAATTAAACTCATAAACTTATGTTCAAGTTGATTTTAATTAATAATTGTATTTACAAAAATTTGAACATTAATATATATTAATTTTCTCATGAAACTTATAAGTTAATTCTAAATGCAAATCATAAAATAATCATTAAAAACAGAACAATATAATTCAATAGAACTAGTTGCAATATTTGTAAACTTTATACAGGTTATTTTTATATTGTATTCAATAACTATTTTTGTAAATATCTTATATTTAATAAAGAACTTCAGATTGTCTGATTATTAAGATTAAATATAAATATTATGATTTGTAAAACTAAGCACTATTTCTTTGATCATTAGTATGAAGTTTATATTGAGGAAGGTTATATACTTATTGGAAAAGTAATAACTTATTTAAAAGTATTTTAGTAAAAAGATTCTATCAAATATAAGATAGCATTTTAGAATAAAATGTTAATTTTCTGGATATTCTAATAAGGGAAATTCTTTGGGTTTAAGATTTTGTTAAAAGAAAAATGGAAATAATTTGACATGAATCATGAGAATTGTTTAAAATTAAAAAATAGCTTAGATGGTAAAATAGGTTATCATAAAATGGACTCTCTTTACAAATTATTGGATACAGTAGGTTTAGGAAGTTATAGTGAAGTACACAGCTATTTATAAAAAAGGTTTTGTTAATAGAGAGCTATGTTGATAATAAGAAATATATTGCTAAGAAGATGGCAATTAATTCAAAAAATATAGTTAGTGTATAAAACATTAAAAATAAATTTATAGTTCTTCAATAATGAATTATATGCTTTATAAAATTTGAAACATAAAAATATAATAGAGATGAAAGAGTTTTATGTAGGATTTGCTGATTCATACATAATAATGAATTACATAGAAGGAGAATCTTTGGCTAAATATATGAGATACAATAAAAAAATATGTGTAAAAGAAATCATTAATATATTAAAAGTAAATTAAATAAATAATAACAGTAAATATTGGAAGCTTTGGAATATATTCATTTGAATGGATTCATACATAGAGATATAAAGCCAGAGAATATATTATTTGAAAGAGATCATAAATTTTTAACTATAATAGATTTTGGATTTGCAACAAAGATAGAAAAATAAGAATACAATGCAGGGACTCCAGGATACATAGCCCCAGAAGTGTTTGAAAATGTAATTTCAACAGAAAAATGTGACATTTTCAGTTTGGGATGTATTCTATATGAATTGTAGAGCAAATAATAATTATTAGAATGTATGGTAAGAAACTGTTTCAAGGAAATTCTCTTGAAGAGATTTAGTTGGTAAACATGAAATGTCAGTATTCTCTTTAATTAAAAGATCATCCTTTGCATGATTTATTATGCAAAATGCTTGAGAAAGATATAAGCATAAGAATTCTTGCAAAAGAAGGATTGAATCTTTTAAAGTCTTTAGAATAAAGCATTTAAATTTGATATTCATTTATTAAACAAATGTTATTTGATATAATAAATAATGATTTCAACTTGAATATTTTATGGTCAATAAAACACTGCAAATAGCAATCATAATTATAAGTATTACAATACATCTTTTTGCTAAAGGAGAATTTTAATATGCTTCTGCCTAATTAAATAATTAAAAAAGAGTAGTACTTTTACTAATTCTTAATTAGCCTTTTTAACATTGAAAACTGCTTAATCAATATTGTAATCAATTCTATCTAAAATAGTACCTTAATCAATAACCAATTAATTTAATGTTTTAAACACTTCTGCTAATTCATTAATCATGGTAACTAGTTTATTGATTTCTTAATCTCTATTAATAGATAAGATATATAAAGTAAACCTTTCAGAAATGATGTCATCATACATTTGTTCTTCTGCTTATGTTAGTTCATCATCGGCAACTTTCATTTCTTGTTATTTTTATTCACTTAATTTTAAGAAATTTCCTAATTCTAATTTTGAATAGATACCTCCATCATCTTTATTAATTTATTTAATCATAGTAACCATTCTTTTTTATTGATTTCTTAAAGCATTAGTTAATTCTTAAATTTATTAAGCCAATGCTCTATTAATATTCATACGAACTATAAATAAAGATGATAGAAATACTTCTCTAATCACTTGGTGTTTCGTTATCACTTCTATAATTGGCAATAAATTCAGTATATTTTTCACATTCCATAATTTTCTATAAATTAGTTAAATAATACTTATGTAGCCTTTTAATTGTTTTCATAAATCAATTTCTCTAAAGCTGTGGCATCACCAAATTACATCTTCAATCTTTTAGATCCTAGAACTTAAAGTTCCTTAACTATAAAAATTAGTATATAATAATATACGAATTTCTTAAACTTATTTTATTTTATCTAAACAATCTTCATATTGACTAGCCCATTCAGATGGTAATCCTTTATTATGAGGTTACATTTCAATAGAGAAATTGCTAGCAGTAGATTCACCAGAGTTTTCTAACAATAATGTATTTGGTTCTAATGATTGATATAAATTAATATTAACTTGAAATATGAAGATCATTAGTTTTTTTGAATCTATTAGCTTATTATTTTTATTCATCTTTATATTTAAATAGTAAATGTGTTTTATTTCTCATTACTCCAACACTTTATCTCATTTAATTATATATATATTTTAATTATTGAATAAATGTTTCAAACCTTATAAAAATTAAGGGTAATATGTTTTATGTTTGCAACAACAGCAGAACGTAAAGTTCCACCTATACCATCTGATCTTCCATTCACTTTAAATAACCTTTGGGATAATCCAGGAGCTAGAAAAATATAAAAGAGATGGGGAAGAAGTGGTACAAGAGGAAATGCTTGTGGTAGAGGATAAAGAGGATAAGGAGCACGTTCAGGTGCAGGAGTACCACCTAAATTTGAAGGAGGTTAAACACCTTTAACTAGAAGATTACCTAAATGGGGAGCTAAACCTAGGTATTTAATTATTATTCAATCTTTTTAGTCTAGAAATTTATAGAGAAGTTAATATTTGTCAAATTGTTGATAGAATCAAATAAGGTAGAATTGATGCCACTTAACCTATCTAAATTAGAGATATGTTAGAATCAAGAATTTTTAGTAAATGCAAATATGGAGTTAAATTATTGGCGAGAGGTGCTGAAAGATTAGCTGAATTAAATACTCCTTTAACTATTGAAGTCTCAGATGCTTCTAAAACTGCTATTGAGGCTATCAAAAATGCTGGAGGTCAAGTTAAAGTTGTTTATTTTACACCTCTTCTTTTAAGATAACATTTATTCCCTGATAAATATCCATTAGAATTAAGAGCAGCTCTTCCACCTTCAAGAGCTGTAGAAGCCATCTAAAGAACAGAAGAAAGAGGAGCTATTTCAAATTATATTAAACCTAAATGGGTAATTGAAGATGAAATAGAAAAAAAGAAATTAGAAGAATTAGCTAAATTAGATGTTGATACTATCAAAGTTTAATTGAAAGTAGCTGAAACTGTTGAAACTGCTAAAAAAGAAAAAAAGAAGAAGGTATATTTTTGTAAAAATAACTTAGAAACAAAAATAATAAGAAGAAAAATAAGTAAATACACTTGATCTAACCAATTTTAAATACCCAGCTGTTATAGAACCTGGATGTGGTAAAGATAAAATTAGATAACGTAAACCAGTAGTGTATAAAAAAATATCCTTAAACATAGATTGAGTTATTTATCATATATAATTTCATAGTAAATAAAATGCATATTATTATTAACAAATATGAGCATGCTTTATAGGTTATAGTGTATTTTATAGTATCTACAATGTTTCTTAATGTTTCTTTTCAGTATAATACTTATCTTCTTATCTTTTACGAAAAAATTTTATATTTCTCATTATTTGATCTCCAATTATATAATACATACCAGTTATTTTATTTGTCGACCGACTCTTTATATATTCTATTACACAATCTCTCAAACTAATTTATTAAATATTATTTACGTTTCTGCTCTATTTTCAGGAGAGTCTATTGAAATTTGCTCCTTTTTAAATTACTATTTCAATTTACTCTTTACATCAATCACCTTTTAAAGGTATGTTAGTTTTGATTAAATTTATAGACAATTTTCAGAACATTCTTACAATGTCTTTTTAAGATTCAATTATATTAAATCTTATTATTCATATTTAAATATGTGACATAATGCATAATACAATTTTTATAGACTTGGTTTATCTTTTTAAAGAAATAGATGAATCATTCTACAATTTCCTTAATATAATATTTTATTTTTTAATTCTTCAATACCAAAAGTATTATTTTCGTTAGCAATTTCATCTATCATAAAAATTTGTTCTGGCTATTTGAATATATGTATCAAATGATTAACATTGATCCAAATCTAATTCATATTTCTTTAATAGCTTAAAATATCATTTGGATATATATGAGGTGGCTATATTATGCAATCATATTGTTCATCTATTTAAGATAAATTGTTAGTTAGTAAGACTAGAATGCATTCAGATTTAATTTTTTGTATTAATTATTTATTAAGAGAGATAGATTAACCAATAATGACAATTTTCTGAAGATGACATGTATCCCTATTGCCTTTGAATAATATTTTTGGTTCAGCTATTTATAATTAATAGATATCAATGATCTCATATTTAATATCTGCAAACTTTGGTTTACTTATTAATGTATTATTCTTACATGATTAAACTAGGCTAAGTTTATAAACCAATTAATCTTCTTGAGGATTTCTTTTTATTAGACATATTGTTTATTGAAATTTGTTTTTCTCTCAAAGGTTCTCCATGTAAATTTGTATCATTTACTGATATTGTTCTGCTAGTTAATTATTAGGATTATTAATTTTAATTAGTAGGTAGCTTTCTAACAAATTAAGAATGTTTTGATGAACGAGTTGCTAATTAATTTATTAATTCATTTTACATATTGAAAGCTAACGAATTGGAGTATTTTTAGCAATTAATAAAGTGCTGAAATCATTTTCTGATGGAGGTTTCATATTGATTCTTTTACTCAATCTCGTTATATTTAATCTCATCATTTATTAATAATTAAATTGCGGAACTATTAATATTATTTTAATACAGTTAAGTATGAATTAAGTATTAGTTATTATATATAAGATTATAAAGAAATAAATAATGCTATTTAAGCATATTTTTAGTATAACATAATGATAAAACTAAAAAATAAACTATCTAAAACAAATTTAAATAAACAGTCACAAAATTCCGAATTTTTTCATAACTTTTTTAAGGTCATCCATGTTTAGAGGTTTTTCTAAATAATAATTAGCTCCACATTTTTAAGATCTAAGTTTATCATCTTAGCCTGAAAAGGCTGTAACAATAACAATAATTGATTAAGATAGTTTTTAAATTTATTCAAATTTTCTAATCTCAGAAGTACATTAATAACCATCCATTTCTGGCATATTAACATCCATAAATATTATATTCATTTATTCTTTAGAATATAAATCGAATGCTTATTTTCCATTAAAAGCTTTAAATAATTTGCAATTAATCATTACTTAATTTAACATAGCACTTAAAGCAATTATGTTAAATGGAGTATCATCTACTATAAGAATTTTAAATGAATCGTCAGGTGTTGTTTCTAATTTATAATATGTTTAAGCCTTTTTAATTTAAGATCTTTTCTTTTTAATAGAATTAAGATTTTTATAAGAAGGAAATTAAGGAACAATTTACTTTTAATATAAGTCTTATTCCTGAATTGAATTCTCAAGTGATTACTTTAATATTCTAAAAATCTTAAATTTAAATGTCGATCCTTTCCCAACTTAAGATTTAAGTTCAATTTTATCTGATGGACCTAAAAGAGATACCAATTATTAACTGATTGTTAAACCCAAACCAACTCCATGTCGATTATTTTTACCAATATCATAAGTACTATATAATTTAAACAAATTCTTTTAGATTTCCTCTGGAATCCCATAACCAGTATCTTAAACAGATAATTCTATTAAATCTGATTCAGGATGATAGATTGCCATAATTTAAATTTCACCTTGCATTGTAAATTTAATAGCATTCGCTACCAAATTTATCAAAACCTACTTTAAACGTGTTTCATCTGTTAATAATATACTGTTTTAATCATCAATTGTATTATACCAATTTAGTTTCACTCCTTTTTCTATCGATTACCTATTCAACAATTAATTTATAAATTTAAATGTATTATTTAAATTGAAATTCTTAGGTATTAATCTTAATTAACCTTTATTTATTTAACTATAATCCAATAAATCATTTATCATAGATAATAATAATTAACCAGATTAATGAAATTCATCCAAATGAATACATAATTAATCGATGTTGTTAACTGTTATTTATGACTTTTATTATAAAATATGCTACATTATATCAATATCAATCATCATCCCATTTAATGGAGTTTTTAAATCATGAGATACTGTAGCTAGTAATCTATCCTTGTAATGATCCATTTCTTTTAAATGTTTTAATCTTATTTTTTCAGATATATCATTCATTATAACTAAAATTGAATGTTTATTTTCCCAAATGCAATTTAAAATACGAATTTCAAAATGAGATTTAATTTTTACTTATGGCTTTGTAGATAATTATACTTTACATTAACAATCCAATTTAAAACATAAAAAGTAATCACTAACATCTGAAATATCATATTCATTCTTTATTACTGATGATCTATTACTTTAGGTTTATTAAAATTATTCCTCTACTTGATTTAATTTTTTTTAAAGAATATCATAAATACTCACACAACTATTATATGTTTCTTATTCAGATTCTTATTCAGTTTATATATAAATACACTTTAACTTTTTAATGATCTCATTTTCATCAGAAACTTAAAGATATTTTATTGCAAAATCATTTGTGTATATCAGTTTCATTTCTTTACCTGTATTTGTAGAATCTTATAAATCATCATTTTATTCTGTTAAAATCAAAATTGAATTTGGAACTGTTTTATCAAATATATTTTTGCATGCATTCAAATTCGAAGTTTGTTAACATATTTTATAAAAATCCAATCTTTTGTAATATTCTAAAGAACGAAAAAAAATAAACAACATAATCAGTAATACATAAAATGTCCAATAAATTGAATCAATTATCCCAATCAAACCAACAAGTAATATTGTTGCTGCTATCAAAATTAATCCTTAACAAAACCACAATGGACATACTATTAAATAACTAATTATTATAATTCCTGTTTATATTCCACCACTTAAAGCTTAGGCAGTTGTTTATTAATTACATTGCTTATTTAACAATTAAGCTTATATATAAACATATGTAATCAATATTGTTATAAAGGCACTCACTATCTCTGATATAGATATAAAATATTTATATTGGATTTTTTGTATATTGGCTTGTGAAATTAGGCAAATTATATGCCAAAAACTAAATCCTATTCTTAAATATGCTACAACTTAATTTTTCAATACAAACTGATTATTAATAAAGTAGATAAAATTTATGAAGAAATGTATCAAGTAAGAGAGTCTAAAAAGCACAATTATTCTTTTTTTCTCCTTATTTGTGTATTTCTCTTCAATATCTAAATTCCTAAATGATAATGTCCACAAATTCATTATTTTTTTTGGCTCCAATTCATTTGACACTTCTTCTGGATGCAAAAAGAACTTTACTATGAATTAATAAATTTTTAACATTATTATATAAGAATTAAATATTCATGACCTGAGTCCCATTTAATTCAAATTATAAAAAAATGAATAATTAAATACATAACACTTCAAATTATTGTACTTAATTTGACATTTCGAAGATCACAAATTATTTAAACATAATTAAAAATAATGCTATGAGAATAAAAAATACATTTGTATATTACATATTTTTATAAACAGTAATAAAATAATGTAAAGGATGAACAAAATTTTTATCCAAAAATGTTTATATGTTTTCTTTTTAGGTAATAATAATTATTTATTATTAAATAAAAGAAATCTACCTGTTTTTCATGTTTACGTTATTTTTATGATTATTGCTAGCCTGCAAAATTTTAATAAAATATTATCTAAGAACTTATTGATGATTATTTTAATATTATTTATTTCCTATTAATCTAAAACAATTTTTATAAATTATTGATCTTAAAACGCATCAAGTATTATTGTATAATTTGTCTTATCACATTTAAAGTATTTTTAATTTTAATTGGATTATAATATTAAATTAAGAATAAAAATAAAATTTGCAATTAAACAATTATGTAATTTAATGTAAACAAAATTTAATCATAACCTAAAGGTTTTCAAAAGTTTTATTTGATAAATTAAATATCTTAATAAAAATAAACAATTTTGATAGAATTATTTAGTGTAATTCTAATTTATTTTATTTAAAATTAATAAATATAATGAATGAATAAGATTAAGATGAGTAAGAATTTAAGAGTTAAGATGAAATGATTAATGTTAAGTTTAAAATGTTGAAATATTAATGAGAGAATTAAAAATGTGAAAAAATTCTTAATAAAAATAAAGAAATTAGTTATGTTGAATTATTGATTGTGAGATTGTTGAAGAAGTTTCAAAGATAGTAAGATAGTATAAATGGTTATTATAGATGAATTAGAGAAGATAAAACATGAATTGAAGATAGATTGAATGAGAATAACAATTGAATAAACTTTGAAATAGAGAAAGAATTAAAAAGAATAGTTAATTTGAATGAATATTTTTATGAATTTAATTTAGAATAAGATTTATTAGAGTATAAAAGTATTAGGAATAATATTATAGTAAAATGAATAATAATTAGATAGAAAGGGAAAGAATGAGATTAGAGGAAGTATTATATATAAGATAGTAAAATATCAAATAATTAATATAAATAATGTCCAAATTTTAATAAGATGGTATAACCATCTGTTTACTGGGAGGGTTCCAGAAGTGGCCTTCCAGTGCTCAACATTCCTTCACTCCTCACAAATGTGGATTAAGGGTATAAAATTTGAGATGACTATTTTCAAGATTGTTAAATAATTTACATCGCATTATAAGGATTATTTATAGAAATTCAATGGCAAACCTATATAAATGCCTGTGAGAATTCTTACTTCTCCAAAAGAAGGTAATAATAGTTAAAATTGGATAGGAAAATATAATGATGGTTATGACAATGCAAATCATGATCTCATTATCAGATAATATGACAAATTATACAACAGCAAAAAGAATATGTAAGTTATGTGAGATCTATTGTTAAGAACATATATTTGTGAAGCTCTCCTAGGTGCAGGAACATTTGGCTAAGTGATCAAATGTAGTATAGAAGGAACAAAATAATAAGTAGCAATCAAGGTATCAATTATGAGAATAAATAGATAATAAAAAATTAACATGCATTTCATTAATAATAAAAAATAGAAATTCGTGTTTTAAGAACTCTATAGACTTTCTCTAAAGAATAAAATATTTAAAAAAATTGTATAATACAACTAAATGATTAATTTTTACACAAGAAGCATGCATGCCTAGTTTTCCCTTTGATGGCATAAAATTTGCTTGAAGTGATGAAAGCTAATAAATATGAAGGATTTAGTGTGTCACTAGTCCGAAAATTTCTCAATTAAATAGTAACAGGATTATAAGTTTCAGAACAATGTGGAGTTGTTCATGCAGATTTAAAACCTGAAAATATAATGATAGAATAAAAATAACCTATTTTAGATGATTGTTCTCTTTAAATTATAGATTTTGGATCAAGTTGTTTTATGAATGAGAAACACCCATATATTTATATTTAAAGTAGATTCTATAGAGCTCCAGAAATTATTTTAGAGAATAGCAATTATAATAGTAAAAATATTTTATAACATAAATTATTAGCTAAAATTGATATTTGGAGTTTAGGTTGTATTGCTGTAGAATTATTATTTGGTAGTCCACTTTTTCCATGTTGGGACTAATATTCTTGTTTGGAAAGAATCATTCAAGTTACAAGTCCTATAATATGTAATAGAATATAATATTATTATTTTAGCTATGTAAGGTTATGTTAAGAATGCTCCTGCTTCCAAAAAATACTTTAACTTACTTCAAAATAATACTTTTTAACTAAAATCCAGAGAGCAATTCACAAAAGAATTTCCTTAAATTTAAACCAAAGAAGGTTATAATGCAACACATCCAATAAAGAAACTTACAGATCTAGCTTAATATTATAATTAATAATCTACAAAAGGTATTATTATATATATATATATTTATTTTATAGATTAACCAACATTTTATTAATTTCTAGATTTCGTGTAAAAATGTCTTGAATGGGAACCAACTGCTAGGATGTCTGCCTAGGATGCTAGTTAACACCCATTTTTGACAGGAGAAAACTAAATAGACTTCATTTTTGATATTGAGGACTTGTTTGCAAAATTGGATACTTAATCTAATTAAAGTAGTACTTCCTCTTTTTATGAAGACCAACCAGAGTTCTGAGATATTTCCATTCCTCAGATTAAAATGTTCATTCAAATAAACAATAAGAAAAAAAAAAAAAAAATTTCCATTTGAATGATGTTTTAATCATTAAGAGGCAATTAATTAAAAAAATACAATTTTTGCTATATATATATATAATTAAGACTCATCGTTTCAAGTGAATTAATTTCTGCTATTTAATTCAACTAATTTGTTTGATTTCTTTTTATTATTAAATTATAATAAAAATCAAATGGGTCTTTGCTAATCTACTTAATCTACTCTTAAACTCCCTCGTATACCTGCCTAAAAGCATATATAGATTAATTTTCAAAAGATTAAAGAATACGAAATCCAATACACTTGTAGAGAAAGATTTTAAAAAAAACAATCTACTGAAGGTTTCTCACCTCTAAACAATGTATTAAAATGAATACTAATCTGATTTTCTTATTTTTATAATCTCTAATCTATTATTATACTATTTTATGTATTCAAACTCAGTTTTACTAAGAGATTATTCATCTTATTTCTCTCTCTATCTGTTAAATCATATTATTGGAGAATATTATGTATTTTCTACAGAATCATCTTTATCGCTTAAAAAAATGAAATTTCTATAAATCATTCTAAATACTTAGACTTGTACCTTATTGGAGACAATCATTTTAATTAATATGAGTGCTACATTTATAAAATATATAAATAAGTACTGGTTTGTTATTTAATTAAGTAACAATATATAAATGAAAAATAATTCAATTAAAACATATTACTTGATTAAATTAAAATAATTATTATTTAGAAGCTCATTTCTTTTTCTTAAGATTTACTTTGTAATTATTACATATAATTTTTATATAATATTTATTAGATAAAATGGATCAGACTAAATAATAAATAAAGAATGAACTTTTAAATTTGAGTTTTTCAGAAGAATAAATAGCTTAAGTATTACCAAGTGCTGATAGTGTAGAATAAGCAGTAGAATTACTATTAGCATTATAAGAAGGATAGCAAATAAAAAAATAAAATGTTGGATTATTTACAAACATTGATGCAATTCCTTTTGATATAAATTTTGATAACATAAAACCACCAGGAGAGTAATTTGATAAGAGATATAAAATGGTTTGTGTAGTGAGAATGGATCTAAAAATGGGAATAGGTAAAATAGCAGCATAAACAGGACATGCAGGTATATTTAATGTTTTAATAAATGTATAGTATTGGGAGCATATAAATAATTATTAAATGCTAATTATGATTTGTTATTAAAATGGGAAGGAAGTGGTTAAGCAAAGGTAGTAGTGAAATGTGAAAGTTAATAAGAATTGCATAATATAGAAGCAAAAGCAAGACAGAATGGATTAATTACATACATAGTAACAGATGCTGGTAGAACATAAGTAATAATGAATTCACTAGTTTGAGGTTGAACCAGGAAGTTAAACAGTTTGTGCAATAGGACCTGCTGATTGTGATCTAATTGATTAAGTGACTGGCCATTTGAAATTATTATGATATTATTAATATTAAATAGTAAAAAAAAATATTTCAATTAGTTTATCGAAAATTTTTGGATATTTTTTTAAGATCTAGTTAGTTCACAAGTGGAGTAGTTTATTCTTGTTATTTTTCTACATTTCTTTATACTGATTCATTATTAAAATCTTTCATAAGATGTTAGGTTTCTTCAATTATTTTTAATTGTAACATTTATTATTTTTTAGATTAAACAGTTTTCCATAAACTAGATCTTGATCTCTATTTTATAAGTGGCATAGGAGCAAACGATTTAATACCTTTAAATGAGAGTAATTCAATTTATTCTCTTAATTTTAGAAGTCTCTCTTATTCATCTTGAACTTTTTATTTTTCTTTCATTTTTTCATGTTTAGTAGTATCCATATTAGATAGTTTGTCTCTTTAAGTTTTAACTTGAATACTCTAATCTAATTCAAGCCATACAATATCTGCTTTAACAAAACCATTTTCATTATATCCTCCAAAAATAAGTAATCTATTTTCATCTTAAGCAGCACAATGACCAGCTCTACCATCTCTATATTCCATTTAAATATTACACCAAGTTTATGAATCTACTTTAAAAATATGACAATCATTTAAGAATATTGAATCAACATTGATTCCACCAAAAATTACTATTAATTATTATTTGTCAAAATAATTGCAACTATGTTTATATCTAGCACATGGAGGAACGCCTTTGGCTTTAACTTCACTCCAATACATAGGTCTTTAATATGTATTTAACAAATAGAAACCAGAATATAATTAACCCTATTTATTTTCACCTCCAAATAAATAGATTCCTTCAATTTTTTATTTCATATCTTTTAAATCCTCAGCATCTAAATTTGATTTATAAAGTTGTATTAATCTATTTGTATTATAAACAGAAACTATAGTATGAAAAGCAATTCCATTATAAAAGTAATTACAAGTATCAATATTAGCAGGTGCTTATTTGGCAGTAGTAACATCAAAATGAAATGCATCTGATAAATATTTTCCTTTAGTTGTAATACCTCCCATAATAAATAAATGTTTGCCTACAAATGTACTAGCTTATCCTCTTCTAACTTCTACTCCTTCTCCACTGGTTCTAACAATTTTGAATTCATTAGTTTCTGTATTAAAAACTCTAAAATCATTTAAACTTTCTCTTATTTTCTAAGCATTATCATATGGTTTTTCTCCTCCAAAATAAAATATTGATCTTCTATATACTCCAGCTATATGATTAGTTCTACCATAAGGTGGTTTATCTATTAATTCTATTTAAGACCACTCATTTCCATTCCAAACATTCATATCATTAAATGGCGTAGCACTTATTCCACCGTATAAATAGAATTTATTTTAGATTACACTCAATGTAGCGCCTTCTCTCATTGGAGGTCTCCATTTACCATAAAATCTCTCAACCCAATTTAAATATAAATTCGGAATTGAAGCATCTTAAATTACTTCAATTACTTTTGGTTAATGTTTATTTAATTTCTAACCATCATCATTTAATCTAGATGGATAACATTTAATTCTTGGTAATCTACCCACTGATTAACTTTTACTTATTGAATATTATTCTATTTGTTAAGACAGTTACTCATTTTATTATTTTATTTATGCTCTATTATGTCCTAATTAGAATGCAATCTCATCTAATGGACCATAACCTGTATATATTTTACTAGAACTTTTATCATTTAAACTTCTTAAACTATGTTGAGAATTATTTTTAAACAATCTAGCTCTATATGGTTACCATTTTTAATCCTTCTCTAATTTATCCACTAATGTTTTATCTACTTATAATAATTCTTGTTAACTTACAAATTTACTTAGTTTACTTTTATTATTTTAAATTGGTAATGGTGGATGGATCTATAATATTTCTATATACATATATATACCATTTATAATCCTCTCTATACCATATATTTATATTTTGTCATTGATAAATCACTTATTCCTTATCCCTAATACTCTTTTACTAAATAATCCATTGCTTCATCTTCATCATTAAAATTTAAGATTGGTTAAAGTGGAGAAGGTGAATCACAATTACTCATTTTATTATATTTAAATATAAATTCTCAAAATAAATATTTATTTATTCAATTTTATATTTCTATTCATATTAATATCTTCTCATTTCTATAATAGATTAATATTATCTCTTCATTCAATCTCTTCTCTTTTCTCACATTTTCTATATTTTATTTCATATTTTAACTCAAATGCTTATACTTTATAATTATTAGAAACTTTATATTCATATAAATATCTTTTATAAATAATCAAAAACTTCTAAACATATTTTTTTTTAAAGTTTTTATGCCTCAATTCCATTAACTAACTGACTAGTATTTTATTAAAGTTGAATAAATATAATATTATTTTTTATAAATATTATTATATATAAAATGACTTCCAAAAATAGATTTTTAATGGCCAAGCTTTGGTCTTCATATTTTTTATAAATGCCGATATTTCTATATTAATAATATTTGAATTTACTTATAATTTATCAATATATAAATAAATATAAGCTATTGCGTTAATATATTTGTGATCCTCGTATATAAAACTAATATTATCAAATAAATTTATGGGAATGTGTCATACCAAAAAGCTAAAAGAAAACAAAAATACATCAATTCTCAGTTAAACTCAACCCAAAGCTAAAATTCCTTAAACCACAGAACAAATACTTGAATTTGCTATCACAGAGCCTTTTGAAGATAGTAATCTATTCTACATATCTCAATAATCTAAACCTAAAAGCTAATTACCTAAACATTAAAGTCCAACCTACTCATTGAATCTCTCCAATTATAAATATCGTTTTTCTTCCAAATATGTTCACTAAGAATTCAAACTTTATGAGAGTATCATATATATTTATCACTTAGAATAACTTATAATTCATAGAGAGAGTGGGTTACCATATTATCTTGAGATTTTAGAATCTAATTCTGAGAACAGAGGATTGATTAGAAAATTGTTTAATCCCTCTTCTCATACTAACCAATCAGATCAAACAAATATCTTTAACATTGTTGAGATATGTTTATAAAATAGATTTATTTTGGTTGTTAGACAATATTTAGTAACTAACAGTCTTGAATCACAATTATAAATTCTCAAATCGAATTTTAATACTTTATCAATTTCCGTCAATAAGATAATTAAAATCATAACGATACTACATTCATTAAATATAATTCATTTTAATTTGAGTATCAAATCGTTCTAATATTAATAAATATCAGAATCAATATATCTAAATAATATATCAGATTTATATAATAGCGATGAAATAAACTTTTAATATATCTCCCCAGAATAATTAAATTACATTCCCTATTTTACAAAAGAATGTAATCTATGGTCTTTAGGTATGATTATCTGTTAAATGATGGATTGTCCAAAAATTCCAATCTATAATAATAATTTGAATAAATTTAAAAGAGATATAGAAAAATGGAAACCAAAACAGTCAGTTAAGTATATTTAAAATAGAGAACTTTAAGAATCTATTCTTAAAATGTTATCAAAAGACCCTAATCAAAGATGTTTTTGAATTTCTCTTTTTATTTTATATATAAATTATTGATATGGTTTAATAAAACAATAAAAACTAGACTTAAATTACAGTGAATGTTAAATTATATTGTAAATGGAGGCAAAAATTGATTTATATTTGTTATGACAGCTGAGAATTGTAATTCCTTTATAAGATTTGCCCTAGATCTTATAAGGGCTGAAGATTACTATACAACAACATCATCAAAGAAAGAATTAAAAAAACCTTAATTGAGACTGTTTGATATTGATGAGAGTCCAAAAAAATATACTTTTATAAAACCATTTCCAATTCAATAAAAAATAACAAAAGTAAAATAAATTGAAAAGCCTATTCTAAATACAATAACAAAATGTAAATGCATGAAATCTAAATGTTAAAAATCTTATTGTGAATGTTTTGCAGTTGGAAAAGCATGCAATATTGAATGTAATTGTTTAGGATGTAATAACTCAAGTTGTTCTTAATCAATGAAGAAAATATAGGTTGGAGGATGTAATTGTAAGAAAACAGGTTGTATGAAAAAGTATTGTGAATGTTATTTGAAAAAATAGAGATGTACATTTTTATGTAATTGTATTGATTGTTGCAATCAAGAAGATTCAGAATCAGAAAAAGAAAATGACTAAATATTATAGCATAAAACAGATCTTGTATAAATAACTACTAAATCAATGATGTAGCAATAATGAATGAATTTTATTAAATAATAATATAGGCTCATTTAATTAATTGAATAGGTCTTCGTAATCTATAATATTAAGATGGAATATTGTATATGAAATTAGTAATAGTGTAATACACTAAATAATGTGGCTTCATTCTAAACTTTCCTTTCTTACGCAATTCATAATAAAGCTAATCTCTAACAAAATGGTGATCAGTAATTGAAACCCATTTTAATCTTTGAGAACAAGTAGTTAGATCTCTACCTATTAATTCAAATATTACCTAATAACTTCGTTTCCATTTTAATATTTATTAGCTTCTTCCTGATTCATGGAGACAGTTAAATGCATTAATAATTCATTAGCCATTTTAGTTCTAAAATCTCCTTTAGGAAAAGCAACATCTAGATAATTTGGAATACACACTAATTCTGGTGCATGTTTTTTATAGATATATTCCATCATTACTTAAGCAATTTTTTAATTATGTGCTTATCTTTTTTTGAAGACTATTCTTCCATCAAACCATTCATTTATTACTAATTTAATTTAAAACATATACTTCCTGCTAACATTATATAACGAATAGGTAAAATACAAATAATGCAATAAAGTGAAAATATGGCATACAAAAACCAAAGAGTTCTATGATATTCTTACCAAGTAAATAAATTTATCACTTTCTCTGCAAAGTTACTTAAATAAGTTAAGTATAATTAAACAATAAAAAAAGTTTTTTTTATTGCTCTAAGTTTTTAATAAAAAGATTCTTTTGGTTCATTTTCATCATCCACTTCTAATTTAATTTCATTTCCTTCAAATTTAATTACTTTATCTAATGATTAAGTATTCTTTTTAAGATCTTTCTCTTCCTAAGTAAATAATTAAGGAGTTTTATAATAATAATTCAATTCACATAAGATATATTTATCAAAAAATAATTTTACATGATGATGTATTGTAGGATGTTAGTAGATCATTATAAACAATAGTATGAATCCAAAATATTACAAAATATTGTTCAAATCTGCAAAAAAAATAAAGATGAACATAAATGTAAAAACAATAAAGGTTAATCTTGGATATTTTTGATCTACTACATCTTCTAATGATAATTGAAATAAGATCATTAATGAGATTATTCTTTTGAATCTTATAATGTTCATTTTAATGACAGTCAAATCAGGTTCTAGTAATTCATTTTCGTATGAAAATACAGGTCCTGGTCCAAAAAGTGATAAAGGACTTGACATATTTCTAATAGTCACAATTAAACTTGGTTATTATTCTTCTAAATTATAAGATTGCTTTTTTAAAAATTAAAAGATATCACTACCATTTGCATCTCTATTTAATGGTAATTGTATTCTCTATATAGATTTACAATATTTATTACCGAAAACTTAGTTCCTGAATGATAACTCAATAAATCAGCAATCTATATTTCAGCCATACCTATTACAGATTATTTCACTTTTCGTTTTAAAATGCCATCTTAAATCTCACTAATCAATTCTAATCGTATAACTGAAAAAGAGTCAATTATTGGAAATATATAATCTTAACTCCACTATGGATTATTACTATAAACATGTTATTTCGTTTAACAAGTAAATGGAGGAAAAGAAATCTTAACAAACAAAAATGAATCTTAAATAATATTTGATAGATTAAAAGCCTCCTTTATTTAAATTTAAACTTTTCCTAAAGAATGGAAATCATCATGCATTCTTTCACATTATAATACTTCCTATGATGCAAATTTTAGCTAAGAGTACCATAATCTTAATAAATTAGGATCCTCTGGTTTTAATTATATCTTTTAATAATCGTAATCATGATACATAAACTATTAATTTATATCTCTATATTTACAATAACATCTTCCAATAATTCTAATTTAATTTGAAATAACATTATTTAACAACTGAAATAATTATAAGAGATATGTTGAAATAATTATAATGTGCCTTCTTAAATTTTCCCATAGAATGTTTACCATACTTCATCATCTGAAAATCTTAATTGTACATTTGCTGCCATTTTCTTTAATTAATCATACTTTTAATTCCCAGCCTAATTTTAATCATCAGTTGATAAATTATGATATCGAAATTACCAATCAGGCTCATCTTCATTCTAAGGATCTGTTGACGCAAAAATATTTTATTTTTGATTTCCTAACACTATATTTTATTTTTTATTATTTTACAATCTCTTGTCAAAAAATAATATAAAAATTTTAGAATATTGCTCTATATTTAGGGATGTTACATTGCTATTAAAACTAACTTATTCAAAAATAGATGAAATCCAGCTTTTCTCTTCTCAGTTTTAAATAACCATTCATGTTTTGATGGAAATTAAGGTAAATCTAAATTACAATACTTCATTTTTAACTTTCATCATTACTTAATTATTTTACCACTTTGTGTAATGCATAGAATTCATTGTATCGTCTGTTACAAATAAATGTTTGAATACTTGGATGTCTCACTTATATTTTATATAAAGTAAAACTAAATCCATATTCATTCTCTGTCCCAATAATATTTATCTAGAGTTATTTTAAATCTAATTTTAAAAAATCATCAAAAGTTAGTTTGAAAGTTTCTGTTGATGATTTTGCATTTTTTGGACTGGTTTGCTACATGATTATAAATTAATTATATTCAATATTTTTAATATCATTTCATTAAACTATCATAAATTCTCTATTTATATAAATGATTAATAACAAAAAGAAAAGACTAAAATAATGAACATTCTTATTATTAGAATATCAAGTTCTATTTGTTATTCTTATTAATTTATTCTCAATTGTTGTGTTATTTTGATAAAACTTAAATTAAAATCTATAAAAATAAGAATTAGATTTGTGTTCTACATCTATAATTATACTTAAAAATAAAGTAGTATATATAATATTAATAAAATTAAGAAAGTATCATTTTTTATTTTTTAAAGATACAACCTATTTTATAGTATAATTAAAACCGATGGTTTTATTTTTAAACTGGATCTATTCAATAATGATTACCAAAAAATATAGTTTTATCTTTTGAGTACAAGAACAATAAGGATTAAATAATTTTGAATAAAAATTGTCTTAGAAGAAAGTGCTGCAAGTATTGGCTGTTCTAATGAATTTTAATTTGTAATAATTTTATATTATATTCATAAAAATATAATGAATAATAGATTTGAGAATTCGTAGGATTATGATTTAGACATGTGTGGCATTTCAAGATCATATTCATAAACTAAATTACCAAGTCAAAACAATAATAATAAAGATAAATTAAAAAATGAGTTTGTATAATATATTTTAATGATAAAGGTGGATAAAAACCTATTATAAAGAAAGGATTAAGAAGATCTGAGTGGTTCAATATAATTAAATGATTTAAATATTTTGGGATTAAAAGATTACTACTCTGGTACATGTGATAATAATTTGGAAATAAAACCTAAGAAAATAGAAGAAACCAATGATCGTATTGAAATAGAAGCATAATAAAATGAACCAATAAATACTACTCTCGATTAATTGGGTTAAAAATTAAATGAAGTGATTGGACAATATCTTTGTGAACTTACTTCTTAATCTAGATTATCTTTAGACTCATTTTCCTTATAAAATAGTGAAAATCTTGATGAAGAACAATAATAATAAATTTTAGATCTTGAATTAAATGTAATCAGATAGCGTATATATAAAGTATACATTTCGATTTAAATTAGTAAATTGTTGATAAAATCAACCTTTCTGTAATTTAATCAGTTTAATCAATTGGAACTTCTAGTTAACTTATATCTTAAACTTAATCTAATTAAATCTCTACACATGTTTCCAAAGAACTTATGAATAATAGTACTACGTAGTTTTCTTAGATTTCATAAAAATCACCCCCAAAATCGCTTACTCATTCGCTTTTAGATTTATAATCATAACTTTATTAGAGCACCTAATAAGCATAAGCTAGGCCTAGTAATAAAAAAACTGATGAACTCCCATTTAATATTGTAGATTGTGAAGGAACAAAAGAAGAGTTACAAAATAAGCTCAAGATTTCCATCTAATTAAATTATTAATAATCCTAAATAAATAGCCAATTAAGAGAAGAATTATAAAAATATGAAGTATAATAATTTGATTATCAATTTAGAAAATGAATTAACCACAAGATTCAATTTATGAAGATGATATACAGATCTTATAATAAGAAATTCAAAATTTGAGATTAGAAAATTGTAAACTTAAAGAAAATTAATCAAATAAACTATGTGAAAGATGTAAAGATAGTATATGACTTTTTGAAATAATATTCATATCTATAATTGTCATTTATTAAGTTTATCTTACTTTATTAAAGGAAGTAATTTATCTAAAACTTATTGATATTGTTATATCATATTTTTGACCTTTATTTCTTCTTTTTGAGGTTGTTATAAACTCTTATGTCTTTAATAACCCTGATTTTATAGTTTGTAATTTTAAATAGGCTTCACATTTAAACTCTTTTCTTAATTTTAGATTGGTTTTGCTTAAGTTCTACCTGATCTTGGACTGGTTTTACAATTCTATTTGTCAAAAGTAGATGTTCTTATTTCATAAATAATTATATTACATTTATGATAATTTAGTTTGTATTCTAGCATTTTCTTTCTTTCTATTTTCTTTGATTTCAATAGATTTTTTAGAGTTGCAAGAACTTACACTACGAATAGATTACCTTGAATACAAATATATTTTTAATTAATTTTACAGATTTTTAAAAAGTAGACTCTACATTATTGAGTTTATGGAGTAGCTTTTTATTTTATTTCATAATTCCTTCCCATTTATTAATTTCTTATTTTCTTGCGGCTATGTACCTATTTTATTTATAAACATCAAATGTTTTATCTAATTTAGGAAGGGAAGTCTTTCTTGATTTAATGTCACTTAATCTTCTTTAATGAATTTAATAGGCTCTGTATAATAATAGATTAATTATACTGATTTTTCTATTGTTAGATGTATCTCTACATATACGTTCTAACTAAATTTATATAAAATATATAAATAATCAAACTATTTTGGAAGTAACTTAAACAAATTTTTTGAGATTGATTTATTTTTTACTCAATAAATAGATTGCAGCAGCAACACAAAATCCAGTAGTAATACTCCATTTCCAATATTACTCTTTTTTTTTTTTATTAAGATTCTAATGAGATGATAATAAATAATTACCACTTAAGATTACTTCTTAATAACTTCAATTTCTTTAAGTACTTTCTATCTCCTTTATCTTACTCTATTCATGTCATAGAATGTAACAACCTTAATCTGAAATATCATTTACCTTATCTGTAATGCATTCAGTCTTCTATTGATTATTCACTTCTCTGAAATGGCTAAACAATGATAGTTTACTTATAAAATACACCTTCACTTTTAAGGCAAATTGTTTTCTATTGATTGTGATTTAATTCATTTGTAAAAGCTTTGAAAAATCTAGATTCACATCCCCATTATATAGTATTATTAATACAATAGTTGGATATTTATACTCCTCTAAATATGGTATATATTCTGATCTAATTATCTGATGTTACCTAGTCTTCAAATTAATGTTTTGTTTACAGTTGATCTAAATAAATTGTCTATTTTTTATTTAATCTCGTAGCATAATTATTTGGCTTTTGTAGCTGGATATTTAATTCTCGTCTCAAATATCACTATTTCCCCTTAAAGTATATCTCCTTGATCTTTTGCTAATTTATTTGAATATAATTCATAGAAATTATGCTAATGCTATTCTTACTTATCTTAATTAAATGAATTTGATGGATTATGTACAAATTGATGTCTTCGATTGGCTTAATCTTGTCTACTCTATTATTTTTATAATACGTAGTTCTTATTGATCGAAAATAATCTTCTTTTGTATAAACATTAGTATTTTCTAACTTCTAATCAAACATCAAAGAAAATGAATTAAAAGTAAAATTTCTTAATGCAAAAAATACTTAACTCTCAGTGTTTTGATTCTCTATTAAAACTAAACTAAATTACATTTATTTATTGTGTCTTGTAATTTATCAATTACTCACAACTCACTTTTTTTTAATCCAAAATATGTAGCATATGAACAAATGATGGAGTTAGAAACGAATCAAATTCATCCCCAATTAAATAATGTGCATATCGCTATAAGAATTGACTCTCTATTTTTGAATGAATATCTTAAGCAGAAGCTTATGATTTTCCAGTGTGAGCAATATCATTCATTTTTTTACAAAAAATATTATATTAAATATATAGATAATTTTGATTTGTCTAAATTCAACAAATAATAGAACTTCAAATTTTTACATTCTTCATCTTTATCATATCATATTATATTAATTATGAAATTTTATCCAATATCAAAATTACTTTATAAACTTATTTTCTAATTTTAATATTTCATTCTGCTTTGAGCACTAAATTTGTATACAATTATAAATCTTCTGACTTTGACTTATTAGAAAAGATTATAAAATTAAAAATATATAAATATTTAAAGTTAATAATGAAACAAAAACCTAAATTATAAAGTGGGTATGATTTTATTAACGCTAATAAATTTACTAATCAATTAAGAATCTTGAATGATTCCATACATCAAATAACAAAGTTATCAAAAGCTCCTGATTCCCCATTTAACAATGCTATAATTAAGAAATGTTTAACACAATAATCTCAATCTCCTAAATAAAGAAGAATTCAATATGGAGAATTTAAATAATAAACTTGTACTAAAACTACTTGTTCTCCAGTTTCAAAAGAATAATTATATAATTTTAGTTCTGAAAAAAAACAAAAGGATTATAGATTCAATTAAATAAAATAAATAAAATAAATATAATACATTCCTGTAGTACAAAGTAATTAAAGATATAAAAGATAATAGTTTAGAAATAATTTACTTTTAATATCAAAAGATTTAAACAATACTTAAATTAATGAAATTATTTAACAAATTTCTAAATGAAAAATGATTGTATAAATTTCAATATGTCATACTTTTTTGGTTTAAGAATTTGCCATTGCAACATTAATAAATGGATGATAAAGAGCATCTTCAGGAGTAATTCTATTTTTTGGATCTAATTACAAACATTTTTCTAATAAATCTTTAAATTACAAAAGCATTTTTTAATCTTCAGCATTTAAAGTTTATTCTTTATTTTTTAAAAGTGTGCCTATAGTTCTGATTGGTTTTTCTCCCAACAAAACAGGCTTAAAAATAACCTATTTGGTAATTGGATCAATTTCTCTACTCTTAAAATTAAGATGTTAATCAAAATATTTAGATGTCAAAGCAGATCTTCTTAACATTTTCATTGAGAATTTACCCATAGTTTACAAATGTAATTTCAACATATCATTATTATTATCCCCAGAGAATAAGAATTATCCTGTGAATAACTCAAATAATGTGCATGCAGTAGCCCAAACATCAATATTTGTATCATAAGGATAACCAATAATAATTTCAGGAGCACGATAATATCTACTTACAAGATATTCTACAACTGTTACTTCATCAATAGTAAAAGCAGTACCAAAATCACATAATTTTAATAATTTGGTATCAGTTGATATTAAAATATTATCTGGTTTAATATCAGCATGTATGATTTTATTTTTTCGTAAATGAGCTAGGGCAACAAATAATTACATAGCATAAGATCTAATAGCAGGTAGATCTAATCCTTAACCTTTTGTATATACTTTTAAAGCATCTCTAAGATTTAAATCTAATGATTCGAAAACTAAACATAAATGTTTTCTATGTTCAAAACTTTCAATTAACCTTAAAATATGTTTTTTATTATTTGGATCCGCTTCATTTAATTATTTCAATATTTATCTTTCTCTTTCTCCTGATCTGATATAAATATCTTCAGCTCTAATAAATTTAATTGCATATTCTTATCCATCTTTAATTGCTTTACAAACATTTCCAAAAACACCCTTCCCACATTTATTAATTATCTTATAATCTTTGATCATTTCTCCAATTGTTATTCTATAATATTTATCGTCATCAGCCTCATATGATGCATTTGTATTATGTCTAACCATCATATTTAAATCATCATTTTCTAGTTCATCATCTAATTCATCAAACATATCTAGAATTACTTTCTTTTAAGGTTATCCTGTCTTTTATTATTACTATTATTATTATTCTTCCTAATTTTTTACTATATAATTAATATATTAATTACGATTCCTTTATTAATCAAGCATACGAAAATAACTCTATTTATTTTCATCAATCTATTATTATGGCTAATCAAATGTAAATCCTTAATCATTTTCTTTCTCAGGTGAAACTTATATCTCTTGTTCCAATTTTTTAAATAATTCTTCTCTCATCTATTTTCTTCTTAAATATATAGCTTCTTCATCTTCAATATCTAATTCTTATGCATTTTACTCTTCATCTTCCTTTGTAATAAAAACTTCCTATTATTATTATTATTATTATTAATTTCCAATACTTTATTCTTGCTTTTATTCTTCTTAAAGTTACTTTTATTTTTATTGCTAATCTACTATCTTTTTATCGTCCTTCCTCTCTTTTCTATTTAATTCTTTTTTGTGTTTTTTTTTATTTTTCTTATCTCTCTCCTTTTCTTTGCTTCTACTTCTTTTCTTATTCTTTTTCATCTTTCCCTTCTTATGCTTTGAAAGTGATCTCTCTTAATCCCATTCTGGAGTACGCTCACCTTCTTCAAATATACCATTTCTTTAACCATCACCATTTGGAATTTCTCCTTCCTCCATCATTTTTATATATGTTATAAATTATATAACAAAATTATTTTATTTTATTTATTAGTGTTATTCCTTGCTTTAATCCAATATATTATTTTTTTAAGTCCAAGCTATTTTCCTTATATTCCTTTAATTATTTTATTTATGTCTAAAACTAAAGAAGATTATTTAAACATTCTTAAAGGACTTTCTAAAGACTTATAATAAGAAATAAAGCAATAATATTTACAAATTTGTACAGAAAAGTATTTTGATAGAGATTTAATTGTTGACTGTAAAAACTTGTTATTTTATAAAAGGCATGTATGATAATTTGAAAATTAAAGAAAGAAATTTAAATGATTTTATCTTAACTATTGATGCTCATTCCAAATTTTATGAAGCCCATAAAGAATCTATCAATTCAGAAGATATAAAAGCATAATTAAAAAATACAAAAAAATTAGTAGCTGATTGGGTAAAATGGTATGAAAATATTACATAAAAATAATCATGACTTTAGTTTGAGAATTTTATAATTTCTTATAAAGAAAAACACTATTTATCATTTTTTAATTATATTATTAATTCAAAATAATATGAATTATTTTATAAGTTATTTGGAACTTTTTTATTTTCATTTCACACTTCTTTTTCACAAATCAAATCTAAAAGCTCTAGTTCACTTTTGAATACGCTAAAATAACAAAATAATGACTTTTATAAATCCAAATTCAATTAGAAGATGATTTTATTTCTTAACACACTTCCAAGTAATCTAATTTACAATAATTTAAAACTTTTTATGATTTTAAAATGTAATAAATAATTTTATAAAGGCATACTTATGATAAATGAAAAAATATTATAAAAAGATACTTCTTGAAACTTAATTTAAAATTAAATTTTTTATAAAAATTTATTCATTGAAAAAGAATTTTAAACATAAAAATAAAGTTAGAATCTTTAAGATATATATAAAATCATGATGATTTATAAAAGAAATTGAATTTAATTCATATATTTCTAATTAGTATTAATTAATTGAAAAACTTAATTCAAATAATTTATATTAAGGAAAAGTAATCTTGAGTTTAATATTGGGATTATAACACAAACTTTAAAGATCTTTTTAAATCAATAATATCATTTATATGGTTAAATTCAACAAACGATCTCAAACTTACCCTCATGGCACCTAAAGCAGCACATGTATAAAAATTTTTGAATTTAGAATCTCGAGATAGCATAGAAAGTCTTAACTAGTGTGCAATAACGATCAATAAAGAAGGCTTTCATTAAGAAAATTGTACCATTTGCTATAAAAAACTATGCTCAAAATGCTTTAAATAATTAGAACTTTTCTCTTCTAAAGGAACTTAGTCTTCTTAATGTCCACATTGTGAAGAGATAAAGGAATTAAAAAATACTATACTATGTTTCATAGTAAACGTTCTCTAACTTATCATCTTCCTTTCTCTTTCACCTCTTGTGGCATTTGCACTTGCTCTTAATAAAACTGAAAAGCTTATATAAGAAATAGAAACAAAAATAGATAACATTTTCATCATTTTAATTGTTAACTTACTTTTCAGCATACCTATGTATATCGGAGTGCTTATAATTTTTATATTCATTGCACCTTTCAAGATTTTCCTTGGATTTCAAGAAGCCATGAATCAAAGGGATTTTCTAATCATGAAAAGAGTGTTCTCGTAATAATGAAATTTTGTTTTATGTATATGCTAATTGATTAATACGTAATATATTTCATAATCATTTCTTTTTAATGGTCTAATTTAATGTCAAGATGATGAATTAATTCAAAACAATTGTTTAAGAAGGTTTAATTTCTATTATTCTATATACAAACATATAAAATTATAAATCCTATTAAGAATTCTATCTAAGGTAATGTGAATCATCTATAAATCTCGTCATTCTGGATAGAATTTCATTCCAAAATTATCATCAATATAAAATGATGACAAAGATTTTTATATTATTTCAAAAAAATATCTATTGATCATTTTTGTTAATATTTTAGCTTTATAAGAGGTTTAAGATGAATATTACTATTTAGAAGAATAGATGATATATTATAATTTTTATTTGCACTTTTATACATGTTTATAATTAAAGCATTTTTATATTATTTAAAAATAATCCTTTTTTTTGTAAATCAAATATCAATATTTTTGGATTGATTTAATTGTTTTCATTATTAATATATACTAAATTTAAGAGCTTTAATGTATACATGAGATATAATAAAATTAGATTAAGTTTGATTTAATTTCTTTCTTAAAACTATTAATACTAGATAAATATAGATGGTTAAATATAGAAATTTAAGGATATCTATTTTATAAATTTGTTAATGATTGATTGAAATGTAAATATTATATATATTATTATGTTTTTAGTTGAATATATAAAGTTAAATTCATTAACATTAATTAAATGAAGACTAAGGAGGAAGAATATTCATGGATTCTATTTATAATAAAGTTCTTTTAAAATGACTAAATTATAAATATTGTAATTACACATTTACTGATTATTTTTTAAGTTTTAAGTACTTAACTTCTAAAGGAGAAGGACTTAGATCTTCATTATTTTCTTCATGTTCTTCTTAATTCAATTATTCTTTAGTGATTTTACTCATACTTTCAAATGCTAAGGATAGAAGATTATTATTTTCAAAAAATGAGAGTTATGATATATTATTTTGATGACTAGGTAATCCAATAACACTTTAATTAGCACTTTAATTATAACTACTAAAAGTATCATTAAAACTAGAATTGCTTTTTTATTTAGCAGGTGTTAATGATTTTTTTCTACAATGTTATTCAGGTGTTTTTAAATAACTATGTCCAGATAATCCTTCTAATCCATTAAGTGTACTAGATGATGGTTATTTTTTACGATTTTATAATAAATCTTACTATTCTTGATCTGTAGTTCTTTTGGATCGTTTTAAAACAGCAATTTCTGAGCTTGGAACTTAAAGTGATGATGGAGTATAATCCCAATCATATCTTAATTAATCTTAAATATTTAATTAATGAGCTAATTTCTAAAACATTTGTCTTAAGAATTGGTAATCAGGTGTAGCTCTAAATTCTAATTTACGTGCATAATCAATCATTCTTTAAAATTCATCTGGTAATCCATTACACAATTCATGAAGGGTTATAGTTGTTTTCATATCACCTACAGCCTTTATTTTTTATTCATCCTATAATTTTAAAACTTGCCAAGGTAAACTTCCTAAATCAAAATAAAAGACTTAACCTTTCAATAGATAAATTAAAACATATCCTAAAGATTCTAAATCATCTCTTCTACTAAGTTCTTATCCCTTATGTGCAGCTAAACTAGCATAGCGAGATGTCCCAAGAAATGGTTTATTATCCTAAAAATTTCTTATTTTAATTAATTATTAAATTAATACATATGTCTTCCTTTCTTATCTCTATAGAATTTGCTAATCCCAAAATCTACTAAATATATATTTGAATCATTATCTCTTCCTGTTAGAATATTTTCTGGCTTTATATCTCTATGTAATACAGATCTCATATTTTTATTACTAATTACTTTAGATGTATATTTTCCAATATACTTAACATTTATTCTGCAATCAGTAAAACACATTTTAAAGAAAATTTTTTATATTGTCGAATATAATAAGTGAGATCTTTTCCCAAAAAACTTATTACCATTAACAATTATTTCTTATGCTCTCCAAAATAAAACAATCTTGGAATATTGAGAGTCCCATTCAAATGTTAAAGAATTTTAGCCTATTTATATATTATTATCCAAAATATACTTACTTCTTTTTCTAAACTTGATCCCTAATCAGTCTTTTCTATCTTTATTGCCACATATTAATTCGTTTAAACATCCTATCCTACATACACTACACCAAATGAACCTTAAGAAATTTTCTTTTTCATTATGTATTAATCATTAATCATTAAAATAATGTCCTTATTACACTTTATTTCAATAAAGTCAATTACTTTACTTAAATACTAACAAATTTAATTATTTATCAAGAGAACCTATTATATAAGTCTTTAATCTATTAACAATCTTTCAAATTCATTTATTTAGATCTTATCTATGTAAAGAATTAATATTTCATAACACTATGTCCTCTCTATTACAAATTAATCAAAATTATTTTAATATAAGATTAAAGATATTCTAACTATTTAATCATCCTTATATTAATAAAAAACCAATAAAAATTATAGAAAATCTTATTTAAATTTAGAAAATTCTTTTAGTTTTGGCTTATGAATCTTTACAAAAAATGATAGAATTCTTTTATTAAATATAAATTGTTTACATAATAAAATTATATCATTCATTCAATAGGCAGAAAAGTTTAAAAGGTTCATACTGAAAAATTCCTTAAATAGATTTCAAATAGAATTCAAAAAATAATCAAACTACAGATTTTTTATCTCAATAGATTGATTTAAATATCGCCTATAAAGTATTTTATATAAATGTCAAATTATATTAATAATTTCACTTTTATTTATAATAATTTTTTACCTTTCCTTTAATAATAACATAATTCAATAATATTACTTTAAAGTAAAATCATCTAGAGTGAAAGTTGATAAAATAATCATAAATCACACACCCAAAATATTAAATGACTAATATGAAAAAGCATTTATTTCTTCAAATATGTACAATTTTTCTATAATTATTAAATCCAACGAAAACTTTCTATTTAAGAAAAATGATTAGAATTTTATAATCATTTAAGATGATTTGCTAAGTTGATTAAAAAATTAATAGTATTCAATTCAAACTTCAATAGATATACAAATAAATGATCAATGAAAGGTTGAAATTGAGTTGTGTTTATAATTTTTTTAGAGGAAAAAGACAATGGTTAAAAATATCGAAATTTAGAATATCTAATACATTTATGGAAGAATAGATTATTTTATATTAAAAAAAAATTTTTTTATTATTATTGTTTGAATCTAAAGATAAGATCAAAATAAAAATTTTTAAGAATTTAAAATTTTTGTAAGGTAAATCATAATTGATTTGATGATAAATAGGATATAAAATAAGCTAAATCAGAGATTAAGTAATCCTTAATAATATTCATTGTAACAATTATGTAATTCTTATTCGACTTTTTGATGACATTATTCATATTCTCGTTCATCTGATTATGATTAATAACATTGTAAAGCTTACCTTTCAATAAAAAGTAAGCGTATTGATAAGAAGTTAGCAATGTTGTCTATTTTTCCTTCATATTTTTCCATACCTAATTAAATTTAATTAATTTTTACATGTGGCAAACAACTCAAAATTATTTGAATTTTTGAGACAAATTTCTTTATGTTTGGCAGCTGCTTCAACAGACTTAAGCATTTATTCTTCAGTTAGTTTTATATTATGTTTATAGGAATCGAAATCCTTTTCATATTACTATTTTCTTTACATAAATTTAATATAATTAATTGACATTATTAATTAATATTCTCTAATTATATAAATATATAAATAATGCATCATTAAAATTGTTTATTTTGAATAATAGGTTCACACATTATGCTATTATAAACTTTTTCTCTTAATAATTTAATGAAGATTTGAGTTTAATTTTCTATTAATTCTCCTAACAATCTTGGAATATAAGTATAATATTTTCTATAAAGATCCTTTTCATTACTGGTTAGTTTTTCTTACTTTATAAAATAACAATAACTAATTTAATTAAATTTCTCGATATACTCAATGCTTGCATTATTCATAAAATTCTTAGATTAATTATTAATATATTTGTACTTTCAATTGATGTTAAGGCAATTATTATTTCATTAATTGTAAACTATTCACCATATGATTTGTCAATTCATAATAACTTTTTCCAGTATTCATAAATTAACTATTAACTTATTATTATATTTTATTTATATAATTATGGATAACAGGATTAATCTCTATTTACACTTTTCTATATATTTCATATAATGTACTTATTCACATTGATTCCATTTATATCAATATTAAGTTAATAATCATTTGTCAATGTATTATAACCTTAAAGAATCATAGTTATTATCTTGAGAATTTCTTCTACCTATTCTTCTTTATGAATTTCGCCTTCTTATTAGTTATTTAATTTTTATTCCTATTTTGATGACATTGATGATTTATAGTCATCTAAAATTAATTGATAATGAGCAATCAATTCATTTTTTTAATTAATTTCATTTAATTACAGAGTTTAAGTATTCAACTATTAATTATAATTCTCTTCCATTTAACTTAATAATTTTTCAAACTCTTTAATAGTTTCATCTTATTCTAATAATTTATTTTTATAAAATTATAGTTCTTCAATTATTTCCTATTTTTCTTCTTAAATATTTTAACAAATTTGTTGATATTTGTCAATTTACATAACCATCTTCTAAACTTTATCAAAAGCAGTCTTTCCTTCTACTTAGCAAACCTTATTGATAAATAACTCTAATTAAGACATCATTTTATTTGAATAGTTATGATTTGATTATATTTTGATTTAATCTAATATTGGTTTAAAAGGAAGTGAATTACCTTATTAGTATACATTATCATATAATTTAATCACTTATTCAATTTACTAAGATTAATCCATATTAATTGTCCAACAACCTTTTAAAGCTTACCTCAATCCTTAATGCTACTTTTAATATAATTTAGTTATATCCATATTGCATTATAACAATTCATAAAATACTCTGCTTTTTTCTTTATAAAATAACAACTCTTCTTCTTTATTTATGAGTTAGGTAATAATTTCATCTTGCTTTTCTTATGTCAGTAATAGGATTTCTTAATTCTTTGATATAATCTATTCATTCATTTAATTACAATGCTTTATAAAAATATCTAAAATTTCTTTTTATTCTAATTCTCTACAAATAGATTCTTATAATTCTTGTTTATAATAAGGATTAGACTCAATATATTTTATTTTTTAATTATCTTCTCCTTATTTATCCTATTCTAAAAATTAATTTAAAATTTCTTTAGCTGTAGTAGTTTGAACAGGCACTTTTAATTTTTATACATCTTTTTATTGTTAATTATATTCTTCACTTAATGATTAATATTTATCTTTGAATGTTTCATTATCTTTAAGTTGTTACTCTAAGTAATGAATTTATTAAGACAATTCATCGATTAAATAATTCTATTATGATAGCTCATCCCGCATTAATTCAATCTCTCTATCCTTCCTCATTAATTATGTAATTACAGGAGAGAATTGTTTATTTTTTGGTGGTAAGGTTCCTTAAGAATCATAAGAAGTATTAAGCTAATAACTTTTATCATTCATTTCAAATATATTTTACAAATAATGTAATTGTTAAATATATAAAATAAAAAAATACAATTTTTTATTCAAATTAACAGATGTTTTTGTTTTCTAACAAATTCAATTGTTAATAGTATACATAATGTTTTTTTTTAATTTGTTCAAGTTTTAAGATAATAGATATATTATAATTTGAATAATTCAATTTATATCTATGCTATGCTTTTAATTTCTTTAAACTCTTCTTTTCTAAAAAATTCTATTAAATCAAAGATTTCTATACATTTGTAAACAAATTTGGAGGTTTTATAAATAAATATTCCCTTTTTATAAGAATAAGGAAGGCTAGATAAAATTAAATTGAAATAAATAATATTAAGTATTTAATGTCTAAAATAATATTAATAAAAAATGGAATAATTACTTGTAATTTAACCTGAAAATATACTGAAATTTAAGTTCGAAAATAATTAGTATATTGCAAGAATCGTTTTACAGAATGTTTCAGCAATTTTTGTAGCTTTTAAAATTAGATTAAGCAATCAAAATGATTATAGAGTTAAACCAAGCATAGGAGTTTTAAGAGCAGGCAATAGTGTAAAATTGTAATTAACAACTGAAAATGCAATTAGTATTAATATAGATCGTGTTTAGATAATGGCTGGATCTATATCTAATAATGAAGTATAACTCAATCAATAAGCAGGATGTAATCTAATTTCTCAAAAAATAACAGAGATTGAATTAAAAAATCCTAAAATGTTGTATTGAACAACCTTCATTTTTATGATCTACTGTTTATAAATGTACTATTTTCCCATAAGAGATTAATGATTTTAATTCAATTATAAAAACTGAACATGTTAAGCCCTAGAAAAAATAATAATTAGTATGATATTTTGACTTTGGAAGAGTAAATCAAAAAATAGTAATATTTCCATTCTATACTTATCGGGTGAGGATCTCAAAGTTATTAAAGAAAAATAAAATGATAGGAAAATAAGAGTAGGAATTTAACAATTTTTGATTTCAATGTTAATTTCAACGATTTTTGGAGTATATATAACTTATAGTTGATATTATTCAATTTAAAACAAATCTTGTTCTTTGTCTTATAAGGACATTTTCAATCTTAATTTTTTTCATACTTTTGATTTATTCTTAAGTGAATTCAAATTATACTTTCTTATTAGAAAACATTTAATAAGATAGATTATTAGAACTATGGCTTTGTAGTCCTTCAAAAGAACTAGCTTTCAATATACCATGAGGAGATAAATTTTTTATATTTGTTGTTGTATTTTTTTTTGGTTTTCTAGGTTTTTATAAAGACAAATTATTATTTTAATTCACATTTTTCTTTGCTTGTTTGTTCATTTTAATTTATTGCATACTATATATTTAGATTTTATTGCTTTTTTAAATTCTTTTATTATCTGAACATATGTCTACACTCTTGTTGACATTAATAGTAAATTATTTTCTAATTTGATCCTGTTATTTACTGTTATCTAATTTTCTTTCTATTGATTAACAATAGTTCACTATTTCATTATTACTATAGTTCACTCCCATAAATTTATATTCAGGAGATGGTATTGGCTAATTTGCTACTTTATTTTAAGTATTGCCCTGATAACAATATTAGAAGTGAGTTTAAAAGGGACAGATTTTTAATTGATTAATTTCTTCATCTGAGTTTATAGATATTTTGGAATCAAAACTAGATTCTTAAGTCATTATCAAAAATTAAATATCTAGACCGAAATATTTTAGATCTTATATATTAATAAATTAGATAAGTAATATGTTATCATATATATATATTTATTTTTATTTATTTTTATCTAAATCAAAAACACCAATAATTTTTATAATATTTCTTATTGTTATTATAAGAAAATTTCTATAAAAGTTTAATGTTTAGAAAATATTTATGTAACATAGGCGGAATAAAATTAATTAAAATATTGAGAATTGAAATTAATGTATATTCTAATTTTGAAATAATGTTATGAATTCTCTATGAATGAAAATATAATGTAAAATATAGTTGTTTATTGTATTAATTGATTTTAGTTTTGAATGGTGATTTGTAATATGATTATATTGATGAAAAATTAAGATTTTTGGAATAAGGGGTAGTTTTGAAATAAAAAAAAGGAATAATGAATAATAGTTGTATGATTAGAAAATATAATTGATTGAATAATTATAGATTAATAAGATTAATGGGTGGATAACAATCATATGGACAAGCAATCTGTTGTTCTAATGACAAGAAGGCTGTTATTGTAGGTTAGGTGAATGTTTAAACATATCCTGATCATAGTAAAAATTGTAATGAATAAAATATAGTGACTGAAATTACTGTAGCATTAGGAAATGTGATTCATCCGTAGTTATGGAATGCTGCAATAATGGAATTAAGAAGCACAGATATTGATTTTCCATTAACATATCGTAGGTTTTGTATCACTGATGTATCGATTGAATATTAGCAATAATTCATTCCTGAAAAAATAAGTAATGTTTAGCAAAAATGAAGATTAATTCTCGAGTATTAGAATGGCATAGGCTAAAGAATTTCATTGTATTAAAGGAGATTTTTGGATAATAAAAATTCCAAACTATATTACATATTAAGAACAAAATGAGGAAATGTCTAATAATGAACAACGAGTTTATCCATTATGTGAGAAGATGAAAAAGAATTAATATCGTGATTAATATCAAAGAACATATATGGAATTGTTTTAAAAAATAGAAGAGGAGATGAGTTGTCATTCTGCTTATATATCAGTTGGTATTTTAGATATGAAACCAAATAATCCAATATTAGGAATAGATAATTATTCTATGACATGTGATATAATAGAAGCATTCATTCAATGTACACCTAAGATAAATAAATTGATATTTATATCTGAGATGGAATCATAAGCATTTATTATGGCAATGGCATTGAAAGATAAGGTTAGGCAAATTAAGGATATTACTTAGAGGTTTATGGATTAGGCGTAATTAAAAGCTTATTAAGATATCAATTAGTTAGAAATAAATTTAATGCTAGAATAAGAAATATAGTTTTAAAAGGAGGAAAATATTTAACTTAATTAAAATAATATAGAATAGCCTTAGAATTAGATTTAAATGATAGAGAAACCAAATGTGGTTAGTTATAATAATGGACATAAATGTATTGATAAATATATTTATATGATTAGAAAATGTGGCTTATTAATTTTTTAGAGAATTTAATATACCTTTAAATTAATAAGTATTTCAAACTATTGTTCCAAGATTGAACAATAATCAAAACTAATCATGTTTATGTGATAGAAAAATAACGTTTAGAGTAGGGGGTAATTTATGTTGTTATTGTGGATTGGAAAGAACCACTATATTAGAATGTGAACAAAGAGTAACATTAAATATTATTTAGGCTTGTGGAAGATAATATTGTGCAAGTTGTTTGAATCCTATTAAATATTATTATTAATGTTATTAAGGACATTAAATGAAATTCATTAATGAAATAAATAATAATTAGGAGTGTTGTTATTGTAGATAAACGACATATCGTTATGGATATTACTTTTGTACTCCATGTTCTTTTAAAATCTGTGCATCTTGTTATTATTCACAATTTGCATAGTGGTAATTTTAGAAAGTAATAAATTTAATAGTGATTTAATAGATGAAAATATATTACAATTGTTTAAAAAAAATTAAACCAAATTTAAGACAAGAGATTTACTATTAATTAATTACTGAATATTTAATGAATGCTAATTTATAAAAATTAAGAGAAGAATGATATATATTATAAATTCTTTAATGATTATTATTATTATAATTTCTTATAGGTTAAAGAATTAAACTAATAAAAAAAAGAGTAGAAAATATTAAATAAAAAATAGAATTAAATAAAAATAATGTACATATATCATATTGCATAACTTATAAATGGAAATTTTTAGATAAGATCTGCTTCTTCAGATTTACCATCTGCTCTCAAGCTTTCTATGTAAGCCTCTCTTTTAGAATTATTTTCAAATTTACATCTTCTATATCTTTATGGAGCTACAATCACATCTTTATAATTTAACTAATATTCTCCAATATAAGGTTTAAGAATTTCTTTAAATTTATCAAAGAGTTCTGATGAATGTTTAAACTTTTTGGATTCATATTTAACAAAAAGCTAAAATTTAAAATCATAATCTTTGGTGTGACTAGCTAAAACTTCATCAAGAAAATCTTCTTCTAATTCAGTTGAATAAAATTATTCAAATAAAATGGTGCCATAAATTTTGTACGTATTTTTATAACTCCAACTGGCAGTTTCAGGAGGCCACATATAACTAGGTTTATCCAATAAATGTTAAATAAAATAGGAACGACTACTTTAAGTCTTAGATTATTAAAATGGATAAGCCTTATCTCCAGCTTTATCAAAAGATGAAATAGCTGGATATGATAAGGTACCTCTTCTATCTTAAGATAAGGAAGCTTAAGGTGCTGCTACAGTCTATTTGAACCATCCAATTAATTAACCCCATACAAATTATGATGAATATGCTCTTCCTTCACTTTTACATTTCTTTTTAAATGCACCAACCTTTCTCCATTCCAAATCTTCTATTGGAGGAGATGAAAAACCAACATATTCAAATGGTTTAAAATATGTATATGTAAATGCCATCATATAGAGTATCAACGACAAAGCTTCATGATGAAATGTATATTATTATTACATTAATATGTGTGACATTGTCAAAAATAACATTCTTGTCAACAAAAGTTCTTATCTATGAATATTATGTATATTTTCTTTGTAATCATTTAATTGCTATTTCTTTTTGTAAATTATGTGCATTAATTCAATCAACTTCTTTTAATTATGCTTTTAAAATAATTAATACAATTCATTAAAAAATGAAGATTCACTTGATGATGATGATGATGAATAATCTTTCCAAAAACTATCTAATAAATCGTTATCTTCTATTATAGAAATTGGTGGCTCACTACTATCACTGTTATTTAAATAAAACTTAATCTTATCTAGAGTGAATATCAAATTCTAAATTCTATCTTCTGAATGTTGAGTTGCAGTAAATTAGTTCCATTACTCTACTTCTGCTGTTTACTCATATTTCAAATTCAACTCACTCTTATATGTTTAACGTCTAATTATATATTATTAGAATAATTATACTCTTAATCTATGAATTTCAATATATAACCAACCCAATTCTTTAACCATAATGGACAATCATTCAAAACACTTGATCCTATTCTATATTTACTATATAACTCAGAATCTTCACTTGATTTATCAATATTATCACTACAAGATTTTAATAATATAGCATTTCGAGTTAAAAAACAATGTTCCTTATCTAATATACCATTGTATTCCTTACAATTTGATAATTGTAAATAATAACTAAAATTAATTATAAATCTACATTTTGCATTTCTCACTCCCACATAGACATAATGCTTATAATTATTCCTACTTACTTTCAGTGAATGAACAATAATCAAATGTAAGTTCCTCTCCATATTGAATTTCTCTCATTGCATACATTCCAATAACATATGTACCATTACTTACAGTTGTAACAGTTCCACAATTAGGATTACAGGAATGACTTAATCGGGATGAATAATTTCCTTTATTGATAGGATCTACAAATAAGAAATCAATTCCTTTTGCATCATCTCTATGAATATCTAACATGATATTATAAAAATCAGGTAGAATATCTTTTTGATTATGTTCTTTCATTTATTTTTTAATGAAATCTTATTTTTCATACCATCTCCATGGTTAATAGATTTCACCTAGATATGGAATAATCAATGAATTATTTTTGATTCCTTCTTTATTAACACAAACTAATCCAAATCCTTTAGTATGTATTCTAAATCCCTCAGGATCATATTAAATAACTTTTGAAATTTGTTTAGCCATTTTTCTATCATCTTTATTATAATGACTAGACATAAGTTTAGATTCTTTAATAATGAAATCACATGCAGATCTCATATCATAAGCATTTTCTTTATCAGATGGCCTATTGATAGCTAAGAGTAATTTTTCCATAAATTTATTTTTTTATGTTTCATCATAATTTAATGGTAGAATATTAATAATAACTTTTCTTGTATAAGCATCAATACCCCAACAAGGTGTTTCCTAATTAAATAAAAATATGTATTACTTCAACATCAGCATTTTCTTCTTATTTCATTTTATTAATTTAATGCTATTTTAATTAGATAGACATATTCATACATGGTTTATCAGTTCCTTCATGTTCTAAACATTCAACTCTATTCTTTCTATTAGGACATTCTGAATCCCAAGTAATATTGACATATGAAAATGTTCCCATTTTACTTAAATCAAAACAAACACAATCTTTATAACATTTAACAGGTCTTTTAGAAGTTGATAATTTCTCTCTAATTTACTCTATATAAGGTTATTAATTTGGATTCGGTTCATAATTGTATATCTCCTAATATGATCTAATATCTTTCTTATCTGGAATTACTGGCCATTTAGTTGTCTATACTTTATATTCTTTGTCTATCTCCATAAGACTCCTTACATCAGCTTCTATTTAACTATTAAATACATCCATATTTGGCTTAATCTTTACTTTCCCATCTAACCATACTTTACTCAAATAATTATAATCCTACACATTCCCACATCTCAAATAAGTGTTTCCAAATAACTTACGTAAATCCTTCCAAACTGTTTCATTATTCCAATAATGTCTATTTTATATGCGCTTCTCAAATTAATGTAAATAATGCAAATTACTCTTAAACTCCAATGGCTATCATCTATACACATTTTATACCTTCATCAATTTAGATTTCTCATCTTATACAAATTTATACTCTCCATCAAACCATTCTTTATAAACATTTGATTATCCTACATCATTTAAAATATTTGTAATAACAAACTCATCATTATTCAAAATTCCTTAACTATCTATCTATCCAAGTAATTTTCCAACATTCAGTAATCTTGACCATGCAATTGGATTAAAACGTAATAATGGTTAAACTTTCACTTTCTTCTTACATTCTACTATTGCCACTTTGTTATTTTTCTTCTATTTCTTCTTTATCTACTTAGATGATGAATCAGATTCATTCTCTTCCTCAACACTATATGTCAATTTAGTAGCATTTCTTTTTGCGCGCTATAAGCTCATTTTTAGAATTAATTTTTTTAATAAACAACATTATATTCAATTCAATTCATTCAATATAGTTATCTTTAAAAATCTTTTATCTCTTTTATCTCCTTCAGTTTTACATATTTTATACATTATATCTCTTTTCCTTATTTTTACTCCTCTTTCTATTATTATTGTGTATCTTCAACCTAAATATTATTAGGATTTTTTTTATTCCACATATACTTTAAAATTCAGAATTAATAATCTATTCAAATTAGATTTAACAAAATCATGTTCTAGTATTTCTTATAACAAAGTCATCGATTATTGATATATATTATTAATTTAAAATTATTTTTTTTAATAGTTATTCTATTATGAAGATGAATAACCTTTTCTCTTAACTAAAGAAATTTCCCACTCTCTCTTAAATTAATAAGAGTAATAATTAATATAATATGATCTAGCATAATAAAAAGGCCAACCCATTAATATTGAAGTCAGAAGAATAATTAATTTATTTGAATTAAACTTAAATCAATTTCTTATGTGATAAAACTTTAAAAATAATATAAATATAAGTTTTTCTTTGATAGTGAATATATTAAAAATTATTTAATGATTGGAAATATTTGTATTAGTTTGAGTATCATCATTATAATATTAAATTATAAATGAATTGACAATATAATTTATTGTTTACAATGCTGTATAATATTTTGAAATGAATATTAATGTTTGAAGATATAATAATATTATATTTCTTATAATTAATATATATATTTGGAATCCAATAAATTTTATTTATTTTACATAAACAAATGTTAAATTAAGGGAGAGCTCTTTGGTATGCTCTAAAAGTAGAGGATTATGATTTGGTTGAGTTTCTAATCAATTAAAAGACTGATGTCAGATAAACATACGAATTTGAACCAAAACGATATTTATCTACAGCTAGTGTATATTTAATGTAAAATAATAATAATAGTTGTTAACGCTACGTGTTTGTTAGGCTCGTTCTAAAGGATTGAATAATCATCATTACAAAAGAATGTATTAATTGCTTGATGATTTTTTGTAATATGCAGAGGAATGTGATATTCGATGTCATTGTTCAAAAAACTACGAACATAGATGTCCACTCTATATAGCATTGAAGACTTTAGGAGTTAAAAAAGAAGAAGATTTATTTAATAAGAAAAATGATGTTGTGAAGGCTTTACTCCTTAAAGGAGCTAATTTAAAGATGTTTTAAGGATAAAGTTCAATAATTGATGTGGAAGGATATAGATAATATTTAATCTAAAGAATTTAATTCTAAAAAACAAGTGGATTCAAGTAAACATAAGATGGATATGCTACTTTTAGTCAATGAAATTATTTTTATAATATCAATCTTATTTATGCTATTCTTCCAAAGAATCACAATATTCTTGATGATATTACACAAATGAAAAGGTCTAGCTTTATTCTTTTATCATTGAACTTTATAATTGTTACTTTAAGAGTTTATCAGTAGCACTTTGAATCTCATTTCGTAATTCAATATTCTATTCTCTTAAATATTCATTTTCTTATTCTAATTGTTATAATTTATCTTTTATATCATTCAACTCCTCATTATCATTATTTTGTATTATTGTTTGTTACTTCTCATCACAACTATTATTATCTATTTCGGCTTAAAGTTATTCAACTATCTTTTAACTTGATTTTTCACTCTAATATTCTTAAAATTCTTTAAGTAAATCTCGATATCTAGTTTTCCATTTATTTTTCTTATCTACATAACTTTCATTTTAATTTAATTTTTCTTTTAAATGTTAACATTCTTATTTTAAATTTATTAATTCCGATTAATATTAATTTTTCTCACTTTCCAATTATTTATTTTTACATTCCAATTTTTAAAATGCTGAAGTTATTCTCATAAATTATTAATAATATTAATTTCTTTCTTCTTTGAGTTACATACAATTCTTTGATAAGATTATCTATGATTATTATAATTCAGTTAATTGTTATTTAATGAGATCATTTTAAAATTATTATTACTTAACTTATTATTCCAATTTAGTTTCATTTGCCAACCTCTTCTCCATGACTTCAAATTTTTTAGTCCATTCCAATATGATTTAGTTTTTCTATCTGTTTTTAATAAATATTTACTATAATAATATATGCAATTTTGATATGTCCTCCTATTGTCTATGAGTCTAAACTTATTTTCTTAATAGAGCATTCTCTAATTCACATTCTTATAAAGCTTATGATATCTCATAATATTTATTTCTGGCATCATCTAATTCTAAGCTTAATAATTTCCTCTATTAATTAACTCGATGTAATTCCTATTCTAACTGATTATTTTTAATTATTTATTCAGTCTGATTTGTAATAATATCCTATATTGAACTTCTAGTTTCACGTGGGGTATTTAAAGATGTATTTATCTTTTTTTTTAACGGACTTATTTGCATTTATATATAAATTTATATTATTGTTATATAAAACAAATATTTTTCAAAGAAAGGGAAATTATAATGGGGTATTATAAATTTCAGAAAATGGAGTCATTATTGGTTCACAAATCTCTTATAAAGATTAAATTAAAATAGATCCATATTCTGGTTAATATCCTTTCAACAAATTCATCATCAAATCCCAAGTCTATTTATATGGTTTCTCAACTTCAGGATTCTTTTTTTTCTAACATTTCTTATATATTAATTATTATAAAATTATACCTTCATTAAATCATCTAACTTCATTAAAATCAATTCCTATTACTTAGATTATATTCTTAAATTATAAGATAATAATCCTTGTTATTCTTTCAATTTATCTAATTGCATTTTCAATTATATATTTGATTATCTCATATAATTTAAGTTGTAATCATCATCTTCTCTTTTTTTTAACTCCTTTTAGTTTCGTACTACCTTACACAAATCCTAAATACTTCTTCATTTTCAACCTTAAAATTTGCCTCTCACAAAGTATTAATGCTCATATTATTTTTTATTTCTTTCATTTTTCTTCATTCTGAATCCATACATACTCAACTATCTCAAAAAAGATTAAAAACATTTTGTATTAAAATTTTCTACCATCACTTTTTAAGAAAATTCTTCAATCTTAAGAATCGTAAAACCATTTCCAGAAGGTAACCAACGTATATATTTTCTATATTCATTTGTCTTAATTTCATAATCAATAACTCACTTCAAGAATCTCATAAAGTTTACTTATAAACTTTGCAGGTCTATTCATATTTTTTTAATTATTTTTATTTAAAATTTATACAGAATAATCAAAGTTCCATACATCACTAAAATGACAATTATTTTGGAGAATAAAAATCTTCTTATTATAACATTTCATCCTTTAATATTTCATAAAGAGGTGCTGAAGTTTGAACTCCATATAATGGTTTACATCCTCGTATTAACTTTAAGATTATTCTCATCTATTATTTCCAAAACTCAGGATATTAATTTTAGAATTACTACAATCACTTTTATTACATATTTACATCAAGAAGCTACTTTATTTTATTAGACAGAATTTTATGAATTTCATATTGAACCTTCAATTGATAAAGAAATGAGTATTACTGTTCTTTTAGTCTCTAAATCTATTCCTTTAAAGTATTGCTCACTTTAATCATATCATCACATGTTGCATAATTCTTCCTTTTTCTTTAAACTAGGCCTAGCTCTTTTCTATCTGCTTATAATATTTCAAGTACAATTTTCCTTAAATAAAATTAGGATGTGAGTATTCCTTTAAACCTTTTTTCTTTTTCAATCTAAATCCATACAGACACATTTGTCTATAAAATGATTCTATACTTATTGAGTTAAAACATTCCTTTATAATTATTTTTTTAAAATCATCTATTCTATGAATCATAAAAGAAGTTCCATTATTTGTCCAAGAAACATAATTGAAATATTCTTTGCTCTAAATTTATGTTATTTAATACTTCTAGAATCTAATATAAAATTGCAATAAATTTTTTTACTTTGCTCATATGTTATTATTAATATTGCTAAATTTACTTTGCAAAAACTAATATTTTCTTATTCGCTAAACCAATACCAATTTTATTAATCTCATTTATATCTCTTATCAATATAGATTTTAACCTAGCTTTAGATTTTTAAAGTTAAAAATTCTATATTAATTTATTCAATTTTTTATAAAGGCAAACTCTAAGGCATAAACTCTATATTTCCAAAAATGATAAAAACTTAAATTATTTTCTATTTTTCTCTTCCTATTGATTAAGTTAAATATAAAAAGAATAATTGTTTCTTTTTGACTTACATATTTTACATCTATTAGTAAAAATGCAATTATGTTGTTTTCAATGAGAAGTCTTTATTATTAATTTTATATCAAATTTTTCAGATAACAAAAATTGCATTCACAGAAATTATCTTTATTATATCAAAATGTCAATAAATTGAGAGTTCATAGATCATAAAATTATTGTTTCTAATTTTTGAAAAAACTGTTAGATTTTTTAGAGATCCTGAATTACGTGGGAATTAATATAATATTATAAATATGGTTATAATTATAATGGAGTATTTTAGTTAGAGAAAAATAAGGTTAAAAGAAATTAAAAAAAAATTAATGCACAGTATTAAAAAAATGCGTATTAATATTGCAATATTTAATTGAAAATACGCAATATGGAAAAGTTTTGAAGAAATATTTAAATTAAAACGGAATTTCTTTAAGAATAGCACATTTTTAAATTGAATAGGTTGTTTTAATAATATGAGTAAAATACATAAACAAATTTCACAAAAAAAAGAGTAGTAAATGGATTCATGCTTATTCTTCATCAGTCTATTCATCAATAATTAAAAGTTCACAGCTTTTGATTTCTAATTCTCTTCTATACTTTTTAATTAAAAGCAAAAAAAAGGAAGATATTTAATCACTTTCTAAATTTGATGGGATATAAAATTAATGGTTGACAACAATCTACTTAAGATAGAGTTTTTCTTAATTGGTAATTAGTTTTAATTCACAAAGTGTTTTAAGAGTTGAGAAGCAAATTCTATAAAGGGATTCATTCATCATTAATTTAAAATATAAATAATCCTTTTTTTAGCTTAATTTAAATTGATTAAACAAATATTTATTTGTATATGTAATAATACATCATTCTTTTTTGGCTTCCTTTTTGGAATGTCTTTTTTTAAACCTATTTAGGACCAGCTTTAAACTTAAGCATGAGCTATGATTTTATTTTTTTCTTAAAGTGTTAATAATTTTATTCCAAATAAATTTTCAATTTTTAGAATCGAAATCTAAATTGAAATATCCTAATCTTTCAAATTATACTTTATCTTCTGGTTTAGAGTTAATTATTATTATTATTAGTATGGTTTTTTTTTTACTTGACTTTTAGCAGCCTTTAGATCTTCTTCTGTTTTAGGTCCAAGTATTGCTTCAATTTATTAATTGATTTCTAAAGTCAATAATTTTTCATTAGTAAATGGTAATAAAGTTCTTATTTATATTTGTATATTTATAATCTTCAAGTTTTGTTTACTTGAAAGAAATTCTGATACAATATTTTTAATTTATTCTGGAGTTCCTACTATTCCTACACAAGTAGCCTTTTCAAAATTTTAGATAGTAATTTTATCTAAATGAGTATGTGTTCTTAAATATTCAATAGCACCTTCTAATTGTAATTTATTAGAAATCTTTCCAATTACAATATATTAAGCTAAAAGAGCTCTTATATTGTCAAGGGTTTCTGTTAAATTTTAAGACATTTCATATAACAAATTACCAATTTATGTATAATAAGTATTAATACTTTGTTATCAGATTCTTTAATTCCAACTAAATCTAAAGTTTAAAGAATTGATTTTAGTGCATTTTTTCCTTTTAAGTGTTCTTGATTGTTGTTTAATCAAGTCCAATTTTTTAGAGAGAGGTTTTTAAATTTCTTCCATTTAGATTCTTAAAAATATTTAATTAAATTTTAAATAAATCATAAAATCATGAACATGCTATATAGAATGCCTTTCCAGCAGGAATCTGAGCATCAATGACAGTACTAGGAATATCACATCTTCTTGTAGTACCACTTAAAGTACAATAAGTATGTATATCCACAGGTGTTGATTCAGCTAGAGTATTTCTATCAATTATTCGTAAAACTGAAGTAGTTTCAACAGCACATTAAATTGCACTATTATCTGTTATCAAATAAGTTAATGTGTATTCAAGAGTATAAGCAGTTCCATCTGTTGCAATTATATTGAACATTATTGCATCACTTTACGCTCCTCCAAAACCTGTAAATTACTTTGGAGTAAATGTTATTAATTAAACATATCCATTACTAGTGTATTATTTCCATTTCAATGAAAATACAGTGTACTATCCTTTCACTGATAAATATGTTCTACTGAATTAAGTATGAGCAAAATTCACAAAAAAATAACTAGTCGAATAAAATTTACGAAATGTTCTCAATCTCAAAAGTAGGGTATCACTTAAACTCCAAATGTTTGTCAATGTAATTAATTGATCCTTTCCTGTGTCAGTATCATCCTTTAATAAATTATATAGATTTATACTCTAAAATTTTGAAGTGCTGAAAATATTGCCTTCTCTAAATAATATGGATGTGACATTCCAAATCCAGTTACACCTGTCATATCATCTTTGTAAGCTAAATAAAGACCTAAAATTGCATTCAATTCTGTATTGCTTGCAATCTATATGTTTAGACTAAATAATTATGTTAATAAATTATTTCTTGTAGCTGCTACTGTTTCTGCTTATATTTATGTTACTGTCATTCCTGTCGTTGAATATATTGCTGATCCACTTTTCTATATTGGCAATCTAACATAAGCATAATCTAATTATCCTCCAGGACCACAAACATTATCATAACGTAAATCTAATGAGCTTAATCCAAAACATGATGTTGCATCATATAATACAGCTGGTGATTCTCTACATGCTCCTATTTCATTTATTTTATAACAAGGAAGACTTTAGCAACTTAATAGATCAGAACTTAGAGTACAATATCCTGATGAATTACAATCTGCTAAAGCTACAGATCCACATGGAGTTGTTATTATTATCGACATACTTATGTTCATCACAATACTAAAAATTGACAAACCTAAAAGTGACATCATCATTATAATTTTTATCTATATATTTATTATTATAATAAATTCTAAAAGATATAACCATTTATCATTCCTCCCCCTTTTTATTCATTTAGCATTTTTATTACAAATTTTATCTATTTTTAGAATGCAATCAATTATTGTTAAATCTTATTCTATTTATAAAATGCTTTCCTTATATTAATCATTAACTAAAACCAAAAACATATGGTGAAAATAAAAACTCAGATATTGGACTATTCAAATCTTAGAAAATTTCCTACAATAACTCAATTGAAGGTTTATAGCCTAAAAGCACTGTAAAAAAAGTAGACTTGAATCTTTATTATGTTTCATTTTCGTGAAATTCTTTCATTATCCAAAATACCTTTTTCATTATATACATATATACATCAACCATCTTTCCAATCTTTTGAGCTATCAATAATTAAATTTAACACTGTATTCTTAATTATTACTAAATTATTTATTATTGCTCCTATAAATATTTCAATTTCTCCTAAAGCAAATAGTTTTATTCAGCAAATCCTGCTGAACTAAATTATTGCTCATAATTTTAATTGATTTGCTTCCCTCTCTTTATTTTTAATAATTCTTTACTAAATATTTATCATTATCATACTATCGTCCTTTCTTAAAATTTTAATGGTAGTATTCTTTATTATTTTGATCATTCTTTCTCATCTTAAACCCATATAAACATAATTATCTCAAAAATGAATGTACATTCGATGTTCTAAAATATTGTTGTAAAATTCTAGTTTAGAATTCTGAAATTCTTTAAAAAGAAAATGCTTATCCATTATCTACCCAATATATCAAATTTTATAAATTTGGATCCTAGAGCTTAGCATTAAGATACTTCTAAGATTTCGTATAAATTAAGTATAAATCTCTTTGGTTTTTTCATTAAACAATTTAATAAATGAAGAAATTTGAATAGTAAATTAGCTATACTCAATAAATATTCATTGTTATTAATATTAAAGTATTGTTTTAATAAAATGATAATTTTCGAGAACACCTTCTCTACCTCCCTTTCTACTTTACAAATGTTAAAGAAAGATTATATGTTCCTCCACACTTTCCTTAACAATCATCTTAAATATTGCCTTAATATTTTAGACCCTCTTCATTATTATATCTTCTTAGTAGATATTATTCCTAATAAGAAATATTATATAAAGAATACCAAATTTGATCATAATATATTAAATAGTTAGCTGATTTAATAATTATTAATTATCCCCAAATCAATTGAGGATTCAGAATTAAAATTGTTTGTTTTTCACTTTCATCAAATTCACCAATTTACTAAGTTGTGCTTTCGATACCTTAATCAAATGATAAATTCTAAAAATATTAAAATTGTTATTTTTACTTTAACATTAGATAAATCCATTGAAGAGTTAAAAAATTGTTATTGTAATTTATTAGGATATTAAGTAAAAATCACTATCTTGCCCTTTAAATTTTATATTAATTAAATTAATTTCATCCATTTATTTCTTACTGTTTGAGAATTGATAGTATTTTACTATCTGATTTTATTAATTTTACTAATAGTTATTTTCTAATTACACAAAAGGCATGCATATTTCAAACATTATAAACAAAATACATGTGAACATACTTAATTCATATAAATATTTTCTAATGGGATGAAACAAAAACTACAAAACTTTTATTCATAATTCTATTCGAAAAATGAACATAAGTATCTTAATGAATTGAATTGCTGAACATAATCTTCTAAATTATAATTTTCTAAATTCTTATACTTCTAAGAATTATATTATAATTATTCTTCATAGTTGAAATCAACCAAAATTATTTAGGTTTCTACTGTTCTTGAAGATTATGAAATTTATTCTTATTAAGCAATATTTAAAAGACTTCTCTTTTATTATTAAGGCTAATTCTCTATTGAAAAATATTTTTCAAAGGATTTCTTCTCTAATGTAAAGAATTCCAAAATAAAGTTGATAGTTATCCTTTTAACCTATTCATCAATATTTTATAAAAATATCCATTTGTATTTTGTATTTAAAAGATTAATAAAATATAAATTGTAAATTAATTGAGACTTCAAAATACTAAGATCAACAATAATCCTTTTCCATCTAAACGAGTAAAAAGTATTTAAAGAATATATCCTATAATTTTCATATTATTTCATGATCTCATCAATTGAAACTACTACAATATCAAATATTAGAAGTTAATTTAAATTGATTTCCTAATTAATAATAGAACAAACACTAAGGCTTGGATATTTTATTTGAATTTCTTATTTCCTCTCTTCTGCAACGAATTGATCAAATGTGATTATTAATGTTTAACTTTTTCGTGCTTAGCGTCTTGCCTTATAATTGATTAAATCATAAAATCTATCGAAAATATAACCCTATTTAAGTTAGAAAAACACCCCTCCTCTAAATTTTTGATTTGATATTGAACTCAATCCTGTTTCTCTTTCAATCATCCATTCCAAAATTATATTTGATGAGTAACATGGACCTGAAAATTAAAGTTGTTTTTCAATTGGATATAAATTGAATAAAAAGGATTCTTTAAGGAATTCTTGAAGTTTCAATAAAGCAAAAATGAATTTCATTTTATTTTATTCAGATAAAGTATTATCTTGATTGAAAAGGAATGGATTGGCAAATAAGTTTATTTCAATTGATATTTGAACTACACTAAATTCTTTATTAGTTGCACATTTTTAGATTTCTTCATTTACTCCAACAAGAATTTCTATATATTTTTCATAAAGAAGATAATAGAAAATCTTTTCTCCTTTATATTGAAACCTACCAATCTAAAACTTATTGTTAATTTAAATACTTCTCTATTTTAACTGTATAGATATATTTTATTCGACTCATTTTATTTAATGTTCAATTCACAATATTTTAACTAAATCTACTGATTTAAATTTTAACAGTCTAACCATCCTTCAATTGTGAATTTACCTAATTTATTAAATGGAGTAATTTAATTTTCTTCATTTCTATCTTCATTTACTTTCTTTTAAAGTAGTTGAGATAATTTTTAATTATTTTTCTATAAAATTAATGCTTGTTTCCTTTACATTTATAAAAATAATGAAGTGGAAAGGAAGAAGCAACTTAAAATTTTTAAAGTCAAATTTCAGTTCAATTAATTCAATTATTTATTTTTCCTTATTTCAGTTGAAAATTTCATTAAAATTTTTATTAAAATAATAAAATGGTTATGGGGAACAACTCTTAATCTTAAGTGGAATTTAAACATAAAAAATTAGAAATGCAATGAATTTAAAATATAATGTTTTGATATCTAAGATTTAGAAAGAGATAAATCAATTATAAAATAATACAAAATAGTATAAGTTTATTTAGATGGTTGAAATAAATAAATAATTAAAAACAGGTGGAAAAAAGTCTCCAAGATAAGTGAATCTTTTACTTCATTATATGGTTTCAACTTAAAATTATTTATTAATCTACCATTATCTTTGTTATCAAACTTGTATTTATTCATATAAAGAATGAAAATATGATATTAATAATTATCAAATGAAAAAATCTTGGATATTTTATCAAAATAAAGTTAATAGAATTCTTTCTAATCGTTAATAAGAAGGAGAACTAAGAAGTTTAGAGAATTTTAGAAATTAACAACTAATTTTTTGAGACATAAAATGATATTTTTAGAATCATAATTAAATATTTGAAATCGAGAAATCCAAGTATTTAGGATAAATTAAAAAAATTTTAAGTTTCATATATATATATCAACAATTATTATGTTTTAAAGAAGGATAACATAGAATATTTGAAGTTTACCACTCATTAAAAGAAGTAAATTTTTATAAAGTAACAATGAGTAATGAAGTTAAAATATCGAAATCTAACGAGAACTTTTTAAATCTCAATCATTCAAGCTAAATAAAAAATACAAATTTCTTATATATTTTATTTTAATTAAATTAATTATATTGGCAATTATATTAATACAATTTAAGATTAATAATATAAAAGCAAAATAGTTTATTTATCTAACATCTTGAAATAAATATTTTAGAAATAGAATAAATTTTAAATATTTATAAATGAAGACTATTTACAAGAATACTCTTTTTGAAAAATGATTTAAATTAAAAAACTATTATTAAACCTTTAAATGGAATATTTGTTTTATTATAAGGTTGCAATTCTTAAAATACAATATTCTAAGATTATGCAATAACATTCTTTTCAATACAATTTTGTAAATTTATCATCAAGAATATATTTAATATAATTTATTATTGATTAATAAAAATAACGGTTTTTATTTATTAAACAATCATTATAGATTTAAATTAACATATAAAATATGTTATATACAGATATAAATCTAAAAATAATTGTAAACAATTATTATTATAGAATATTAAATAAGATATGCAAATGAATACGTATTATTGAATAATTTATGATCAAAATATCACTGGATCTAATTCTCTATAATACCATAATGCAAGATAACGAATAATAAATAAAGCAGCACCCAGAGTGAGTACTGCAGGACTATTAAAATTAAGTAGACTGACATAGACTAAACTTAAAAATGAAATAACTGTAGCAGTAGGTAAATCATATTTACAAGCATCAACCCAACAATAATACACAGCTGTTGCCAAAAATCCAATTGCTACACTAATAACGCCTTCTTTAAATTTCTACAAATAAACATTATTTTTTAAATTATTCCAATGAGGTAATAATCCCCAAATCTATAAGATTGACGGTAAAAATATTGCTATCCAACAACATATGCCTCCGTAAATTCCCATACTATGTGTACCTAGAAATATTGCAAAATTTAAATAAGGACCTGGTAGAGCAGCAGCTAAACCAAATCCTAACCAAAATGCATCAGCATTTATATATAATGGATTTAAAACTGTTTCTGCGTACATAAAAGGTAATGTAATAGGTGTTCCTCCAATCATAAATGTTCCTATATTATAAAATGAGAGAGACATATCTAAAATTAATGATTGCTATTGTGAATTGAGATACAATAATATCAATAATATAGCAGAATATAAATGTAAAGATTTATTTCCTAATAATTAACTGATTTTATGACTATTTTTTTTATTAATTAATTTTGGATCATTAAATATTGCAGGAGTAGCACTTTATTCTTTAGCAAATGTTCTTCTTCCAATAGTATTTTCTGCATCATATTCAACCATAATAGTAGTAATTCCTCCCATCATCATAGTTAAGATCAATACGTACGGTTATTAATAAACAACAAATAATGCTGCACTTAATATTGATAAACTGATATGCAACTTATTATTAATAGATTTCATAGCTAAAGTAATCATTAATTAAAGAATCAATGCAACAGTACTTGATTTAATACCCTAAATAGCTAAAAATATTAAAATGTTAAGATCTCTAGGATCAGGGTACTGACCATACAAATAACCTAATATTGTTAATATGATAGCTCCAGGTAATGTATATGCTAACAAAGCAACTATGCCACCAAGTGCATTTTTTTTAGAGAATGTTCCTAAAGCCACCATCATTTATGATGTAGTTGATCCTGGTATAAAATCCACTAAAGATGCTATCTATTCGAATTAAGGTTCCTTAGAATTACATTATTTATTACAGATATTGCCTTTGTTTAATTCACAAAGACATCCTTAAATTATTAATAATGACTGGCATTAAGAGTCCTTACATCAAAAAGAGCCAATTGTGATGCATATCTGAATAATTCTGGATATGTTAGAGTTTTGGAATCATCTATCAATAAAGAAACTTTTGGTTAAGTAGTTCGTACTCCCAATGTTTACATTTCAATCATCTTTATAAATTAATTAATCAATTATTAAACATTTTGTGCATCATACCATATTTTATTAATTCTCTCTCAGCTCTTGTATATCCAAATAATGCAGCCAATACTTACAATGCTTCTATATTAAATCTATCATATTTAATATTCATTACCTTGCTAAATAATTCTTATAATCTATTTCTTTAACTAATCTTTATAACTCTGTTTCTTCAAATTTTCTAAATTAACCTTCCTTTACTTCTATATCTTTTTATATTTATTAATATTCCTTAATCAATTTATCCTTCTCAAAATTATTTATTTCAGTAAACACTATTGATTACTCTTAGTTTGCTTCAGATTTAAACATTTTTGCTATTCTTCTTTAAGCTTCATTATAAATTATATCATTTAACGTCTCCTTACTTTAAAATATATGAGTTAGCGTTGACTATATCAATTTGTTTTCTGTTTCACTTAATCCTTATACAAGTAAAGATACTTAAGATTCTTACTTTTATTTTATTGATTCTACATGTTATTTCTTAATATCTAATGAATCAATTTAAGAAAAATGATTTTTAGATAATAAAGATACGATAGAATTATTTCCTGTATCAATTGAAGAATCTCTATAATTACTGAATAATTGATGAGCCTTTTTAAACAAATCATTCAATTCTATTGTCTTTCTTGTTTTCATAATTAAGAAATCTCTTGCTTTACTATCTAAATATGATGGAAAACTTGCTTCTGCTATTTTCTCTCCTGAATCCCAAACTGCCTTTATTATCCAAGATAAACCTTATGATCTACAATCTAAACCTATTTTTAATAATTCTAATAAAAATCCTTGAATTGATTTTAATAATGCTTTATTATTTTTATTTAATTTTGAATTTTCTTATTCTAATTTTTCAATCTAAATTGAATTTAATTTCATTTATTATTAGAATTTATTATAATTATCTCTCATCTAATCTATTTAACTTTCTAATTCATTCTATTTCACAGCTATCACCATATAACTATCAACTTAACTAGCATTATTTTTTATATTTGGTGAATTTGTCGATTATTATTAAGGTTTCTTATTTATTCCTTTCAATTCTTCCTATCTTTCTTTAATCTAATATAATAAAAAAGATAAATAATACAAAATCTTAAATAGCTCTTAATTTTTTATGAATTTCATGATTTTCCATTCTTAAAGTTTCAAGATCTTTTTCATTTTTTTTTACTGTATTTTTTTATCTCTCCAATCTAGAATTAATAGATAATAAAATTTAATTTGTCTATTTTTCATAAAATATTGCTCTATCACTTGCATTTTAAAATTAAGTTAATTGCATTTTAATTAATGTATGTAAACTATTTTTTAAACCTTCAACTGTATAATCAAATATCAAAGTTCCATCATGTTTTTCTTCTCCTTACTATTTGGCTTTTGCTAATTCAATCTATGCTAATTCTTATTATGTTAAAGTTGAACCCTATTACATATACTTATCTAATTATTTAGTTAACGATTGATCTTAATGAAGCATTTCAATTTTTTTAACAGCTGATATCTTTTACAATGATCCCATCAATTTCTATTTAAATAAACTCTAATCTCCTTCAGATTTTGTAGACTCTACAATTAATTTTGGAAATGCTGGTATTCCTTATACTGCTTTTGATCTATCATTCAATCCTCCTCTTCTCAATAATTGTAAAGATTAAGATTTTTCTTAAAATTACATTTTAGCAAGTCCTAAATTTCTAAATCATTTTTATACTTTCTTTCTCCTATTCCTATTTCAATTTCTCCTATTCTTCTTTCCATCTCTTTTTTATTCCCTTATACCAATTATCCAAATTAGCTACCAATTAATCATCACTTTCTGCTTTATATTATTGATTTGCCTTAAATTGTTCCTCTTAATTTAATTTCTTACGAACTGTTTTTGAATGATTCTCAGGATCTTCTTCAAGTTTCTCATAACTTCATTATTATTATTATCAATATACATTTCTTATAACAATAATTTAGCACCAGGTTCATTTGATAAACGAGCTCTTAATTTATTTTCTAAATCAGTTCTATGAACTTTCTAATGTAATTTAACTGGTTTCTTTGTTGAATCTTTCAATGAAGTAATCATTTCATCTTAATCAGGTAAAACTATATCATAAAACTGTAAAGTATTCATTTCATCATTCAATATTTTTTTACGCATATCTTACATTACTAGACTTTCAATTTCCAGATGATTTGTAGGTCTATGTCGAGTTCTAATTATTTCAGGAGCTGATTAAAGATCATTTCTTTTTATTTTTTTTTTATGCATTTATTTATTAATTACCTCTACTATTTTATTCCTTATTTGAATTTTTTATATATACACATAATCCAAGTTTTGTTTATTTATAATCTTAAAAATATATTATAGATTTTGGAAGATATAAAAATCAATAAAGATCTCAAATAATAAGTAATAATTTTCAAATCATATTTATTTAAATTATGTAAACAATTAACACTAAAATAACTTCAAACAATCGTCAAAGATGTAATTCAAAATAACAATTATATATAATAATTTAAAAAATAGAATTCAAATAAATAGATTAGAGTAAGAAAATTATTAAATTTAATAATTAATGTTATATTTGATATATATATAGAATGTATAATTCATTATTATGATCCACTAAATCTTACTAGCTCTTATTCTTCAACTTCTTTTTATTTATAAATACCAGCCCAAAAAGAATCTTATCTTGCTATTTTCTCCTAATGTTCTACCCATTTATTAAGATTATGTTCAAAAACTTTAACTTTATTTAACATTTCAGAAGCTGGATCAGTAAAAAACTCTCTAATAATTTCTGCCTAAATAGCTTCTAATCCACCTATAATTGCTCCTATTAGTATTATACTTAACCAAAAGTGAGGTGAACCAACCATTGTAAATGGCGTATATTCCATTAAAGTACCAGGCCAAAAATGAGATATGATAACATATAAAATGTAAAGCAAAATAGATAAAAAGGAGATACTAATAAAATTAAACCAAGTCCAAAATTTTGTATGTATTGCTATTTTAAGATCAGCTATCTAAAATTTTATAATAATAAATACTAAAATAATACAGGAATAAACTGTCAATGAAAATGGTGCCAATCCACTTGATTCCCCTGAATTTTAAATGATTTCATAATCCATAATCCAAAGTACAAAGAAAAAAATAATCATTCCATGGACTAAACCATTAAAAGCCCATAATAAATAATTTGGAATTGTGAAAATAGTCTTATTTTACCCAACATAATAAAGACTAGGAAATTTTACTTTTAAATATTATTCTTATTTCTTCTACAAATTAGCCACTTCTTCCTTTGAATCATATTAACAGTATTATCGATAATTTATATCTTAATCAAAAGTACCTCTCATAATAAGTGGTAATGCTGTAAAGATAAGATTATAAAAAGTGATATACCAATCATCAAAGTATGATTATCCTGAAAAGGCACAAAAATATGAAAAAAAGAATTAAGGCACAGTGAAAATCATATTTTTATAAAAGAAATACAAGACCATCTCTGCAATTCTAATATAATTCCAATGTCCATGAACAAGTAATAATCTCCACAAACATCTAAATTCTCCCAAAGCAAAATCACTACTTTAAACAGCTCTCATTCCTTCATTTCCATAGAGTCCAATTCCAATGTGAGCAGCTTAAATCATATTAACATCATTTGCTCCATCTCCAATAGCTAAAGTAACTTTATTTAATCTATCTTTAATTAATCTAACAACATCAGCCTTTTGTTTAGGAGTAACTCTACAACATACAATACTTTCACAATCCTTTGCCATACTTACAAAAGCTTATGCTAAATCTTCATTATCAATAACAAATTATAATGAAGATCCTTCAACTACTATTGACTATAATGATAAATAAAAAATACTTTTTTTCTATTTTCTTTTATACAAAGATCATAAGTGTCTTGAATATCTCCTAATTTCTTTTTACATTCATCAACATTAGGAACTGATAATCTCATAACTGTAAAATCTCCTTAAATCAATCTACAACTTTTAGCTATATTTTCAGCAGTTTCTAATTTATCACCTGTCAACATCCAAACTTTGATATTGGCTTTTAATAAATCAGCAATAGTTTCTGGGACTAAAGGTTATAATTTATCTTCGACAGCGGAAGCTCCCAATAAAGTTAATTAGTTTTCTAAATTACTTGTTATTTTTTCTATTAAAATAATATAAGAAATATCTACCTAATTCTTCTGCTCTCTTATCATTATCTGGTAAATTATTATAAGCATAATCAAAATCTTTATATTCTTCATTAGATAATACTCTTGTAGCCATTAGTAGACATCTCAATCCAATTTTACTGAAGTCATCTAAATAATTAATAATTTCATTTAAAAATGGTTAATTAGGTAAAAGTCTTTCTTTAATAATATTGTCTGCACCTTTGATAAATAATTTAATGATTCCATTATCGTTAATGATAACACTCATTCTCTTTCTAGTAGAATCAAATTCAAAAGCCTTTAATAATTTTACTTTCTTTTCTCTCCCAAGAATTTTAAAACTTTATTCACTTGCAGATGCTCCAGTGAATTAAAATCCTAATCTAGCAGCAGCATCAACTAATGTGATTTCATCTGGAGATGGACCTTAATAAGTGGCATTCTAATTCTTATCATATTAGATAATGCATTCATGTGCTGAAGACAATAGGAAAAAGTATTCTTCTATTAAATTTCTTTGATTAGAAAGTTTCACTTATTATTTACCATCTTAGGATTCAATATGAAGATTTACTGGCATATCACCTGTGGATCCTTCACCTTTTAATATGGCACTTAGTTCAGCATCTTGGAAATTGAACACTGAATGTTGGAATGCTTCTTCACTAGCCGGATGTACTATAGCGGTTTGCTGTCTTTTAAATCTACATTTAATACTGGATTATTTGTTTTTTATTGCTCTTTCCCATATAGAATGTTTCCTATTATACAATACTTGAATTCCATCTAATTACAAGTCAAAGTTCCAGTTTTGTCAGAGAAAATATATTCCACCTATCCTAATTCTTCATTAATGGTTGTAGTTTACACTTTTGCATATTTGTTTCTCTAAGCAACATACATCTCTTCATCTTATTCAATAAAATAAGCTTAAAACACTTTTACAAACTCCAAACTAACTATCAATGATATAGGAATCATTGTATTATATAATAAAATATAACTGAAAAACGCATAAAAACTAAGCAAATTTGGTGAATCATTAAATTCTAAATACCAACTATTAGTTCCATAACGATGTAACCAAGCTGATGAAAATGAAGCTGTTATTATTGATAATGTAATTTGGACTACTAAAATTCCTAAAATAAGAATATTCATAATTCTTTCAATTTCACTTGACTTCACTCTAGATGCATCAGCATTCCTCATAATTTTAGTATCTTATCCTGTATAAACAACAAGGCCTATAATCCATTCAGTATTTCTGAGGAATGCACCTCTTAATAATAACTATTTAGCAGTTAACTAAAACTTTTTGTGTCCATTACCAATAGGCAAAAATAAAGAAGCATCCAATTCATAAAGATTTTATGTAGGAACCTATGCTTCTACACGTATAGCCTCTTCGCTATAACTTTCCTTATTACAATAAATCTATTGACTCTCTAAAATTGCACTTTTTGGTTTTAAATTTTTTTCACCATCTAATGAAGATGTTTCAATATAACAAGCTCCACTTTCAATTGAACTCGAAAGCACTATTAAATCAGCAGGAAAACTTTCATTTTGTTTTACTAATATATAATCACCAACAGATAATTCTGCCCATGTTGAACTATAACTATTTTAATATATCATTACATTGTCGCTACTCTTGATTTTAGAATTACACATTCTGTTGAATTAACTTCATTGTCTGATACATGTCTACCATAGTCTTCCCAACCTAATATTTTATGTATTTCTTTGTACCTTCACGTGCCATTGATAAACCTAATACAAATACTAATGGAGCTATTGCACTAAAAGGATTAAGTGTTGATAGAACTGGAATACATTAAATTATTGCTATGCACAAAAAGTAGATGTTAGCATATCGAGTAAACTACAAAAGTAACGATTTCGGTAGAAAAGTTACCACATTATATCTACACTTCACATTATTACTTACCTTGATGTCTTTATAAAATTTGATGGAAATTCCTCTAATTCTTATAGATTTCTTTCAGATTTAAAATTCCCTTAGAATTAACGAGGAGAATTGAAAGTTTCGGGTCTCTTAGACCAAAACATTTTATTATATTCTTTATAATATTAATTCACTAAAAACACTTATTTTCTATATTTTCAATCATTTTATTTATACAATTCTCTATTTTATTATTAGTCTGTCTTTTCCTTAATTACTCTATTCAAATAAAAACCATAATTTAATACATTTCATAACTAAAATCAAACTTGGTAAACTAACTGTATTTTACTTTTTCTATTCCTCTCTCACTTATTCTTTCTAATTCTTTTTTACTTGTTCTACAATCATTACTCATTTAGTTTTAAGATCATTATAAAATCCATATCAACTATTAAATAAGAAATTCCTTTGCTTATTTTAATTTATATCAATAAATATAAAAAAATTCATTTAGTTTTAGGTGAGTATCCTGCAGGACTTTTAACTCCTGTTAAATTAGGCTCATAATAACTATTCGAATCCTATTTATCAAATGACAAATCCTTTGCTTAATTTTCAATTTCTATTGTTTCTAATTTTCTTAAAATTTTATCTTTCAAAATTGCCATCTTACTTATTTAAGCGTCTTAAGGAAGTTTCTATATTATAACTATTAGTTTATTAAGTTTTGATATAGAATAATTTTTTATTTGATTTATTTTCTAATTATAGTTTAAACAAACTTACATCAGTAATATCTAGGGTATCTCTACATAATTTCTTATTACGATCCATTTAGAATCTTATTTCTTATAATAGTCTCTGTTAATCTGATTGTATTTGCATAAGCTACTTTCTCATTTTTTCATGTTCATTTAAGTAGGATTCTGATTGAAATTCTTTAGTCAATGTCTCAAGACTTTACTTTATATCTTCTTGATTTCGACGCTTAATTTTTGGTAGATTATTTCTTATGAAAATAAGTTCACTCATACTTTACTCCCTTCCTAAATTACTAATGCTAGAACTCACTTTTCCCTTATTTATTTTTCAATTTCTTAAACCCATACATATTAAGCTATCTAATTAAAATGACATTATATTCTACCTCAAAAAACTCTAATAGTTTCGATGTTTAAAGTATTGGGGCAGAATCTGGTCTGTTAAATATGCAGGATCTTGGATCTAAAATGTTGTTCCCTCCTTATTCCAACATATTGCAGCTTATTCAGACTCAAGAATAGCGGAGTATAAATTACTTCTAAAATCTCATATAATTTCATAAGAAAGGACGGGACTTGTTTTATGTCTTCCATTATTAAATAATTTTTTAGAATTATTATCATTTTAAAATAAAAAAGTTTACATCTATCTGAAAATTAATATCAAGAATCTTTGTTTTTATATTTTTAATATATATTATTTCTTAGAATCCTTATTATTATAACTCAAATTAAGCAAAAATCATTTGATTTTATAAAGAAAAATAAAATATTTTTTTTAAATTAATTTAATAATTTCAATGAACATCAATCCTTTTCTATTTTTCTTAAGTTTAAATGAATTACCCTTTTCCATTTTTAATCACTCTTCCCTTCAATAAACTTTTTTATATTTTCATCCCTCTATAAAATCTTTGAGTCAAATCTTACGATACTATACTTTTTTCCCCCTTATTTGTAGTTTTTATGAAATCAATTCCCCTAAAATCTAAATAATATCCATTGTTTCACTATATTAATCTTAAATTATATTGATTAAAATATTTTAATTAATACAATAGTTACTTATTTACATCTTAATAAATGTAACTGCCATAATTAATTTAATTAATAATAATACTTTATTATTGAAAATATTGAAATAACTAGATTGACTTTCTTTTAATTTAAGGATATTTTAGATTTTAAGTTATTTTTCAGAAGAATTTAATTGTTTTTAGCTTGTCATTTATAAAATATTTTGTTAAATTAAAGAGAATTTTATTAACGACAACTGTTAATAATTATCTTTATGTAATTTTTTTTCTAAAATGAGGTTAATCGATATACTGTAAAAATACTTTGTGAAATATTCAGCATATTAAATTTAAAAGACATTTTATCAAATTAATTATTAATAGGTTTTGTACTTTTAGAAAATAATTGAATTTAATTTTTAGTTTTTCGTTTTTGTTTTAATGAAAGCTTTTACATAATATAAATATAATAGTTAGAAAAAATAAAAAAATAATTTCAAATAAGAACTTCTACATATTTAATTATTGTTTACAGCTTTTAATATTATAAGAATTCAAAATTTAAATAATTAAAGTAAAGTAATACTATGTAAATTGAGTCACAAAATTCTATTACAAAATAAAAAGATAATAAAACTAAAATCAAAAAAATAATTCTTTATAAATAAATAATTTCTACTTAAATTACATTGAGACTTTTAAAATTAGAAGAAAGAATATTTTACAATATAAATTAATTGAAATAAGCTTAAGGTTTATTTTAATTTGTTTTAATTTGATTTTAGTTAAAACATTATTAGTAAATAAGAATTTAATATTTTATAATAAATGTTACCAGAGTTTTCCATTTAAGCTGTTAAATTGTAAGCTAATACAAGACAACCAAAACCTGTGAAAGTAATTAATATAATTGATAAACTAGTATGTTCCACCAAAGGCAAAAAGTCCTGCATAAAAAAGAAGCTGTATTTATTATTAATTATAATTAGCATCTTAACAAAAGACTGTAACAAAAGCTAAAACATCCACAGAAAGACTTACTAGAAAAGGTTCAGAAGATTTCTAAGAAACTTAATAATAACAGGTAATTAGTATAGAAGCACCATAATAATAAAAAGTTATTATGAATATGGATGAAAGATATCAATATTATGAAAATGAAGCAAAAAAGCGATAAAATGTCATAGATGTTTGTGATGGAGTATAATTTTATAAACCAGTTAAACCAGATGAGATGCCTAAACCTCCAAAACCAAAAAAGTAAACATCAAAAATAGAAAATGTTAAGCAAGTTTCGCGAACAGAGAAATCAGAAAAATAATCTGTTTCTTCTGATTTATAACACTCTCTACATTAATCAAAATCGCTTTATAATTAAACAACCTCAAGAGAGTAACAAAAATCTAATTCTACATTATTGGAGGATTATCAGACATAATAAATTTCTGTTGATCCTAATTTTTTAGTTTAAGGAGAAGTAGATGGTTACTAAATAGATGAAAGTTAATCATAAATGTTTGGTTTTGGATTAAATGATTATATAAAAAATAATGTAAGTATTTTCACTTAATCAATAGAACCATAAAAAGGAACTTGGAGAAAAAGATGTTGCAGAAGAAGTTAAACCTTAATCAGAATCAGTATATACGTATTATGATTATTATCCTCCTAATGCTAATGGTGAAATACCAAAACCTTTATTAGAGAGTGTTAATTATATGAATTATTTAAAAGAATAATAAGCTTTATAAGCCTAATAAGCATTAGAAGGATAATAATCATAATAATAATAATAATAATAATAAAGTAAAAATAAGTGAATATAAATTAACTCTTAAATTTTACATACTTAATATTAAACATTAATAAATAAAATTATTTATCAGCATTCTTCAATAGACTCAGAATCTGCTATTATTTTAGTTAGAGGCTCGAGAAATTATGAAGCTATTTTTTCAACAGATGGATGTTTGAATACATCTAAAATTAAGCTTGTCATATATTAATTTTCAGTTTCAAGTTGTTTCACCTATTAATTATTATTATATTTTTTTTACTTTTTTTTATAATCTATTGAATTCATCTTATAAAGGACCAATTTTTTCTAAAGCTTCTCTCTTCTTTTTTTATGATTCTTTTGCTGAATTTCTATTTCTTCTTATACTAGGTTAATTAATTTAAAAATAATTACCATTAACATTTTTTACAATTACATTCTTCCTCTCCATTATAAACACATTTATTTTTAAGTTTGTCAATCATTTTTAAATAATAATTTGAACTGTTCTTAACTTTCATTTCAATAAATCCATTTTATATTATATGATCTAAATATTAACTTTCCAATTGCAACAGCATTGGTAATATGAATAAAATCTAACAATTCATTTCTTTATGTATTTTAAGTGTATTTAAACTAAATTATTATAAATCTAATTCAGTAGTTTCTTCAAAAAATACTTAGGTTGCTTTTTTTAAGAAATCTTATGTTGTAGCTTTAAAACTACCCATTATAAGTAGATACTAATTGTTAATATAATAAAGTTACTTCCTAAAATATTTAATCATTATGTAATTTTGCTGTTTATTTAACACTTTATTCAACCAAATCCATAATTAAATTACTTTTTGTGAAAAACTTATTCATTTATTGAGTATATCTATTAAATTAAAGTAAAAAGGAATCTTTTGTTATTTTTTATTGTTATTGGCTTAATAATTTAAATGTAAATGTTGTCCATATATTTTCTTGCTGTTTTTTTATCATCTAATGTATTTGATTAAATGATATTTGTTAACTTACAGTTTAGCCTTATGATATTTAATAACTATAGAGTGTATTGAAAAAGATATCACAAAAGTCATCTCTGAAAAGTAAAAAATTGGCAAGATATTTTGTACCTTTTATAATAATAATAATCTAGAACTTTAATCATAAATTATGAATTCAGAACGGAAAAGTAATGCTATTGTTTAGAACAATGAGCAACTCATTGATATCTTTAATGGATTACTTTTATACTATGACACTAAATCTTCTATGATTTCTTTTTCTGCTTAACAATTTTATAATCCATAAATTATTAGGTTGCTCATGATTAACATAAAATATGGTAATTAAACCTCTAATACATTTGTTAAATTAATAGTTTGTTTCTAAAAAATGATTTTCTAAAAGAAAGACGTGACCTAATTTTAAACCTCAATTAAAGTTGGAGGCTTGCTTTTTTTAATATTTAAAAAATCTTACGAAGCTTGTTAAATTGGTTAGTATTAGGTTTAACATTGTTGAATTATTTATAAAAGTTACTCTTTTTGTAAATACTAAGCCGATATTGATTTCAAATACTTGAATATTTTATTTCTAACTATTCTCTTCTTATTTTACTTATTAAGAAGATTCTTGTTGGTTTTGACTAATCAAGGCTTACAAATATATTTTAAGAGGATTCATTATTATTATTAATAATCAAACAAAGATAAGACTCTTTCTTTCATCTATGAAGAAGTGCGTCATATATGAACATATTTGATTAAATGTTAATACATTTATGCACTATTTTTATTTATTATTTATAATATATATTAATAATTTCTAAATCATTCTATTTGAAATATTAATTACAATTAAATTTGATTGTTGTATTACAATAATTTTCCTTTAATTAATACTATATGATTGCTTAGTAATTTAAGATTACCTTGTAATGTATATCAACATGCTTGCAGTATATTCTTCATTTTAATTTAATTCTTTATATAATAATCTAAATTTAATCATCAAATTTATTATAATTATTTTGATCTATGCTATTTAAGTTTTAAAAACATGGATTTTTTAGGTAATTCTTGGAGATTTAATAATCCTTCAATATTTTTCTAAAGTTTAATTGATTGATAAATTATTTATTATATTTTATGTATGATCATATTTTAAGAGATCTATTTATTCTCTGTAAGTTGTTCTGATAAAGTGATTAAAATAATAAGTTATTTTAGATTAGTTAATATAATTTGTGAGATTGTAATTTTTTGAGGTAATCTTGATGATTATTAAGAATTTTTAATTATTCTTCGAAAATTAAAGCATAATCAATTTATAGGTAATTGGTAAATATCATAGTTAGATTATAAATGATATTTGCTTTGATAAATTTGGCAGGAGAAGTAAATTCATTATTTTGAAAATGTTGATTTTGTTATTCCTTTTGCACTTCTGTTTTTGAATTTTAATCATAGTACACATTATTTTAAGTCTTTTAATGGAATAAGTAAAATTGTTACAAAATGCATATATTACATATATATTATAGTAATAGGGTTCTTAATTTAGATTACATGAATATTTCAATTAACAAGTTTTATTTGGAGTGATGGGTATGTTTTAATACATTATTTTAGATTTAAATAAAATAAATTATAAAATAGTCCAAAAAATAGTAAATAGTAAATTATTTCTTAGGTAGCATAATCAATATGTATTAAAATTTATCCTAATCTGATACCTTTATTCTTTTAAGATTTAATAATATATTCTATATAATAATATTGATTTAATAATTCTTTTAGTTCGTTCAAATTAGATATTTGGTGTTATTTTTAGAGAACTGCTTTTGCATTAGTATGAATTTTTAATTCTTTTATTTATTTCTTTATTTGTTTTTAGATTAAAAGGATTAATATCAACCAAATAAATTTAGGTCTTTTCATAATAACAGATTGATAAATTGCCATAATGATATCGTTGGAATCGATATTTAGCCATTGATTCTTAAAATAGTAAATATATCCACTTCAAGTTTTTAAAAATTTTCTAAATTCAAATAATTAAAGAATCTTAGAAATTGCATCCCAATCAGAATTTATATATATAGGATGTANTGCTTGCAGTATATTCTTCATTTTAATTTAATTCTTTATATAATAATCTAAATTTAATCATCAAATTTATTATAATTATTTTGATCTATGCTATTTAAGTTTTAAAAACATGGATTTTTTAGGTAATTCTTGGAGATTTAATAATCCTTCAATATTTTTCTAAAGTTTAATTGATTGATAAATTATTTATTATATTTTATGTATGATCATATTTTAAGAGATCTATTTATTCTCTGTAAGTTGTTCTGATAAAGTGATTAAAATAATAAGTTATTTTAGATTAGTTAATATAATTTGTGAGATTGTAATTTTTTGAGGTAATCTTGATGATTATTAAGAATTTTTAATTATTCTTCGAAAATTAAAGCATAATCAATTTATAGGTAATTGGTAAATATCATAGTTAGATTATAAATGATATTTGCTTTGATAAATTTGGCAGGAGAAGTAAATTCATTATTTTGAAAATGTTGATTTTGTTATTCCTTTTGCACTTCTGTTTTTGAATTTTAATCATAGTACACATTATTTTAAGTCTTTTAATGGAATAAGTAAAATTGTTACAAAATGCATATATTACATATATATTATAGTAATAGGGTTCTTAATTTAGATTACATGAATATTTCAATTAACAAGTTTTATTTGGAGTGATGGGTATGTTTTAATACATTATTTTAGATTTAAATAAAATAAATTATAAAATAGTCCAAAAAATAGTAAATAGTAAATTATTTCTTAGGTAGCATAATCAATATGTATTAAAATTTATCCTAATCTGATACCTTTATTCTTTTAAGATTTAATAATATATTCTATATAATAATATTGATTTAATAATTCTTTTAGTTCGTTCAAATTAGATATTTGGTGTTATTTTTAGAGAACTGCTTTTGCATTAGTATGAATTTTTAATTCTTTTATTTATTTCTTTATTTGTTTTTAGATTAAAAGGATTAATATCAACCAAATAAATTTAGGTCTTTTCATAATAACAGATTGATAAATTGCCATAATGATATCGTTGGAATCGATATTTAGCCATTGATTCTTAAAATAGTAAATATATCCACTTCAAGTTTTTAAAAATTTTCTAAATTCAAATAATTAAAGAATCTTAGAAATTGCATCCCAATCAGAATTTATATATATAGGATGTATAAACCAATTATAAAAATACTTGTAAATAATCTGTATCAAGAATATTTTAATCCATTTTAATTTTTTTTGTTTTATATATTTTGATTGGATGAAATTAATGATGGAATTTTTATTAATCCCATATTAAATGCTAATAACAAAAATAAAAGTAATTCTCTAATTTAAGACATGTATCAACTAAATAATTATAGCTTTAGTGATAAGTTCAAGGATTGTCCACTTGTGTATTCTTTATTCCAATTTGATTAAACATTCATTGTACCTATTAAAATCTAGAATAAATTAAGTTCTAAAATTAAGAATTATCAATTCCTAAATCATAATCATGAATTTTATTTTATCAATAATTGATTCAGTAGCAAAGTTTCAATTTTAAACAAAAAATAGTATAAACACAAACATACATTAATCCTAATGAAATACAAATTAATGATCATTATATCAATCCAATCTTTTAGTTAATCTTTTTTTTAATATTCCTATTAATATAATTATTCAATTGTATAGTTAAACCTTAGGATCCTTAATCATTACATTCTCTAATTTGGTTCAATTTCTATTTTATGTTAATAAATATCCATAATTTTAACATCATTAAATATTTTCTATAAACTTTTCTTTTCTAAAGTTGCACATTTAACCTGATTAACTACAATTTTAATAAATTAAGCCTTTTTTTATATAATGTGTAATATTATTAAGTAATTTAAAAAATGAAATAATAAAAGCCTTTTGATGCCAAATGTATAGGAAAATTAAAATTAAGCACATAATTGATTGTTATTGTTTCAATATAGGTCCTAATTATTGTGTCTTATGTATTGGCTTTAAATTTAATTCATCATTCTTTACTCACAAATATATTATCAGAAGTGTCAGATCATATATTTGAAAAAGGTTCAGATCATATTTTATCAAATATGATGGAAGAATATCTACAGCATTTTAACCAAATATTTAATTTAAGTAATTATATTTTTATTACATTATCAGATGGCAATGCTTTGGTTTCATTCCATCGATTGTATCATACTTCTAAAAATTAAGTGCTTCTACATTCTCTCGAAATTGATCCACTCTATCAAATGCAATATGGAGGAACAACTAAAATTCCAGACCCTTTAAGAATTATAAAAGGATATGGCAATTATGATATTTCTTATTCGTTCATGTGTTATTCTAATCTATCATCATTTAATCAACC